TCCCGCAGTCCCTCCGCTTCGCCCCCTCCCTCGCCACCTTCAAGACCCATCTCAAGACCCTCCTCTTCGACCGTGCCTTCGATCTCCCTGCTTCCCCCCACTGCCCTCCACCCTCCCCAACCCATAGCTCGGGTCTGAAACTCTGTCTGTCCAGAGCCTTGGGACATCCTCCCAACGTGAAAGGCGCTATACAAATGTAATTTTGTTGTTGTTGTTGTATATCAAATGCAAACATTATTCTTATAACAATCCCCCCAGATAAAATTGGACATGGTTGTTTGCGGGACATTACTGTGAGCAAATTGTCACATTCACCCTACAAAATGTATCACTACAGAAAAATCTGTGAAGCTCTTTGAGACAGCCTCCTGACATGAAAGGCGCAATATCAAATATAAGGGGATAATTATTTTATTATTTTTGATGTTCTCACTGTTAGATGTTACTAAGAAATCCAATATACACTTTTCCACTCCAGCTGATTTCCAAAATATGCTGAACAGATTCAGGAGAAGAGCATTAAGAAAATCGTAGAATTTTACAGCACAGAAGGAAAACTATTTAGCCATTTGTGCCTGTGCTGAACCTCTGAACGATCTATCGATTTTGCCCTCTTCCCCTGCCCTTTCCCCAGACACACGTTCACTAGAATGGTATATATCAGTGAAGGCCAACCTTTTCTGGTCAGCCAACAAAATACATCTTCTTGATTGAATATTTCTTGATTTGTGTTATCACCTGCCCCCATCTCTGTCTCCATTCTTTGTTGTCGATCCATGTAGCTTTGTGGTTAGTGCACTCTCCTTGCAAGCGAGAGGACCCGGGTTCGATTCCCGGGTGGGACGAAACCTTTTAGGCAAGTTTCCTTACTCCACAAGTCTCTATTTACCTAGCAGTAACTAGGAACCCAGTTGTTAGTTCAATTGGCGGATTGCTTTCCAGGGGTAGTAATACTTGGAGTCCTGTAGCTCAGTGGTTAGAGCACTCGCTTTGCAAGTGAGAGACCTGAGTTCAATTCCAAGCAGGGCGAAACCTTGGGCAAGTTTCCTTACTCAACACGCCTAATAATAATCCCTCCAAAACAAAAAACAATAATAAATTGGTCATTTTCAATCCATGACTGTTTGTGGGACATTGCTGTGCGCAATTGGCAATTGTGGCATTCGACCACAAATATACAGTCAATTCACTTTACAGTATATTCTGTAAAGTGCTTTGGGACGTCCTCCCAACGTGAAAAGCGCTATATCAAATGCAAGGATTATTATTATTAAAAAAAATGTGGTCACTCAATCCACGACTGTTTGTGGGACACTGCTGTGCACAATAGGCTGCTACTATAAAATACACAGTCAATACAACAACAAAATTACATTTGTGTAGAGGGGAAGGAGGGTGATTGAAAATATAGTTGAAGAGGAGGGTCTTGAGACGGGTCTTGAAGGAAGCAAGTGATGGAGCGAGGTGGAGGGACTGCAGGATGGAGTTCCAGAGGGTGGGGACAGAGTGGCTGAAGGCTCGCCCTCCAATGGTGGGGAGGGCGAGGTGGGGGACGTGAAGCAGGCCGGAGCCACTGAGAGGAGGGAACAGGCAGGTTGGTAGGGGGTTAGGAGGTCACAGAGGTAGGGGGGAGCAAGGCCATAGAGAGCTTTGAAGGTAAGGACCAAGATCTTGAACTGTATCTTCTGTGTGATGGGAAGCCAGTGGAGTCAGGCGAGGATGGGGGTGATAGGGTTACGGAGCCTGGTCGGGGGAGGACACGGGCTGCAGAGTTTTGGATGGTCTGCAGCCTGTGGAGGGAGGAGTTGGGGAGGCTGGCAAGCAGGGAGTTTGCATAATCAAGCCTGGATGTTATGAATGTGTATATGAGGGTCTCGGTAGCCTGCGATGTGAGACGTGGCAGAGCTCGGATGATGTTGCGGAGGTGAAGGAAAGCAGAGCGGGGCATGGCACAGATATGCGATAGAAAGGTGAATAGTGAGGGTCAAACAAGATGCCAAGGTTCCGGACTGGCTTAGCAAAGTAGAGTGTGCAACCATGGATGGTGATGCTGTCAGCGCCTGAGGTGTGGAGGTACTGACGGGAGCCAATCAGGAGGGCCTCGGTCTTGTTGACATTCAACTGAAGAAAGTTAGCTCTCATTCAGGAGACATTCTGTCAGGACAGCAGTGGTTCTGGAGTCAAGGGTGGAGGCAGAGAGATACAGTTGGGTGTCATTGGCATACATGTGGAAGTTGACCCCATGACTGCGGATGATGTCGCCATGAAGGAGTGTATAGATATTGAAGCGGAGAGAATCAAGGGCAGAGACCTGAGGAACGCCACACAAGACGGTGCGGGGGCTAGAGGAGAAACCATTTGTGGAGATGAACCGGAGACAGTGTGAGAGATAGGATCTGAAGCATTCAAGGACAGATTACAATTCATTTTACAATATATTCTGTAAAGTGCTTTCAGATCACTCAACGTGATATATCCAATGCCAGGATTATTATTATTATTGTTTAGCTGCATTCCCTGAAAACATTCATCTGAAATCTGTTTGTCTCCCTCTCGGTTTCATTCCTTCCCTACCTGCAGTGAAAAATCCTCTAGAAATCTACCTCTTTGACTGCATCTTCAGATGCCTTCTCCCTCCTTCCCTCATCTCCATTCCAGCTCAGGCCCCCAATCTGATTTTGAGATTTCAGACATTCCCTTACATGAATGCCGTTTGATTAATGTAAATAGTTCGTTACATAACCAAATATTGTCAAATACTTTCTGTCAACCAATTCCCCATATTTTTATGGCAATAATCTAAAATTTACGGTGTCTAACTACCAAATAGAGGAAATAGTATTTCCCTATTTACCTTATCAAACTCCTCATAATTTTGAGAACCTCTAACAAGTTCTCCTCTCTACTTTTCTGATCTAATTTGCAGCAACCTTGGAATCGTAGCTCAAACAGTTAAAAGACTTGATGTCTTCAAACTTGAGCTCTTTTTTAGAAGGGTCTCTGGTGTTTCTTTCCCACTGCTTACTTGCAGTCTAGGCTCCAGGTATGAGGTGAGAAAGCAGTCTGAGATGACGTAGACCTTTTTTTGCAGCAGCACTTTGTCAGGGTTGCTATGATGTGCATTCTTAAACTTCTGAACTTCAATGTAGAATAGCAAGTTGTTCTTCAACAGCGGTCGTCTTTCGACCTGCTGTTGCCCTTGCAGGAACCTGGCGAATTGGGAGATATCTTCGCTCATGCGTGCCTCTGAGCTACGGTTTAAGGCATGCAGTGTGTGTGTGGGGCGGGAGTGAGAGGGGAGTGTGTGTGGGGGGGTGAGAGGAGGAGTGTGTGGGGGGGGGGTGAGAGGGGGGTGGTGTGTGTGGGGGTGAGAAGGGGAGTGGTGTGGGGGAGTGAGAGGGGGAGGGTGAGAGGGGGAGTGTGTGGGGGGGGTGAGAGGGGGAGTGTGTGGGGGGGGAGTGAGAGGGGGAGTGTGTGTGGGGGAGTGAGAGGGGAGTGTGTGGGGGGGGAGTGAGAGGGGGAGTGTGTGTGTGGGGGGAGTGAGGGGGCAGTGTGTGGGGGGGGAGTGAGAGGGGGAGTGTGTGTGTGGGGGGAGTGAGAGGGGCAGTGTGTGTGTGTGGGGGTGAGAGGGGGAGTGTGTGGGGGGAGTGAGAGGGGGAGTGTGTGGGGGTGAGAAGGGGAGTGTGTGTGTGTGGGGAGTGAGAGGGGCAGTGTGTGGTGTGGGGGGGTGAGAAGGGGAGTGTGTGTGGGGGGAGTGAGAGGGAGAGTGTGGGGGGAGGGGGTGAGAGGGGGAGTGTGTGGGGGGGGGGAGTGAGAGGGGGAGTGTGTGTGGGGGGGGAGTGAGAGGGGAGTGTGTGGGGGAGTGAGAGGGGGAGTGTGTGGGGGGGGGTGAGAGGGGGAGTGTGTGGGGGTGAGAAGGGGAGTGTGTGTGGGGGGAGTGAGAGGGGGAGTGTGTGGGGGGGGAGTGAGAGTGTGTGGGGGGGGAGTGAGAGTGTGTGGGGGGAGTGAGAGGGGGAGTGTATGTGTGGGGGGAGTGAGAGGGGGAGTGTGTGGGGGGTGAGAGGGGAGTGTGTGTGGTGGGGGGGAGTGAGAGGGGCAGTGTGTGTGTGGGGGGTGAGAAGGGGAGTGTGTGTGGGGGGAGTGATAGGGGAGTGTGTGGGGGGGGGTGAGAGGGGAGTGTGTGGGAGGGGGAGGGAGAGGGGGAGTGAGTGTGTGGGGGGGGGGGGTGAGAGGGGGAGTGTGTGGGGGAGTGAGAGGGGGAGTGTGTGTGGGGGGGAGTGAGAGGGGGAGTGAGTGTGTGGGGGTGAGTGAGAGGGGGAGTGTGTGGGGGGGGGAGTGAGAGGGGGAGTGTGTGTGTGGGGGTGAGAAGGGGAGTGTGTGTGTGTGGGGGTGAGAGGGGGAGTGTGTGGGGGGGGAGTGTGAGGGGGAGTGTGTGTGTGGGGGTGAGGGGGAGTGTGTGTGTGGGGGTGAGAAGGGGAGTGTGTGTGTGGGGGGGTGAGAGGTGAGAGGGGGAGTGTGTGTGTGGGGGTGAGAAGGGGAGTGTGTGTGTGGGGGGGTGAGAGGTGAGAGGGGGAGTGTGTGGGGGGAGTGAGAGGGGGAGTGTGTGTGTGTGGGGGTGAGAGGGGGAGTGTGTGTGGGGGGAGTGAGAGGGGGGAGTGTGTGTGTGTGGGGTGTGAGAGGGGGAGTGTGTGTGTGTGGGGGTGAGAGGGGAGTGTGTGGGGGGGGGGTGTGAGGGGGAGTGTGTGTGGTGGGGGTGAGAAGGGGAGTGTTGTGTGTGGGGGGGTGAGAGGTGAGAGGGGGAGTGTGTGGGGGGGTGAGAGGGGGAGTGTGTGTGTGTGGGGTGAGAGGGGGAGTGTGTGTGTGGGGGTGAGGGGGTAAGTATGTGGGGGGGGGGTCGGTGTATGGGGAGGGTATGTGCAAGTTTCCATGGCAATGGATGATACTTCCGGCTGCCTCGGGCGCGAGGAATTCTGGTCGGTTTCCCCGGCAACGGCAGCGCCGAGAGAGAGAGAGGGGGAGGGGAGAGCTCATCTCCCGTCACTGCCGCCTCAGCCGGTCAGTATCTAACCAATACCCCTCCACCCTGAGGGCTAACCACTACCCCTCCACCCTGAGGGCTAACCACTACCCCTCCACCCTGAGGACTAACCAATACCCCTCCACCCTGAGGACTAACCAATACCCCTCCACCCTGAGGGCTAACCAATACCCCTCCACCCTGAGGACTAACCAATACCCCTCCACCCTGAGGACTAACCAATACCCCTCCACCCTGAGGACTAACTAATACCCCCTCCACCCTGAGGACTAACCAATACCCCTCCACCCTGAGGACTAACCAATACCCCTCCACCCTGAGGACTAACCAATACCCCCTCCACCCTGAGGACTAACTAATACCCCCTCCACCCTGAGGACTAACCAATCCCCCCTCAACCCTGGAGACTAACCAATCCCGCTCCACTTCGGAGAAACTTGTTAATAAAACTCAGTTTCTGGGAATAAATAACTCTCACACCTTGGAACATATTTCTCCTTCTGCCTCAAGCCTTGGCTCTTTACCAACCTGCGCCTAATACTTTCCGGAATTAGGAAGCAGGATGCGTCCCTCCAGGGAGAGAGTGCACATTCCATTCCAACACTCTAGCTCCAGGATTTCTGTGTGTAAGGTGGGATGCGTGGTTTCCAGTTTCCAGACTGGAGATAAACCTAATTTCCACTCTTGAGGACAAAACTCTCTTCTACGCTATGGACAAGTCAGCAAGCAGCAGGTGGAATGAGTGTTACTGTACCTTATTCCATGGAATAAAATTTCTCCTTCCCTCCGATTATTCAACAATTTCAGAATATCTCAGTCAGTCGCACTCTGGCCTCTGTACTAGCAGATTGCGGTTTCAAGCCTCAAGTAGGAATTTGAACCTGATTCCATTGTAGTCCTGTATTGTTGGAGGTGTCATCCTACAGTGATACTTTAAACTATTGGGAAAGAGAATGGAGTGTCTTTTAGTGTCCAAGCCAAAGATTTTTTCTAGATAAAATAGATGTTTTTGAAACCTTGCTGTGCACATTTGCCTACAAATATTGTCGGAACACTTAGCAGCCATCCCTCTGAAATGGATTTCATTGTTTTGCTGTTATATGTGCTTTATTAAATATAAGGATAAATATTATAATTATTTTGTGTTATTAAAAATTTATTATCTGTCACTGAGGGCCTGACGCAATCTCTGCTGACCTCCCTCTTGCTTTATTGCCCTAGCCACCTACATTGAACCTCTGAAGATAATTAAATTCATCTCCATGACCTCCATGAGCAAGACAGCCACTGAAATGGACCAGCATAACCTCTCCCCAAGTTCAGATCCCAACAAGAACGCTGCTTCAGACCCCAGGAGGATGAGACGTATCATCGCTGAAGATCCTGAATGGTCCCTTGCCACTGTCCCCACACTTGTGGACCTCTGCCTCAACCATATTATAACAAACTTCGGAAGTAAGTGAAGCACCAAGGGGTTGGTTTGGACAAAGCAGGGAATTATCTCGGCATTGATATACTAACTAATGTTACTCAGTTCTCTCCCTCATTACCCACTGACTGGAGTCTCTCACTTCCTTCTCCATCATGGAGATATCTGTATGCTGCCTGGTATCTCTTGATCACCTCTTTTTCACTGTACACTGATTCGTGTCACTCAGTCCCCTCTACCTCACTGTATACTGGGTGATGTATCTCAGTCCCCTTTCCCTTAGGGAGATACTTACACACTACGCGTTTGAGGGATAACAGCCTTTTAGAAAACAAATCCAAAAATCTGGTAGCCCACTAATCAGCAGCATAAAGTACAGACCCAGTTCCTCAGATTTCATCACCCACAATGGAGAGAGGAGATCCACCTCTAGTACATCTCCCATGTGATAAATATCAAATCTGGAGTCCGGTATTGCAGTGGTTAGAACCCTCGGATGTGAGAGGACCTGAGTTCAATTCATGGGCAGGGTGAAAGCTTAGACATGTTTCCTTACTCCACACATCTGTGTTTACCTAGCGGTAAGTAGGAACCTGTTTGTTAGTCACTTGGTGAATCAGTTTCCAGGAGTAATAATCCCTCCAAAAAAAAATGTGGTCACTCACTCCACAACTGTTTGTGGGACATTGATGTGTGCAATTGCCTGCTGTGTTTTGCCCACAAAATACAGTCAGTTCACTTCAGAATATATTCTGTGAAACGCCTTTGAGATATCTCAATGACATGATAAGGCCCAATATCAAATGCAAGGATTCTTCTTCTTTTTAGTCATCTTATTATTATTATTATTGCTAGCCTTACCCGTTACAGCTACGCTTGCAACCAGTTTCATTTAATCGGCCTTCTCTCGTTTGGCATTTTTATTTGTCTTTGAAAGGCTTGATCTTCGCTTCTTCGGCATCTTTATCCCTTAAGGTTAAGAAAATGTGCTATTGAACTCGTTGGCATCCCTTGTTCACATATTTGCACATGTATCCTTTTGGGACTCCAGTGGGAGGACTCCTGGTTGGGAGGACTCCTGGCACTTCGTCTTTATTAGTATAAATAAATCTCTCTAGAAGGTGTGTGTGACCTCTGTCGCCACTTTGTTGCAAAATACCATGTATACCTTTTTGGGGGCTTAATTAAAGCATTTTTTAATATATTTTTTAATACAGCTTATCAATGATAGGCATTCCCCCCAAAACATATGCCCATGACGCTCTCCCATGCAAGACCTTTCCGATGAGGTTTAAATCATGTCTCTACATAAATCGGTTATTGCGTTCTTGGTAGACAAAGACATTTTTGCTTTATTAGTATAGAAGATTATCTGCAATCCCACTCTCTCTGATTTCCTATCCTTTACTTGCTTTTGTCTTTGATCTTGGGACACTCTGTCTTGGGCCCAGCAGACATGATGGGCTGGATTGCTCCCAGCAATTAATCTATCCGGTTAAATATCTATGTTTGTTCTCCAGGTAACCCCATCCTGAAAAGGCTGCTGAAACACCACAAAGAGAGAGTACTGGAAAAGATATCCACAGAGATTCCTATTCAGGTGACAGCCAACCTGGTGGGGGACGAGGGCTACTGGAGGCGGTGCTGCCTGGAATGCTGGGAGGTTTGTGACATGTCCAAACATGGCGGCAGCTGGAAGAGCATGTTTTTTGAGAGGCTCCTGAAGAACATCATTGAGCACTTCATCCCGGAGACCACAGACCAGGTGGTGATACTAGAGCTGGTGCCTCTTTGCAAGAACTATGTGAGAAGGCTGGAGATTTCTCAGCTTCTGCCGCCGGTCAAGCAGCTGCCCGAGGTGGAGGAGGACGACATCTCGGAGGTGGGAAGCAACAGCGAAACAAGCCTGGACCACTTTGATTTCAGTATGTTGCTGCCTAAGCTCCTGAAACTAGAGGAGCTGCACGTGACGTATGGGGTCAAAGACTGTGGGATGAATTTTGAATGGAGCATCTTTGAGTTCACCAACACCGACTGCCGTTTGCTGGCCAAGGCAATCAAAGCCTGCATCAGCCTGAAAGTCCTCAAGCTGACCCGCAACAAGATCGACGATGATAAACTGAGGGTCCTGATCAAGCACATGCTGGACCACCCGTCCCTGATGGAGCTGGATCTCTCGCACAACAAGATTGGAGACCGGGGGACCAGAGCCATAGCCAAGCTGGTGCTCAGTAGTAAGCTGGAGAAGATCGACCTATGCAACAATGAAATCAAGGCCCATGGAGCCAAGGCTCTATCCTACAAACTAAGGCGTTACACCACCCTGCGGTCGCTCAACCTCCGGCTAAACCAGATCGGTGATGACGGGGGACAAGCCATCGGACGTGCTCTCATCAAGTCTCCCACCCTGGAAGAGATTCACCTGGGGAGCAACGAACTGACGGAGCCCATGGCCATGGTTCTCTCCGAGGTCCTGGCCAAGAACAGTGTCCTGAAGTGCATCGACCTCTCCTGCAATAGCATTGGGCCTGTAAGTATTGTTGAAGTCCAAGGAGGGGATTATTGGTGGAGTGTAGGAATCGAGGAGAGCAAGATTTAGCGGGGTGCAGTAATAGTAGAATTCCCTAACATAGTGGTTAGCGTGCTCGCCTTGCAAGCGAGAGAACCTTGGTTCGATTATCGGGTGGGGCGAAACCTTAAGCAAGTTTCATTACTCCACACGGCTCTGTTTACCTAACAGTACGTAGTCAATTGGCAGATCGTTTTCTGGGGGTAATAATCCCTTCAAAAAATAATAATAATGATAATTTGGTCACTCAATCCACAACTGTTTGTGTGACATTGCTGTGCGCAATTTGTTGTCATGTTTCGTCCACAAAATATAGTCAATTCACTTTACAATATATTCTGTGAAGCACTTTGTGGCATCTTAATAACTTGATATGGCACTATCTCAAATGATAGGCCACGCTGTTATGTCACTATCTGACATTTCGGGTTTAAAAGAATTGTTGAATTTTCTTCCTGATTGTAAGAGCACAGAAACAGGAGGATGCTATTAACAACAACAAATTACATTTGTATAGCGACTTTCACATCGGGAGGACGTCCCAAGGTATAGGACAGTCATGGATTTGTGACCTTGGCTTATTAAGCCACCAAACCTTCCTTGCTCCCATTATCCCACCCTTTCTCCCTTACTTCCTAAGAATCTAGCTAGCCAGCTCCTTTTGTACCACGTAATCACCACAATAAACTCCGTACCCCTATCACCACAATAAACTCCGTACCCAGTTCTAGCCAGACTCCACTGGCTCCCTATCACCAAACAGATCGATTTCAGGATCCTCTCACTCATCTTTAAATCCCTTCATGCCCTGGCACCTCCCTACCTCTCCGACCTGCTTACTCCCTAACCCACTATGCGTTGCCTCCACTCAACTGACTTTAACCTCCTGTTTGTCCATCATGCCCTCCACTCCACCATTGGTGGCCACTATAACCCAAACTCTGGAACAATCATCCTCAAACCCTCCACCTTGCCCTCTCCTTCCCCTTGTTCAAGTCGCGTCTGAAGACCTTCCTCTTCGATCGTGCTTACGGTCACTGCCCCCGTCCCCCCACCATTATCAAGCACTCTTAGTGAAGGGCGCTATGTAAATGCAAGTTATTGTTGTTTTGAATATCCCTCAACCTCTCTACGTCACCAATGACAGCTGTGCTTTCAGCCACTAACCCCTGACCCTCTGGAACTCCCTGCCTCAATCCCTCTGCTTTGCCTCCTCTTTGTCTGTCTTCAGATCACATCCCGGGCCTACATTCTCTGCCCATGCCTACGTTCACCTCTCCTTTTTCTCCTCAGCTCAGTGTCACACAACACCATTATTAATTGCTTCAAGATGCTAACCTGCGTGAAGGATGCTATATAAATGCAAGGTGTTGTTCAATTGACTACTCATCTCGATTACTCACCTACTAGTGCAAAATTGTTGGATGCAAATTAGTTGCTGCATTTGCCTCCGTAAGATTCACTTCATTTGTTGAGAATTGGATAATAAACCCGGGGAGACATGATGGAGGACAAACAACGATATTGAGAGTAATTGGATGTCAGGTGAAGGCAGGATTGAGTGTAACTGTTATGTTTCCTTTACCCGCGCTCCCCACACCCTTCCTGATTCACGCATAAAAAGTGATCATTGGGTGAGCTACCATTGGTCATTTGGTGCATATAGCAGGATTCAGTGTCTTCAGGGAAGCTCTCTGATGTTTCTTTAAAATCACTGTATCAGTGCGTAATCCCAGTGTAATAATAATAATAATAATAATAATACATGCATTTGTATAGTGCCCTATTGTCGTTGAGACGTCTCAAAGCGCTTCACAGAATACACTGTAAAGTGAATTGACTGTATTTTGGGAGTGAAACGCGGCAGCTAATTGTGTGCAGCATTGTCCTACAAACAGCCATGGATTGTGTGACCAAATTATTGGGGGGTTATTTTTGGAGGGATTATTACACCCGGAAAGCGATCCACCAATCGACTAACAACCAGGTGCCTACTTACTGCTAGGTAAACAGAGTAAGGAAACTAACCTATGGTTTCGCCCCACCCGGGAATCAAACATGGGTCCTCTCACTTGCGAGACAAGTGCTCTAATCAATACAGGAAGGACAAGTATAGCAAGTGACCTCTTGGTTCAATCCTGCATCTGTTTTGCTCGGTTAGGATGGTGGGAAGCAGCTGCAGGAGGGCATTGCGAAGAACAGAACCCTGCTGAAATTTGACCTGCGACTGACAGAGATCAATCAAGAGACAGAATACTTCATCAATCAGGTACTCTACAACAACCAGGAGCGAGTGCGGGAGGACATGTGCAAGCAGAAACTTGTGAAAGCCACAAACTCATCTACCACCGACGCCCCATACTCCATTTAATCACCAACCCACTCCTCCTTCCAGAAAACTTCCAGAAACAAGTGAGAGTGAGTTCATCGGATCATTTTGGGCTTTTCTTGTTTTCTTCTTTACTTCCCCCCCCACCTCCTCCTGTTACAGATGTAACAACCCCTGTTTGGGTCAGCTCCATCATTTTAATTTCTTGAGGTGAGGGCTAATTCTACATTAAATATGTATTACTTATTGCCAGGTTATCATCCCTTTTGCAGATTGTATTATTAAGTTATCATGGTTTCACTCTGCCCAGTGATTCAGAAAAAGGGTCCCTCTCTCTACAGCCATTTCAAAGAAATGTTCCCCTGGTTATCTTGCCTTATGCCCCAGCACCTCACTATTTCTCCGACATCCTCGATCAGATAACTCAGGCCCTGCACATGCCCTTTCTCACCCACATCACCATTGGGGGCCGAACTTTCCGATCATGTGCCTTTATCCTCTGTCCTGCCTTAAAACCGACCTCTTCGACCATGCCAATGTCAGTGCTTTCCCCCTCTACCCTCCCCCCCCCGCCCCCCCACCTGTCTGTAAATTGCTGAGACATTCTTCTATGTGAGGGCACGCTATATAAATGCAAGCTGTTGTATATTCCCTCTCTAAATTCAAATGAATTGACAACTCATTGTTGTGAGTGCGAAGTTACAGGCATAGATTAGCTGCTGTGTTTGCCTTGTCTAACAACATTCCCTTCATTTCTAATCAGTTTTATTTTCATGGTCACCTCCTCCCTCCCCCCGATTCGGCATCAGGCTCCTTCATTGTCAAATGCTCCGAGACAAGTTGTTGTTGTAAAACACTTGCCTAGAGATGTTTCATTTACGTGAAACAAGCTGTATAAGTCTAAATTTAATTGGGGGGAAGAGGAGAAAAGTGCTGAGACATTGTTTGTGCTGCCCTAGGTTGGGTTACTGAGTGTTTGGAAGTCTTTCATTTCCTCCCAAACTGACCCTAGAGCTTTATTCCTCTCCCCCCATCCATGATTGGTCTGAATACTGTAAAAATTCCCCTCACTTAGCATCCTGTCTCTGCTTTCAAAATCCTCCTAAAAACAACCTCAACCATGCTTTCAGTCACCTTCCTCTTATCTGCCCTTCCCACCTTGCCTGCAATACACAGCAGCCAGTCAAACACTTTGAGACTTTCTAAGCCTTGAAATTCACATATTCACTGCTGGGCCCCTTTGAAAGCCTGAGGTCTCCACAATTTTCTGCATTGCATACACACACATTTTTCAAGTTATAGGGGACGGGGAAACTTAGGCTAGTTTCCTTACTCCACACGCCTCTGTTTACCAAGCAGTAAGTAAGAACCTGGTTGTTAGTCGATTGGCATTTTGCTTTCCAGGGGTAATAATCCCTTCAAATAAAATTATTTTAAAATAATAATTTGGTCGCTCAACCACGACTCTTTTGTGGGACACTGCTCTGCGCAATTGGCTGCTGCGTTTTGCCCACAAAATAGTCGATCCCCTTTAATCTCCTTAAAGCGTTTGTGTCACTCTTAACTATTTTTCTGCTGATCCTTTGCTGCAAAGATAGTTTGTGTTTCCACTGTGAGTCCTGGTCAAACAGTGGCTCTAATTTGGGTGTATGTTAATTAGGCAGAATTTACAATAGCTCATAGATCATCTACTACATTCCTGGCCTTTTTGGTGTTGCTTATTGAGCCTTGTTCCAAGCATTCCACTTCTAACCTTTTCCATTTTGCCAGATGCATATTTCCACATTGTTCTGTTTTTCCAAACACTGAAATCCGATTAAATGTATTATTGGAGGTAGATAATTGAAACAAACTGATAATCGTGGCTCTACTGTGGAGTCCTGTAGCTCAGTGGTTAGAACACTCGCTTTGCAAGCGAGAGACCTGAGTTCAATTCCAGGCAGAGGGCGAAACCTTGGGCAAGTTTCCTTACTCCACACAGAGCCTAATAATAATCCCTCCAAAACCAAAAACAATAATAAATTGGTCATTTTCAATCTACGACTGTTTGTGGGACATTGCTGTGCGCAATTGGCTGCCGCGTTCGCCCACAAATATACAGTCAATTCACTTTACAGTATATTCTGTGAAGCGCTTTGGGACGTCCTCCCGACGTGAAAAGTGCTATATCAAATGCAAGGATTATTATTATTATTATTTACAATATATTCTGTAAAGCGCTTTGAGACACAATAAGGTGTTATATCAAATGCAAGGATTATTGTTATGAAGGGGGGTGGTGAGTCCGTGCTACTCTATAATGCAGACAAGTTCAATTCAAACAGAAGGTGCTTTATTCTCAGCTTGCTACAGTAGTACAGCCCAAAATTGGGAGAAACTGGCTCTTTTACATACATTTTGTGTTTTAGCAACCCACCCTCCACCCCAGACTGGATTAGCTCCATCCCACCCCACATTCCGTGGAAGTGCTTTGTGTTCATCCCGAACCCTCTCTCCCCTCCCACTCCCAACTCCCCCCCCATCACAGTTCTGTGTAAGAGATTCAAGCTGTGTGATGGGACTCTGCACAGTGCTCGTTCGCAGAGATACAACCAACAAGGGCCAGACGCACATATACAGACGTGTATCCCTCTCCTCCATCCCTTTCCCCTTTCCCAACCCATTTGTATTTCTGAGGGACATTCAGATTCTGTATAAATATCATCTACATGACAGCAAAACCATTGAACAGTCAAAGAACGCGTGTATCACTCATACTGAAGTGATAGATAACGGAGACGATTTTCCTACAGATACAGCCAATGTCTGCTAACAAAGCAATGAATCAGGTCAATAGGCAGTAGCCCATCAGATTAGCAAAATAGTTTAGCACCCAATTCATCCATGGTACCTACCTTCCAAAAGATTGTGAGCCCAGTTGGCTATCTGTTTTTCGGTGATAATGTTTTCAAAATGTTTTGCAGGCTTTTGTTTTGGGCAGTCAGGTAAGCCAGCCGCCTCAATATGGCAAGTCTAGAAAATGACTTCCCATTCAAATCCCCCCCCCCCTCCAATTGACTTCATAAAATGGAAATGATTGAACTTGCAGATACATGTCAATCAAGTTGTTGCTTCATATTACCATCATGCCCATTAACAATGGCACCCACTGAAAGAAAGACGATCACAAGGCATGTTACACAAAGCAGTGACGACCAAGCTTGATCCGCACTTTAGATTGAAGTCTGCAGCAAATTGTTCCACACAAAATATTTTGGCCGATATGTTAAATCACAAACCCAACCTGCTTAGCTTTGTGCTGAAGTTCTTCACCCTATTGTGTTTTTTTTGTTTGAAAGAGCGCACTCTAATAATCACAGTGAATGATCCACATAACCTATCAAAGTCACACAGGTTATCAAAGAAGTCCTTGGAGAGGTCTTGAAGAGAATACATTCCTTAAGTTGTTGAGCTGAACAGTCTGAAGCATTAGTTAACAGTAGACATTGCACTATTGGATAGTCACCGAGGAAGGGAATCATGAAGCTATCACACAGTCTGGCATTTATATATCAATATATATTGTGGGGTTGCATAGGTGTGAAATCCATTTTGCCCACTGTTTCATGGACCCTTTTCTAGGTAGATGCATCAGAATGGGCTTTGCAGTTATGTAGCTTCGCAGCAGAGATGCACAAAGAATATTTGACTTGGATTTCCAATGTCCATTGAAATTCAGCTGAAGATTCTTACTGTGAAACAAGGAATCAAGTTGTGGCTGTTGAGAAGTGGAGAAAATGGTTTTATTCATCTGTTGACCTGGAGATTTGTTCTGGAGTCGTTCTGTCACTGAGATCTCACTTTGTGGTTTCCCTTTTATCCAAGATTGTAGTTCTAAATCCGTTCAGAACTCTGCAGCCCATATCTTCTGCTGTACTAGGCTGTTCTCACCCCTGTTCTCAAGTGGAACAACTACAAGATCCTCAGACTGACCATCAGAAGTCTCCACTAATTTTCCTACATGAAAGATATGTGAACATTGTTACTGTTTTCTTTTTATTTCCTCCATTCTCAGATTACTTTCAGATACAGTGAGGCAGCAGGCACAGATTCAGATGTTAGAAGGGCAAGTTTTGAACCGACACTAGGATGTATTTCGTTACACAGGTGGGCACTGACTCCTGGAATGGGGTTAACATGAAGGGTGATCAAGGCTGGGTGCTGGACACACTTGAGAAGTGCTTTGATGCTGAATAGGCAGATGTGTATTCTGGAAGGAAGGATGTAGGTATTCTGGAAGGATGAGATCAAATGGTCAAGAACTTTCTTCATCTGCACCTTTTTTTTGAGATGATATTCCTAAATTATAGAACTTTTCAATGATAAACCATAAACTCTTTCCAGCTTTATGACTTGCTTGTGGACCTACATCTGAATGCCTGGTATTTTTTCACTCTAGTTCCCAATACATATCTTACTTAATATCTTATAACAAGGTAAATTGCTGAACCACCTCTTTAAAATGGGTACTTAGAAAACATAAGGACATCCTGATACCATTCAGTCAGCCCAACACAGTTGGTGACATTGATCTCTGGGTCAGAAGGTTGTTGGTTCAATCTCCCAAGTGTTTGAGCTCACAGGCTAATTGCAGTGCATTCTAATGGAGCACTATATTGTCGGAGTAGCAATTCTATTAAACTGAGATCCTGCCTGCCTATTTAGGTAGACATTAAAGATTTGGCGATGCTGCTGGAAAACAGAAGGGAATTTATCTTGGTATTTTAGCCAACAATCCACCAGATTAATTGGTCATTCACCCTGTGGTAATTTGTGGAACCTTGGTGGTGCAAATGGCTGCCTTTTTGTCACCAAAAACCGTGTCTGCAGTTATCAGTAACTACTTGTGAGGCGCTTTGAGATGTTTCAATGTAATAAGGCGCTATATAAAAATGTGAGTTCTTTTTGTTTCACTTGGTCCTCCTTTAGCCCATGGCTATGTGAAGGAAAGAAGTAAAATCTAGTAAAGTTGATTCCTCCAAATTTTACAATCCAGGGTAGTGTGGTACAAGCAGTTGAACTTGTGTCCCATCACTCTCGTGCCTTGGGAGTTGAGGTACAGATCAGCCATGATCTAATTAGAATGGCGAAACAGGCTCGAGAGTCTGAATGGCCTACTCCTGTGTTACTTGTTGGTTCTTCAATAGATTGTATTTCTGCCGGCTCAAAGTGAGTTGTAAATTTCCATTGGTGTGGTTAGTGTGAAGGATTATCACTGCATCCATTCTCTTCACCCTGCTCGACACAATGATGGAAGCTCGCGTTGAAGGCAGGCATGGTACAAGTGGAATGGTACAGATTCGCAGCTCTCCTCCACCCTCTCCCGCTTACTGGGGCATCCTGCCCAGAAACTTCTTATCGGAGCCAGCGTTCAACAATGAGAAAAACTCCGAATTGTTGAAATGATGGATTTAAGGACCTTGGCCTCTTCCCTTTGAAAATGTTCAACAACAGTCGTGGTTTCATAAAAATAAATTCCATGGGCATCATGACCTGAGTGGCCCATTCTACATCCAGTTGGTTGGTTGTCGTTGTGAGTTCATAGTCCCTCTATGCAATTGGCAAGCCCCTGTGTGGGGTGACTCCAGGGCACACGATCCATTGGTTTTACAGCGATGTCTCAATGCACGAACCATTTCTGCTGCAGTGCCTATGGTCATGGTGCAGGCAACCTTCGTTGCGATGGACTATGAGGACTGGGAAGTAAAGGGCATCCTGGTAGGGAGGTGGCTCCTCCTCGACCTGGACCTGGCTGGAGAGGCAGCGGGTTTGCTCATTGGGGCAACCAGCCTCCTGCAGGCTCCCACTGCTGCTCCTCCAGAAGCAGCTCCTGCGGGAGCCATGCAGCCTCCCCAGGGAGAAGCGGCTCCCGCTCAGCGGGATGCGGGGAGAGCTGCCACAGATGCTCAGTCCGCTGCGGGAAAAGATGGAGGCGCTGCTCATGGCCCGGTGACACCGCTCACAGTTCCGCCGATACCTGCCGTAACCGCAGAGGGTGTAGCCATTGCAGCCGGAGAGCCCGACCAGGTCCATGAGCACCGCCTCAGAGTAACTGGGCACCAACTGCTGGTTGGAGCGGATGTGCCACTCCAGTTCTGTGCTGTCCACCGTGTTGACCCGGGGGATGCGCCTGAAGTACGGCCTGTCCTCCCCCGGCGTGGAGGGGACATAGTCGAAGCCAAATAGCTTCTCCACGTGGTAGTGGGCAAAGGCGGTGTGGTACTCCACCAACACCCGGAGAGGCCACGAGAGGGTCAGGAAGGCAGCCACCCAGAAGGCTCGATGGGACACGTACCAGGGCAGGCGGTCAGGGTCCCCGAATGTGATCATGTACTCCTTGAACTCGACGTTCTTGAGGTGCATACCCTCCCTGGCCTCCATGTAGTCGTCGAGGCCCTCGTTCTCGGTGAAGAAGCGGGCGCGCTGGGTCAGGTAGGAGTTCTCGGATTCCATGTTGGCGAAGCTGAAGCATTTGGTGAAACGGAATTTAGTGGCCGTCCCTTCTTCCAGGCCGGTCAGCTCCCTGGAGACGTCCTTGACCCCGCAGTTGGAGTAGTCGAACTCTGCCTCAGCTACATGGGTGCTGACCCTCTCATGGTAGACCTGAGTTGTGGTGTAAGCATCACCATTGCGGTAGCGGGTCACCTGTCTGGACCGGCGCACATAGTGGTAGCTTATGGCCTTCCACCAGATGCAGGGCGTAGATTGCTGCATCCTCTCCACATGCTCATACACGCTCTCCACATCCACCTTATACTGGAGCTCGTTCCTGGTATGACTGTGCCAGCACTCCACAAGATAGACCACATACAGCATGACCAGGAAGGCCAACGGTATGTAGACATAGCCATCGGAACAAGGGCTGTCATGGTACATCATGGACCTTCCCTTGTAGGCGCTATCAAAGGTCAGCCTGGTCACCTTGGTCACATGACACCAAGTCATGGCTCCCAGACAACCATACATCAGAAGCGAGAGCGTGAGACACTTCCAATGTGATTCTCGGCACAGGGACTGGCTCAGGGACTGCTTCACTGGACGCTGCTGCTGAAATGGAATTCCCACCCATTCCGAAGGAAAAAACACAGGGAAAAGAAAGTCAATGACTAACAAGCTTTCACACTCAGCTGTCAACATCAGTTCAGAAGCTTGGCTCAGGGCTCAGTTGGTAGCATGCACTCCCTTCTCTGGGTGGGTCAGAAGTTTGTGGGTTCAAGCCCCACATCGGGACTTGAGCTCACAGTCTAGGCTGGTGCTCCAGTGCAATACAAAGGGTAGTACTGCATTGTCGGAGGTGCGATTCTTCAGATGAGATATTAAACTGAAGTGCCATCTGCCCGACTTAAAAGATCCTGGAACATGGAACTAGAGAGAGGCTTGGAATTTCTCCAGCCAACACTCCTCCAACATAACTGATCATTCACTGCTTGGTGGTTTATAGGTACTTGCTGTACACAAGCTGTTTGTCAGCCTGGTTCAGTCGCTAACACTCCTGCCCCTGAGTCAGAAGGTTGTGGGTTTGCGGTTAGGAATTTGTATAGTCTAGGCTGACACATGCTGTGCTGGGGATGTGCAGCAATGTTGGAGGATGGGTCATTAAACTGAGGTCCTATCTGCCTGTTTAGCTGGACATTAAAGTTATGGCACTATTCAAAAAGAGAAGGGAGTATCTCCCGATGTCCTGGCCAACAATCCCCTAAGGAAAATGGTCAATCATTTCATGGCTGTTTGTGGGAAATTACTGTGTGCAAATTGGCTACCAAGTTTGCCGACAAAATATAGAGTTGTTACACTTTCCGGTATATCCTGTGAAACCCTTTGCAACTTCCTTCTGATGTGAAAGGCACTATACAAAATGTAAGGATTATTATTATAAAATGGGCTCAACGTTTGCCAACAAAAACACAGTCACTTATCTGTGAAGCATTTTGAAATATTTTGGTGTGATAAGGTGCTATGAAAAGAAAGTTCTTTCTTTGATTCTTCCACGCTCCTACCCCATCTACCATCTCAACCCCCATTCTCTCGCCAACTTGTACCTGCAGGACATCCCTCACCCTTTCCACCTGACCGTAGGCACCTGAGTGTTTAGCCATGATGTTCCCGCTCATTGGAACTCCCCCCAAAATATCTCTCATCCTTTCTATTGTGGAGTCCTGTAGCGTAGTGGTTAGCGCACTCGCCTTGCAAGCGTGAGGCCCCAGCTTACCGGGCAAAAGAAACCTCAGGCAAGTGTCCTTACTCCACATGCCTCTGTTTACCTTACAGTAAGTAGGAATCTGGTTGTTAGTCGATTACCAGATCCTTTCCCTACAAATCAAATTAATAATAATTTGGTCACTCAGTCCACGACTGCTGTGCCAATTGGCTGCCGCATTTCACTCACAAAATATTCAGTCAATTCACTTTACAATATATCCTGTGAAGTGCTTTGAGACTTCTCAACAACACAATATCAAATGCAAGGAATATTATTATTATATTATTATTATAAAATCCTTTGCATTTTCAAAGCCTTTCTAGAAAACTGACCTATTCAATTGCATATTTGGTCAACTCCCTTCTCCCCCTATTTCCCACTTTGCTCAGAATTTCACTCTGTCTATGCAATGTGCTTCAAGATGTTATTGTGCATGTATAAGTACAAGCTTCTGCTTTTAGTATAGCAAATGCACAAATGTGGATAGATACTTGACAAGTAAGGGTTATGGGGAAAATGTGGAGAAGTGGGATTAAAAGATCTAATAAACCGAATGAAGTGATCTGATGAGCTGAAGGACCCCCTCCAGGTCTTAAAACTGGACCACAGGATAAATCAAAGCTACATTTGAATTACATAATGAGTTTATTGGCTGAAGGGACTTGTGGGATGATAGATGAGTCTCCAGACGCCAATGAATTTGCAATTGACCAGCCACACATTCAGATGTAATTGGCAGAAACTCAGTGGAGAGGCTTGGTGGGGGGTAAGGCAGTGATTAAAAATTAGAACAGAGAACTCCAGGTTCATTCTCCATTTAGTGCCCAAGTTAGCTACAACATGTGTTAGACCCAGAGTAAAGCCCTTCCAGGTCACCTATAACATGGGTTAGATACAGATTAAAGCTTCCTCTACACCGTCCAATCTAGCACTCCCAGGTCAGTCACAGCATGGGTTAGATACAGAGTAAAGCTCCCTCTAAACTCGCCTCGCAAGGTTCGATTCCTGGGCGAAACCCTACTCCACGCACCTGTTTACCTAGCAGTAAGTAGAAACCCAGTTGTTAGTCGATTGGTGGATCGCTTTTTGGGGGTAATAATCCCTCAAAATAAATGTGGTCACTCAATCTTTGACTGTTTGTAGGACACTGCTGTGTGCTCTTGGCTACTGCGTTTCGCCCATGAGAATTAATTTTACAGTATATTCGGTGAAGCGATTTGAGATGTCTCAACGATAAGGTGCTTTATCAAATGCAAGGATTATTATTATAATAAACTGTCTCATCCAGCACTTCCAGGATAACTACAGCACAAATATAGAGTAAAACTCCATGGACACTGTTTCATCTAGAAACAACAATAGTTAGCTGGATGGGCCAAGTGTAGGAGCTCTGTATTTTTGTACCTGACTGGGGAGTGCTGGATTTTGACACAAAAGCATTCCATTCCCTGGAGCTGACTTCCTTCACCTTGATGAGACTAAACATAGTGGTGAAAAAAATAAGAACACAAGTTACAGGGAGGGAATTCCTTTCACTGAGGCTGGTTGGGGACTTGCTGTGTGATTGCACAACAGCAATAACTTGCACTTATATAGCACCCTCCATGCAGGGTAGCATCTCAGACCGCTTGGCTACTGCATTCACTCACTGCAAGTCCTTAGCATCTACACAGTGTCCCCAGGTAACCCAAGCAGTAGCTGCTATTTCTCCCTGTTATTGGGGAAGTCAAGAGTTTCCACCTGCTCTCAAATTAACTCCATGGGCCACTGGGGACATGGTGTCTCACTTCTGCCTACCTTCCTCCTTTGAATTGTTTCTCTTATTCAATCCTCTCTTTCTGCTTCCATTCCTTTGTATCTATCCATTTTGCTTCCCTCTATCCACACCCACACCAAGCCCCATTTCTACCGCACTTTGATAACCTCTGTGCAAGTTAAATCGGGGATGATTAATAAGAGAACCCAGGCTTCAAAAGCTTGTTCAAAAAATTATAAAGTGCACGGCATTAATTGAAAGGTTGTAGCATGGATAGAAGATTGGAAAGGATAGAAAATAAAGAGTGGTTGTTATTCAGGATGGAGAGAGGAAAATAGTGATGTTCCCCAGGGGTAATGCTTTTCTCCAGTTAAATAATCTATAAGGACCACAGTTTCACCAAGAGACTGGAAGAATAGGACCTATTTTCACTTCACTTCATGGTTGTTTGTGGGACATTTATTTCTGTGCGCAAATTAGATGCTGTGGTTTGCTCACAAAACACAAAGTCACTGCACTTTACAGTATATCCTGTGAATATAATAATAATCCTTGTATTTGATATAGCTCCTTATCACATCATTGAAACATCTCAAAGTGCTTCACAGGATATACTGTAAAGTGGATTGATATTTCGAGTATTTTGTGGGTGAAACATGGCAGCCAATTGTGCACAGCAATGCCTCAGCAATGGAGTGAGTGATTAATTTTATTGGGGGTGGGAGGGGGGGGGGNAATTGTTGGCCAAGACAACTTCAATTTGGGGGATTTGAAGAACTGTGTGGTGTCCTCCTGACGTGAAGATGCTGTACCAGATGTGAGGATTTTTCTTTTTCCTGACACAGAAAATTTAGCAGAAACCTGATAAAGGTCTTTAAAATTATGGGGTGTTTTAATATAGTTGATGAGAAATTATTTTCGCTGGTCGGTGAGTCAGTGACTAGAGGGCATCAATTTAAAATAATTACTAAAGGAGTAAAAAGTGTGTGTGGGGGGGGCGGAGGGTGTCAGACATATCTATATTAGCTTTCAAGAGGAAATTAGATAGAAATTTAAACATAAGTAATTCACAGTGGTATGGGAAATGATCTTTTAAGAGCCATCATGGACACAATGGGGCTGAAAGACCTTTTTCTGTGCTATTAATTTGGGGCCTATTGGTAATATATAAGGCGTGCAATTTCAATGTTTCACCAAGAGACTTGAGGAACTGGGCCTATTTTCAATTCAATGCACCAGTTTGATTCCTGGGGTGGGGGGCAAAACCTTAGGCAAGTTTCCTTAAACCACACGCCTCTGTTTACCTAGCAGTAAGTAAGAACCCGGTTGTTAATCCAGTGGCAGATCGCTTTCCGGGGGTAATAATCCCTCCAAAAAAAAATGTGGTAGCATTCAATCCACGACTGTTTGTGTGACACTGCTGTGCGCAATTGGCTACTGCATTTCTTCCACAAAACACAGTCAATCCACTTTACAACATATTCTGTGAAGCACTTTGAGACATTTCAGCGACATGATAAGACACTATATCAAATGCAAGGAGTATTATTATTATTATATCTTCTAGCTGAACAGCTCTAAGGCCCGGCTGGGTTTTGATGTCACATGTGACAAGACATTCATGGGACTGACTCCCCGTGTATAGCAATTACCAGTCTAGGGGCAGAAGTTCTCTGTAGGTTAACAGAAATATTCACTTCTCCTTTCCCTCCATCCTTTCAAAGAAGCGGCATCTTCACTGTTCTGAAATGTATTTGACAAGCCAGTTCTTGTACATTCACCAATACACATTAATGCCAATGAAAGACATCACTTAGAATCAAAATGATAGAACTGCAAAACACAGATGCACATTCAGCCAATGATGCTTGTGCCAACTCTCTGAAAGAGGTATGTATCTAGTCCCATTTGCATTTAATCAAGGAAGTACATTTATGCACATCGTTGACTGTTCAGCGCTTTGAGACGTCCTACCGACGTGAAAGGCAATATAAATGTAATTTGTTGTCCCATTCCCCTGCCTTTCCCCCTTACTCTATTTTATATATTTCCTTTTCAAATATTTGTCTAATTCCTTTTTAAAAGCTGTTATGTATTCTGTTTGAAGCACAATTTTTGGTCTAGTGTTCCACATCCCTAATCTTCGGTGTAATTTTTTTTAATCACATTATTAAAACCTCTCATGACTTTGAATGCCTCCATCAGGTTTCCTTTCAATCTTCCCTGGTTCTGGTAAAAAGAGCCCCAGTTTCCAGTCTCTTCTCATAAATAATGCCTCTCATTCCTGGACTCAACCTGATGTGTGACGTTTTAATGAGCAAATGCCACCTGTCCTCCTCCCTAAACAAAATTGTGGGATTGATTTTGTGATATTTCTTAATTAAAAATCTATGAGGAAATAATGCAGATTGACATTACTATCCCTTCTGTATCTCTTTTTCCATCTATTTGCATTTTATTTAAATAAATTATCTAAATTAGACCTTATATTTATACAACAGCAACTTGCATTTATATATCGCCCTTCACGTAGGATAATGCCTCAAAGCGGAATGCCTTTCACATAAAACAAATGTCTGAAAAAGCTTCACAACTTATATTCGTAGAGCACCTTTCACATAAAAGAAACATCTTGAAGCACTGCACAATTTGCATTTAGACAGCGCCTTTCGTATAAAAGAAATGGCTAGAAGGGCTTTATAAATATTTGAATAATTAGAAATGAAATGAATGTTGTTTTATATATATAGGCAAACATGGCAGCTGATCTCTGCTAGCAACATTTCACACAATAATAAGATGAGCAGACGATTATTCAGATATTTTTGTTGGTGGGGGGGTGAATCTCAATAAGGGATAATAGCCAGGACATCGGGGGTGGGGGCTGGGAACACTTTTCTCTGAAATAGCAGCACAGAATCTTTTAACATCCGCCTGAAGGCAGAAGGGACCTCAGTTAAGGCTCGTTTAGAAAAGGGAATGACAATCTAGAATAAATGAAAGTTGGATTAAATATAGCATCTTATCATGTCAAAACATCTCAGCACTGAACAAAAAGAGTTACTATTAAGTGTAATGAATGTTGATAAACAGAACAGTCAGTGACCAACTCTCCCCAGGTGTGGAGATGTGGTTGTTCAGCACTAGGGCTTCCCAGTGACCATTGGTTGCAATTGTCCCTTTAACAAAACAACAACTTGCATTTGTACAGCGCTTCTCGTGCAGCGTAGCGTCCCAGAGGGCTTGACAATGGCGTGCCACGATGCCGAGCCGGGGGGAGGTGACCGTAGGCACGATCGAAGAGGAAGATCTTCAGGCGTGACCTGAAGATGGGGAAGGAGGGGGCAAGGCGGAGGGATAGAGTGAGAGTGTTCCAAAGTTTCGGGGCTTAGTAGCTGAAAGCACAGCACCCATTGGCAATTCTCATTAACCCATTGACACCGCCCCTTTAACCCATTGGTACCTCCTCTTTAACACATTAATACCTCCTCTTTTACCCACCTGCACTTTTTCTTTAACTCAGTGACAACACCCTCTTATGTGTGAGCTCAAATTGCCCTGGTGGGTGAATTAATGTTGGTGTGACCAAAGTTTGGCTCCTGGTGACTCTGGGCTAAAGCTCTGGGGATCAACGCACCCGTCACTGATTCCATGTGTGCACCAACACCAGCCACAACCTCCCTTCCCTGTCCACACAACAATTTCACTATACACTAAATTTTGTCAAGCGTTTTGAGACATCCTTCCAACGTGAAAGGCTCTACATCAAATGCAAGGATTATTATTGTTTACAATTGAACTTCGCACATGGGGAAAGGGGAGGGAGGGGAGGGGGAGGGAAGCAGAAGGAGGAGTCCAAGAAATACGGACCAAGATCCTATTTAACCGAAAAATCTTTACAAATCCTCATGGACTTCCGAATGCTGACCTGTGTGACCGTGTAATCAGGCAGATGCCAACTTTTATATGGGGAAAGCATTAATAATAAGAAAAAATAATTGAATCACTCAATCCATGTCTGTTTGTGGGACACTGCTGTGTGCAATTGGCTGCTGCGTTTCACCGACAAAATACACAGTCAATTCACTTTACAGTATATTCTGTGAAGCGCTTTGAGATGTCTCGACGACGTGATAAGGCGCCATATCAAATGCAAGGGCTATTATTGTTATGGGGAGGGGGCAACTACGTTTTAACTCCTGATATCTGAGAGGGGGTGGGGCCGGGGTGGCGGGGGGGGGAGAAAGAAAGTGCATCATAACCATAACACCGTAACCGGTGTTTCAATCCAACTCACCTCCTCTCTGATGCTCTCCGTCTCCTCGTCGGGTACCGGACTGCTCTCGGTAACCGCTGCTGGTGACATGGCGCGTCTGCTGCCCGCCCGCCCGCCCTCCCTCCCTCCGCTCAAAACACGCACGCCGGCACGCTACCCCTGACCACCGTCACCGCCAACGCCCCCGCCCCCGGGATGGGTGCCAGTCAGCCTCCGACCCCGCGATCCCGCAATCAAACCATCCCCGTCTCCCTGCCCGGGGGAATAAGGGCCCGAGGACCCTATCGGACAACCAACCCGCCCAACTGAGACTCAGAAAGGCAGTTGCCAAACACATCACCCCCTCCACCCACTCCGCTCCCCTCTTGCCCCCTTACCCCCCCCAAAACACACAGCACTCTCCCCTCCCCCAACCCCCCCCCCACCCCACCCAGAGGGGTGGAGAGAATCGCACCCACCCCACCCAACACTCAGACCTTCATCCAGGTCCAAGGTGCTGTGCTGTCCTCTCTAGACCTGTCGGATCAGCTGAGTGCCCCAGTGATGCCCACACCGCCAGCGGTTGCTCCCATCCTCCCGGCTGCCCGGCATTAACGCCTCCTGCAGCTTTTGCTGCATTCCTACCAGAGCTGCTGTCATCACATCTTCGGGGAGAGAGAGAGAGAGAGAGAGGGAGAGAGGGAAGAGTTTTATTCGTTTATTTTTTTTTTGCAAAAGGCAAACCCCAACCCCAACAGCTTTTCCGACACAAAAAAAAAGCACATCACATTCTCAGGTGCTGTGATGAGCCAAACCCCCTCCTCCCCATCCTCTCGCTCACTGTTGCAACCTTACCTCTCCCCCCCCACCCCACCCCACCCCCTGCCTCTCTCCCTCTCTCTCTCTCTCTCTATTTTTCTCACTCCTCTCTTTCTCCCTCTGGTGGGAAGGCAAAGTTATGCTGTTATCTCTCTCTCTCTCTCTCTGTGTGTGTGTGTGTGTGTGTGTGAATCTCTCTCGTTCTCTCTACGTTGCTTTCTGTGTTCATTTGCATCGAGTCTGTATCTCTGTCTGTCTCTAACACACACACACACACACACACATATACACTCCCTGTCACTTGCTGTGTTCATTCCAGTGGAGGAGGGAGAGGGGTGTGTGTGTGTGTGTGTGTGTGTCTCTCTCTCTGTCTCTCTGTGTCTGGCTCTTTCACTGGTTCCTCACCACAGAAAGGTTTATTAAGCAGATCGATTAACACATTTCAAATCTATGCACATCGACAGCTGGACACACACACACACACACACACACACAGATTGATGTTATCAATCACTCTTTCATTTAAAAAAAATTGCTACACAACCAGATGCTGTTGATAACGAATGTGCACACTGGCTTAAGAGAGATGGGTTGGAAATGGGGTATCAAGCAAATGCACACAGTATGTTTACCACTCCTCCCACCCAAACAAATCCTGTATGAATACTCCCTTTGCCTAGCAGCAAGTAGGAGCCCGGTTGTTAGTCGATTGGCGAATCACTTTCTGGGGGTAATAATCCCTCCCAAAACATTTGGTCACTCAATCCTGTTTCTGGGGCATTGCTGTACTCAATTGGCTGCCGTGTTTCACCCACAAAATACACGGTCAATCCACTTTACAATACTTCCTATGCAACGCTTTGAGACGTCTCAACGCCATATTCACGTGATTGAGACGTCTCAAAGCACTTCACAGAATATACTGCAAAGTGAATTGACTGCATACTTCGTGGGCAAAACGCGGCAGCCCGATGCGCACAAGTGTCCCACAAACAGTTGAGGATTGAGGGACCAAATTATTATTATTATTGTTTTTGAAGGAATTATTACCCCCAGAAAAACAATGCACCAATCAACTAACAACAGGGTTCCTACTTACTGCTAGGTAAACAGAGGCGTGTGGACTAAGGAAACTTGCCCAACATTTCCCCCTGCCGGGAATCAAACCCGGGGCTCTCCCTTGCAAGGTGAGTGCTCTAACCACTGAGGTTTTGGCTCTGTTGAGGGGGTGAGATAATAAATAAATATCTTTGCATTTGATGCAACACCTGTCAGACCAGGAGGACATCTCAAAGCATTTCACATGATGAACAATTTTATTTGGGGTTTGTTGGCCAGCACACCAGGAGACATTCTTCTTTTCAAATAATTCCACAGGGTCTTCAATGTCCACTTGAACAGACAGACTGGACCTCGGTTTACAACAGCAACAACAAAATGACATTTTTATAGTGCCTTTCACATTGGGAGGATGTTCCAAGGCACTGGACAGACAGAGCTTCGGACCTGAGCTGGGGGTCGGGGAGGGTGGAGGTCAGGGGGGGAAGCACGGAGATCGAAAGCATTGTTGAAGAGGAGGGTCTTGAGATAGGTCTTGAAGGTGGTAAGGGAGGGGACGAGGTGCAGGGACTGCGGGATGGAGTTCCAGAGGGTGGGGGTAGAGCAGCAGAAGGCCCATCCTCCAATAGTGGGGTGAGTGAGGAGGGGAACGTGAAGCAGGCCGGAGCCCAACTGAGCGGAGGGAGCGAGCAGGATGGTAGGGGGCTAGGAGGTTGCAGAGGTAGGGGGAGCAAGACCATGGAGGGGTTTGAAGGTGAGGACCAGGATCTTGAACTGTATCCTCTCTGTGATGGGAAGCCAGTGGAGTTGGGCGAGGGTGGGGGTGATAGGGTCACAGAGCCTAGTGCAGGAGAGGACACGGGCTACAGAGTTCTGGATGATCTGCAGCTTATGGAGGGAGGAGTTGGGGAGGCCGACAAGCAATCAGTTTGCATAGTCGAGCCTCGATGTAATGAAAGCATGTACGAGGGTCTCATTTGAATGACAGCAGATCAAGCGATGCAGCACATCCTGGCACTGCATTCGAGTGTCAGCCTGGACTATATAAGATCTAATTTCCGATGTGAGGCTTGAACTCACAATCTTTTGCCTCAGAGGCAAGAGTGCTACCACCTGAACCAGACTATCCAAACCAGTATCCAAACCAGACAGACTTCCACATACTGTATTGTGTACCACCAACGCATAGAAATTTTGCTGTGTCTAGAACAGAATGCACACACTCCTTGAAGTACACATAATAATAATAATAATAATCCTTGCATTTGATGTAGTACCTCATCATGTCATCGAAACATCTCAAAGGACTTCATATGATATACTGTAACGTGGTTTGGCTGTATATTTTGTGCGCGAAATAGGGCAATCAGTAGCACACAGCAATTTCCCACAACCAGCCATGAATTGAGTGACTAATTTTATTTGGAAGATTTTTTGGCCAGGACACCTGGAGAAACTCCCTTCTCTTTTCGAATAGTGCCATGGTATCTTTAACATCCACCTGAATAGGCAGACGGGACCTTGGAGTAATGCCACATCCTGTTTACCTGCTTCTAGGTAGTATTAGGTGCAGGTTGGTGAGAGCCAAGGGACCCCAGAGTGTGAATTGGGGTAACTACTGGAGTTTAATCAGCTAAAATTTCACAGCTTGCACTGCAGAAAGAGCACTGTCTGACTTGCTTCCTGCTACTTGTCCAGCTGGGACCACCCTACTTGTTATGGCTTTGACTTGCAGGTTAAATAGGAGCTGAGCGGGAGAATTCCCAGCTTTGATTCCCGGGCTAGACAAAAACCTTAGGCACATTTCCTTACTCCACATTCCTCTGTTCGCGTAGCAGTAAGTGGGAACCCGGTTGTTAGTTGATTGGCGGATCGCTTTACGGGTGGCAATAACCAAAAGAAAAAGTGGTCACTCAATCCACGAGTATTTGTGGGACGCTGCTTGTGCTTAATTGGCTGCCGAATTTCGCCCCCAAAATATACAGTCAATTAATTCGCTTTACAGCGAAACGCTTTTGAGACATCTCGACGAGGCGCTAACAGCAACAAAATGACATTTGCGCGGCTCCTTTCACGGTCGGGAGGACGTCCCACGGCGCTTATACCGGACGCATATTTTTATCATTTATTATCGATGAAGCACGTCAGGCTGCTTGAAAGGGGAGGCATTGAGCTATATCGAAGGGTACGTGGGGAGGGAGGGAGGGAGGGAGCGAGTGAGTAAGTAAAGAGAAGAGAAATAAAAACTCCAGGGAAGATCTTGATGGTCCTGATGACATGTTGCTGTGTGTGTGTGTGTGTGTAGGAGGGAGGGAGGGGGTGGGGTGGGGGGGAGGTTGTTAAACCTTTCTTTTTGTTCCACGCCTCATTTATGAGCATTGCCCGCCCACTTTGGGAATCCCCCAGGAAGGATCCGGAGTCAGCAAACGGCCAACCGATTAGCCTGGCTGCGCTTTTGCTCAGTAAAAGACTTCGCCATTGGTCCCCAAACTCAGGCTCTTGCAAACATTTGCAAAAAAAAACCTGATGGGAAATCCCCAGTCAGGAGTTTCCTCTCTCGATTGCAACACTGTAGTGCCGCAGAGAGAGAGAGAGAGAGTAGCTCACACTCGCTCACACACTCACTCACTCACACTCGCAGAGACTCCGGGGGACTCGAGGATTTTGCAACAAGAAAGGAGAAAAATCCTGGAACTCGGATTACCGACAGGAGGTAGTTGGGAATCGTCCCCTTCCAGCAAACGTGAAGACTTCGACCTGGACTGAACTTGACCTGAAATTAACAAGCAACTCACGCCCCCCCACCACACCACACTCCTTGGCCTCGGCCGCTGTTTTCGGTCGCTCTCGTTGCAAAAAAAAGGGGGTGGGGAGGAGTAACCCCAAATACTTTGAAAAAAAAGGCGACTTTGCAACGTCGATCCACCGTCAAGAGGACCCGGCTCACTCACACAATAGTCACCTGAAACACCATGGAATACATGGCGAGTAAAGCGGATCCCGACGGCAAGTTGGATGTGGATAAATCTCGGTGTGATTCGGGTTTGGTTGAATCGCTCGGAGAGCCCCAGGAGCCGGCGAGCAAAGTGAAGGTAGAGGAAGTGGAGGAGGATCAGTTTGACTCCAGTTATGGCTCCTCGTGTCTCTCTGATCGCCTGGATTCCTCGTACGGCACCTCGTCCATCACTGACTCGCTGTCTGAAGCCCTGGACAAGTCCTGTCGGATCAGACATGAGGACAACAAGAAAGGAGCCACCGAATCCAGGGACAAGACAGTGACAGACTCTCCCCTGGATCCTTACACTTTCCTGGGGGAAGATGGGGACACGTAAGTTGTAATACATTTAAATTTTAAAACGTGTTTGGGTCAGCCGGTGCCTGACACATGCAGAACCCCATCTCCATGCTTAAAAGTGTCCAAACCAAACCGATAGTTCCAGGCAGCCCACCTACACACACACTAAACTCCATACCCCCATTACACCAGTTCTCGCCAGTGAACACATCGATTTCAAGATCCTCACACTCGTCTTCAAATCCTTTTATGCCCTGGTATCTCCCTATCTCTCCGACCTCCTTACTCCTGAACCCCCTACCCGCTGCCTCTGCTCGACTGGCTCTGGCCTCCTACCTGTCCCTCGAGCCCTCCGTTTCACCACGATGGCCGTGTTTTAAGCCACTGTGCCCCGAAACTCTGGAACACTCTTCCCCCATCCCTCGACCTTGCCCTTCCTTCCCCATCTTCAGATTGCGCCTGAAGATGGGGAAGATTGCGCCTGAAGACTACAGTCCCTCTCCTGGCTCGGTGTTGTGCTTTGCCACTGTCAAGAGCTCTGGGATGCTACCCTCTGTGTGTGGGGTGCCATGTTAATGCAAGTTGTTGTTGTTACACATGGAAATCCCAGAGATAGATTGTTGGAATGGAATGCGCACTCTCCCTAGAGGGACACATCCTACTTCCTTTATCCTAGAAAACATTTGAATAGATATAGCTATAAGCGTTTTTTTTTAAAAAACACACCCTGGTTGTCAGTGAGGCAATTTTGAGTTTGGAACAGTTAGTGGCACTCTTATCCTCCTGTGGGTGGGGTGAGGGTAAGCTGGATCTCCTTGGAGCTGAACTGGTCCAAGGTGAAATGTTTGGCTACAGAATGTCGGAATAGAGCCCATGTTCTGTGACAGTCTCAGTAGTCCAGTTCCTAAGCCAGACAGGACAGTATTCAAAGGTATTACTGATCACAGCACTGCCAGCCTGGCTCATCGGCAAGACCTAGAAGGGGAGGCCAGTCACTGGGAGCAGGGAGTCATCCCACTCAGTTAACCCTGTAAGCCAAAGCCCTAACTGGTAGGGTGGTCCTAGCTGGACAAGTAGTGGTTTTTAGCTGGTTAGACTCCAGCAGTTACCCCAATGCACAGGACACTCTGGGATCCCCAAGCCTTGGCTCTTGCCAACCTGTGCCTAACACTTTCCAGAATTAGGTAAGCAGGATGCGTCCCTCCAAGGAGAGAGTACACACTCCATTCCAAAAAGCATCTCGGGAATTTCCATGTGTAAGTAGGATGCATGAAATTCTCAGTTTGGTTTGGATATTCATAAGCATGGTGATGGATTTCCACATGACACCCGGCTGACCAAAGAAAAAATCAAATGTGAGGATTATTATTTGTAGTTAATTTGCCACAACAGCTGAAGCCACCATATACATTATACGTTTAATGCAGTACCTGTGATGTCTAGTGTAGGTCAAAGGATTGTAGTCAATTGTAATAATAACTGTGGCTTTGTAGCCAAACATAGCAGCCAATTTGTGCAGTGCAAGGTCTCACGAACCATTTTTATCTGCTCTTTATCTGCCCTATTGTGTCTGAGCTGGTGTCAACTCCCCCACTGGACCTTTTACCCATTCTCCTGTTTATCTCTTTGGTGTATGTGCTGGTGCTCACTCCCTCACTGAAGCTATGCACTCTAATCTCATCTCATGGTAACACTCTCGCCTCTGAGTCAGAAGATTGTGGGTTCAAGCCCCCACGTCAGGACTTTGAATCACATAGTCTAAGGTGACACGCCAATGCAGTACTGGGGGTGTGCACTCGTCTTGCAAGCAAGAAGTCCTGGGTTCGATTCCCAGGTGGTGTGAAACCTTAGGAAAGTTTCCTAACTCCACACACCTCTGTTTATCTAGAAGTAAGTAGGAACCTGGTTGTTAGTCGAATGGTGGATCGCTTTTCCAGGGGTAGCGATCTACTAACTCCGACCTACTATCCCCCTACCTACCTGCCCGTAGCCTCCGTTCCTCTGGCTCCGGTCTGCTCCACATCCCCTGCCCCAACCGCCCTACCAACGGTGGCCGGGCCTTCAGCCTCTCAGCCCCGAGGCTCTTGAACTCTATCCCCCAGTGCCTTCGCCGCCTCCTCCCTTTCCTCCTTCAAGGTCGGTCTCAAGACCTTTCTCTTTGACCGAGCCTTCAGCTCCCCTCTCGACTCTCTACCCCCTCCTCGCTCTCTCCCTTCCCTCCCCTCACCCTGACCATTTCCCCCCTGCTCGGGTCCTGACCCAACTGTACAGCGCCTTGGGACGTCCTCCCAACGTGAAAGGCGCTCAATAAATGGAATCTTGTTGTTGTTGTAATAATCCCTTCATAATTTTTTTTTAAAAAATAATAATTTGGTAACTCAATCCATGACTGTTTGTGGGACACTGCTGTGAGCAATTGATTGCCGTGTTTCGGCCACAAAATAAATATTCAATCCACTTTACAGTACAACAACTTGCATTTATATAGCGCCCTCCACCCCGGGCAGCGTCTCAGAGCGCTTAATAATGGCGGAGCCTGAGGCAGAGCCAGTGGGAGGGGGAAGGTGACCATAGGCATGGTCGAAGGGGAAGGTCTTCAGGTGCGATCTGAATATGGAGAAGGAGGGAGCGAGGTAAAGGGGTTGAGGGAGGGAACTCCAAAGTTTCGGGGCGTAGTGATTGAGGGCACGGCCACCGATGGTGGAGCGGAGGATTCGGGGGGTATATTCTGTGAAGCGATTTGAGGCATCTCAACGATATGATAAGGTGCTATATCAAATGTAAGGATTATTATTAGTAGTAGTGGTAGTCTAATTTCACTCTCCTGCACATCCCCGTAAGATATTCCACCTCTAATTCCTGTTTAAAAGAACCGACGGACTTGATGCCACAACTGTAATGGATTATTTTTTCAAACCTTCTGTGAACGTCTTAAATTTGTGCCCACTCATGTCTATACTCACCGATCAGCTTAAATAACTCATAATAATAATCTTGCATTGGGTACAGCACCTTTCACGTCAGGGGGACGTCTCTTAGCACTTCTCGGGAGTTTCTGTGAAATGGGATGGCAGTGTATTTGTGGGTGAACACGGCAGCAACGTCCCACAAACAACCATGAAACAAATGACCAATTTTTTTCTATTTGGGGGATTGTTGGCCATGATACCGGGAGAAGCTCCCTTCTCTTTTCGAATAGTGCCATGGGATCTTTAACATCCACCTAAAACCGGCAGACAGGACCTCGGTTTAACATCTCATCCTCTGACTATGCAACAGCCCCCAGACAGCACCGTATTGAAGTGTCAGATCAGACTGTACGAGTTCATGTTCCAACGTGGGGCTTAAACTCGCAACCTTCTGACTCAGAGGCAAGAGTGCTGTCGACTGAGCCAGACTGACACACAGATAACATATTGCTGGGTGTAACATGGGTGTAGGAATTAGTGCCTGAGCACTTTTGCAGCTTCACTTCACGAGACTGTCATGAGGACTTTCTAAGTTTGCAAGAAGGGGAGGTGTGGAAATTGGGGAAAATCTAAGGGGAGGGGAAGCCCAGGGATGGGGGAGGAGGGGGGGAATTTGCCCCCGCTGTACCGAGAAGGTAATGACTGATTGAAAGCCCTTGTTTTGTTTCTTCACAGAGGTGTGGAAGTGAGCTTAGGCTGTGTGTGGGTTGCGTCGGGGCCAGGCATCATGTCTTTGACCCATTTTACTGTTATGTTGCTGCTGTCAACCCCCCCCCCCCCACCCCCACACCTTTTCTATTTGCATGTTTCCATGCGTCACACACACATGTGACTCAAATCTAACACTTTCCTGTCAGAAGAGGAAGAGAAGGTGGGGCTGGACCACCTGTAGTGGGGTGTGATGTGGGGGAGGCAGGGGAGGGGGAGGGGGACGTTGAGCAACGATTATTGGTATTGTGGGAGTGGGAGAAAAGAGGGGGCGAGAGCTCCTGTAATACATAATCCTTGATATAGAGGCTTATCATGTAGTTGAGACATCTCAGAGCTCTTCACAGGATACACTGTAAAGTGAATTGACTGTATATTTTGTGAGCAGAACAATTGCGCACAGCAATGTCCCAGAGTCATGGATTGAATTTTTTTAAGGGATTATTACTCCCGGTAAAGCGACCCGCCAATCGACTAACAACTGGGATCCTACCTACTGGAGTAAGGACACTTGCTTAAGGCTTCGTCCCGGTCCTTACTTGCGGGCGATGCGAGCATGTTACCTTGTACTGCGTTTGCGGGAGCTAAGCCACTGATGCATGTCTGTGTGTGTTTCAGCATTGTGCACCTGGCAGCGATTCACAAGGCAGAAGCATGCGCCCTGCACTTCATCAGTTTCTTCTCTGTGGAGGTGCTGGAGATTCAGAACGACTTGTTTCAGGTATGGTTTTACTCAGCTGGTGGTCCCTCTCCAGGCCCCCCCCCTCCCTGCGCACACACACACATACACACATTCGCACATGTAAACACGCACATACGCACTCATACGCACATTTGCACATTGCACACATATACACACGTGCGCACACACACCCATACACGCATTTGCACATGCACACCCACGTTGGCTCACAAGGTTTACAGGAGTTGAGTGGGAAGAATTCCCCCACCCCCGGTCTGTCTGCCCCGGCTTGCCCCGATTTTTTTTCTCTCTCTCTCTCTCTCTCTCTCTCTCTCAGTCTTGGTAAACAGTTCCTGAGCCTTTGCCCCAAAATGATTAGGGAAACTGGGCAAGTTCACTCTGGAGAAGAGGAGGCTGAGGGACGATAGGATTACAGTCTTTAAGATTCTAAAGGGACAAGATATAACGTAGACCACGATAAGCTGTTTTATCTTGTACTGAACAGTAGAACCAGAGGACATGGCCTGCGATTGAAGGGGCTAAATTCAGAACGAATTGGCGGAAACACTATCTCAGAGAGCGAGCAGTGACCTTATGCAACAGACTCCCCAGGGAGATGGTGGAAGCAGCAAGTGTCGATTCATTCGAGAACAAATCGGATAGATTTCTGTTAGGAAATCGTATCTCGGGATACAGTGTATAGTTTACAACATGTCAAGCAACCGCCAGGATGGTGGAAGGTGAACTGGATGGACCTTGGTCTTATTTCATTCAGCAAATCTTATGTTCTTATAACCTCTCGTCATTTTCTCTTTCCACCCCACCCCACCCCCTCTCCGCCCACCCCCTCCGCCACTGGAGCTCTCTGCTCACACTTGCTGCTCACACTTGCTGCTGTCTGTGTGTTGCAGGCTGCCTTGCACCTGTGTGTGTACACTAACCAGAGCTGCCTGGTGCGGGCGCTGGTGCTGAGGGGAGTGAGTCTGGAGCAGCAGGATTGGCACGGCAATACCCCACTGCATCTGGCCTGTGAGTATGGGCTGGTCCAGTGTGTCCAAGCCCTGACACAGCAGCCCACAGCGCAGGAGAGAGACAACCTCCAACACCTCTGTCTCGGACCCAGGCACCAGGACTTGGAGCTACAGAACTGGCAAGGTGGGTGATGGGGCAGTGGTGAGAGAGTGGGTGGAGGAGAAACCAGAGGTGGTCATGGACTGTGGGGGGAGGACGGGGACGCAATGGTGAGAGAGAGAGAGAGTGTGTGGAGAAAAGGGGTGAAATATAGATAGAGAGAGGGAGTGGAGTGGGTGGAGAGGGGGCAGTGGTGAGAAAGAGAGAGTGAGGGAGGGTTGAGAGAGAGAGTGTGGGGTAGGGGGAACCAGGTAATGTCTGTGTTGAGCTGCTAGTCGGGATCAGGTCACACCACTATCCTGGGAGAAACGTTGCTGAAGGAGCTGGGATACATCACTGGATTTCTGTGTCTTTGCAGCAACTCATGACCTGTATCTCTTCCCCTTCTGTATCTCTGTGCAGGTGTGACATGTCTACATGTGGCAACACTGGGCAGAAACCAGGAGATAATGGAACATCTTCTCCAGAATGGGGCAAACGTTGATGCACAGGTTAGACTCTCTCCATCTCTCTCTCTATTTCTGACTCTGTGAATGTGTGTGTCTGTCTCGCTTTCTGTCTGTGGGTGTGTTTGTGTGTGTGTCTCTCTCATTCTTCCGCACTCTCGCTCAGTCTCTGGTCCACTCTCTTGTTCTCTGTTTTTCTATTTTTCTCCACTCTATCTCTTTCAATCTTCTTACTGTCTGCGTCTATCTGCCCATGTCTCTCATTTTCTCTATTTTCCTCACTGTGTATTTCTCGGTTCCTCTCTAATCTGAGTGTGTGTGTGTGCGCGTGTCTCTCTCTCTCTCTCTTCATGAATGTTTCACTCTCTGATTTTGTTTCTCTTTCCCTTTTTTCTCTCTCTGTTTTTCTTCCTCTGTGTTGCTCTATGTCTGTCTCTCTCTCGCTCCGTGTCTTCCTCTCTCTCCGTATGTGTGTGTGTGTGTTTGTGTCTGAGTGTGTGTGTGTGTCTCTGTGTATGTGTGTGTGTGTGTGTCTGTGTGTGTCTCTGTTTCTCTCTGTCTCTCTCTCTCTAGCTTTCTCTCTGTGTTAATCTCTCTCTGTCTATTTCTCTGTCTCTCTCTGTGGCTTTCTCTGTGTTTATCTCTCGCTCTGTCTATCTCTCTGTGGCTTTCTCTCTGTGTTTCTCTCTGTCACTGTCTCTGACGGCTTGTCTGTGGTTGGGTACAGGATGGTACAAGTGGGAAGACGGCACTGCACCTAGCAGTGGAGCTGCACGAGGCTGCGTTGGTGTCTCTGTTGTTGCGACACAACGCTGACGTGGATGCCGTGATGTACAACGGCTGCACCGCTCTGCACCTGGCAGTGGGCAGGCAGGACACGGGCATCGCCAGCGCCCTGTGCCAGGCAGGAGCTGACACCTTCCTGCCCAACGTGGAGGAGGAGACCCCGCAGGACCTGGCGGCCGGTAATGTGGACGTAAGTAACTTTCCCACCATCTCACCCAGCCTGTAACTGGTTACAGGGGGTTATGAGCAAGAGTGGATGAGGCCAGGACACCGCGCTTCATTTACAGACCACAAATATACAGTCAATCGTCTTTATCCAATATCCTGTGAAGCGCTTTGAGGCATCCCAATGGTATGATAAGGCGCTATGTCAAATGCAAGGATTTTTATTAAAAAGCAGCTGGATGCTGTGATGGGAGGACCGTATTATAATAATAATAATGATGATTTTTGCGTTCGATAAAGAGCCTTATCATGTCGTCAAAACGACTCAAAACGCTTCACAGAATATATTGTAAAGTGGATTCACTGTGTATTTTGAGGGCGAACAGAGGCAGCCAATTGTGCCACAGCGACGTTCCACAAATAATCGTGAATTGAGCGCCCAATTTTTTTTTGAGGGGTTATAAACCCCCGCAAAACGATGCCCCAATCGACTAACAGCCGGGTTCCTACTTACTGCTGGATAAACAAAGGCGTGCGGAGTAAGGAAATTTGCCTAAGGTTTCGCCCCCCCGCCCAGGAATCGATCCCTGGTCCTCTTGCTGGTGAGGCAAGTGCTCCAACCACATCCCCGCGGGACTCCACAAACCTGCCCAAGTATTTACCCCACCACATCTTTCAGCCTGTAAGTCATGACGGGCTGGTTATGAGCCAGGCCAATAGAAATGTGTGGCCGCACTTTTCCCACGGGATCTGCCCCTCTCCCCCCCCCCCCTCCGATCTCCACTACAAACCCTTTATAAATAAATAAAGTTCTGGGCCCCGCAGGCCCCTCGGTGGTTTCCTGACGTTGCTGCGGGTGGAGCTGCTCCGGATGCGTATGAGCGGTGCGGGACAAGTGGCAAATGGGCTTCACTCAGAGGCCCCGCTGTTGTGATTGTTGTGTGTTTGTGAGTGTCTCTGTGTGTCTCTCTCTGTTTGTGAGTGTCTATGTGTCTCTCTCTGGGTTTGTGAGTGTCTGTGTGTCTCTCTCTCTGTGTTTGTGAGTGTATGTGTGTCTCTCTCTGTGTTTGTGAGTGTATGTGTGTCTCTCTCTGGGTTTGTGAGTGTCTGTGTATGTCTCTCTGTGTTTGTGAGTGTGTGTGTGTTCTCTGTGTCTGTGAGTGTCTGTGTGTGTGTCTGTGTTTGTGAGTGTCTATGTCTCTGTGTTTGTGAGTGTCTGTGTGTCTCTCTCTGTGTTTGTGAGTGTCTGTGTGTGTCTCTCTGTGTTTGTGAGTGTCTGTGTGTTGCTCTCTGTGTTTGTGAGTGTCTGTGTGTCTCTCTCTCTGTGTGTTTGTGTGTCTCTGTGCTTGTGAGTGTCTGTGTCTCTGTGTTCGTGAGTGTCTGTGTGTCTCTCTCTCTGTGTGTGTGTGTGTCTCTGTGTTTGTGAGTGTCTGTGTCTCTGTGTTTGTGAGTGTCTGTGTGTTTCTCTCTGTGTTTGTGAGTGTCTGTGTGTGTCTCTCTCTGTGTTTGTGAGTGTCTGTGTGTGTCTCTCTGTGTTTGTGAGTGTCTGTGTGTGTCTCTCTCTGTGTTTGTGAGTGTCTGTGTTTGTGTCTCTCTGTGTTTGTGAGTGTCTGTGTGTCTCTCTCTGTGTTTGTGAGTGTCTGTGTGTCTCTCTCTGTGTTTGTGAGTGTCTGTGTGTCTCTCTGTGTTTGTGAGTGTCTGTGTGTCTCTCTGTGTTTGTGAGTGTCATTGTGTCTCTCTGTGTTTGTGAGTGTCTGTGTGTCTCTCTCTGTGTTTGTGAGTGTCTGTGTTTGTGTCTCTCTGTGTTTGTGAGTGTCTGTGTGTGTCTCTCTCTGTGTTTGTGAGTGTCTGTGTGTCTCTTTGTGTGAGTGTCTGTGTGTCTCTCTCTCTCTGTGTTTGTGAGTGTCTGTGTGTCTCTCTCTGTGTTTTGTTGTTCTGTTGTCTCTCTCTGTGTGTTTGTGAGTGTCTGTGTCTCTGTGTTTGTGAGTGTCTCTGTCTTTGTGAGTGTCTGTGTGTGTCTCTCTCTGTGTGTTTGTGTGTGTCTGTGTTTGTGAGTGTCTGTTCTCTGTGTTTGTGAGTGTCTGTGTGTCTCTCTCTGGGTTTGTGAGTGTCTGTGTGTCTCTCTGTGTTTGTGAGTGTCTGTGTGTGTCTCTCTGTGTTTGTAAGTGTCTATGTGTGTCTCTCTGTGTTTGTGAGTGTCTGTGTGTCTCTCTCTGTGTGTTTGTGTGTGTCTCTGTGTGTCTCTCTCTCTGTGTTTGTGAGTGTCTCTGTGTGTCTCTCTGTGTTTGTGAGTGTCTCTGTGTGTCTCTCTCTCTGTGTTTGTGAGTGTCTGTGTGTGTCTCTCTCTGTGTTTGTGAGTGTCTGTGTGTGTGTCTCTGGGTTTTTGGGTGTCTGTGTGTGTCTCTCTGTGTTTGTGAGTGTCTGTGTGAATGTGTATGTGTCTCTCCACTGTGTAAATCTGTATACCTATGTGTGTGTGTCTCTCTCTCTGTGAAGTTGTGTGTGTCTGTGAGTCTGTGTCTCTCTCTCTGGGTCTCTGTGAGTGAGTGACTCTGTGTGTTTCAGCACTTGGGACGTCCTCCCGACGTGAAAGGCGCTCTATAAATGTAATTTTATTGTTGTCTCTCTCTCTCTGAGAATGTGTCTGTGTCTGTGAGTGTGTCTGTCTCTCTCTGTATCTGAGTGTGTGTGTCTCTCTCTGGGTTTCTGTGAGTGTGTGTCTGTCCCTCTCTCCGAGAAGGTTTGTGGCTCTGTATCTGTGAATGTCTCTCTCTCTCTGTATATGAGTGTGTGTGCATGTGTCTCTCTCTCTCTCTCTCTGAGTCCCTGGGTCTGAGAGGCAGGAGGTGGTGAGCTCCTGTAGCTTCGCTGATGTGCCCCCCCACCCCCCCAAAAAGGGCCCCCCATTTATATGAAAGAAGTCATTGAATTTTTTTTTGCAACAATCTAATGTGTTATTTCCTTATGTTTAGTTTTTATCAATAAAGTGAAAAAATGTAGGTTGGCAGTAAAATGTACCTCAATAGCAATCAATCAACTCCCCGCAATTTTCTGCAGAATTTTATCAAAAATTTCCCCACAATTTTTGGCAAACATTTCTGCATTTTTCTATTGGCTCAGGTGTGAGCAAGCGTGATTGATGCCTGGACACGGGGAACTCATTTAAAAAACAGCTCGATGCTGTGATGGGTGAACGATGAGATGGGTGTACTGGAGGGATGAGATCAGATGGGTGGAACATAGGAATATAAGAACTGGAGTAGGCCATTCAGCCCCTCGAGCCTGTTCCGCCATTCTGGATCATGGCTGATATGTATAACAACTCCCATTTACCCCATATCCCTTGATACCCTGACCTCACAACAATCTATCCACCTCAGTCTTGAACATTTCAATTGATCCAGCATCCAGGAACATTTGTCAGAACTTCTTGAGTGTTTTTTTTTATATAAAAAGTGGATCTTTGTCTTTTCCAGATTCTGGCCTTGTTTCCGTTTGACGATGTGAAGCTGGGAGGCCAGCCAGTCCTCTGTGCTGACTTCTAACCTGCGGAAAGACAGTCTGAGGAAAGAACTGTCTATTGAATATTTTCGGGGCAGAGGTGGGGGGGTTGGAGGTTTGAGGGTGGGGAGAGGAACAGGGAGATGATTGGAAAAAATCCTCCTCTATTCGTGAATAGATACCGGAAGGAAACAAAACGAGGCTGACGCAAGGACCAGCTGTTTGAATATCTGAGCACCAAACTAAGCGTGAGGACCTCAAGCTCTGAACATGCAGAAGCCTAGAGAGAAAGAGAGAATGTTGCTTCTCTTCCCTTCCACCCATCACCACCTCTCTTTCCCTCCTATACCTCCCCCACCCACCCTGCCAAAGCCAATTGCATTCACCAGGACTGCTTTGTCCTGAAATGCTCTTTTATTTTTCACCAACGGATCCGTTAACTTTGTTTGCCTCCTGACGCTAGCAGACTGGATTAACTTCATCAAGGGACCTTTTCTAGTTGTTCCAATGAACTTCGGAGCTGTGAAGATCACCCTGAAGTCTGTCTGCTGGTGAGAAGCAGGCTAGGGATGGCTTGACTTATGCGGAAATGGATTGACCCATGTCCCAAGTGGTGGTTAGCAAAACGGTGCCCCATGCCCATGTGTCAATCTTGCTAAAGACAAGATGGCCTTAGATTTGGCCAGCGGGAAAGTATTTATTATAACTTGTAAGTTTATGTGTGTGTGTGTTTTTTGGGGGGGTAGGTAGTAGGTAAGGTCAGAGTTTGTAATCCTTTATCGTGTGACCTAACCTCATTTGTGGTTCAAGGATTGGCAGAGTTGGAAGCCAGCAGCTGGGATGGTGGGGTTGGGGCAGGAGTGGTGCCTATGCCATTGGCTGCCACCCCTCACCCGCTTGTACCTCATAATAAACAGTTCAGCTGCTGCCTTTCAAGAACCGTTGTTGTGTTAATCTCTGTTTTGACGCGTCTTATAATAATAATTCTTGCATTTGATATAAAATCTTATCACGTCATCGAGACGTTTCAAAGCGTTTCACAGAACGTACTTTCAAGTGGATTAACTGTGTATTTTGTAGGTGATTGTATGCACACAGCAAGGTCCCCAAAACACCCGAGAAGTGAATGACCAATTTTGTTTGGGGAAATGTTGACCGAGCTAGAACTCCCTACTCTGCTGTTGGCAACAGTAGTCTTCAAATGAATTTAGTTTGGTGCAGTCTCTCTCCGGTTACTAGTGAATGGGCTCCCAGCACAAGTCTGCCAGGTGGAGAAAAGACAAGGGGATAGTAGGAGATGGAAAATCTCAGGCTAATGAGACACGTGTTAATGTGAGCAAATATGGGTGCTGTCAGCGCCACACTAAGTGCAACCACAACATTTGAGACTTATTTACTCTGTCTCAGGATGTGGCTACCTTGATGTTTTGCTGGAACTCAGTAAACAACCTTGCCTGGATGAAATATTAAACTGAAATCGTGTCCGTTCTACTCAGAGAAATGAGAGGGGAGTTCTGGCCTGGCCAATGATACCCCAAACAAAATTGGTCATTCACTTCATGGCTGTTTGTGGGACCTTGCTGAGTTCATATCATCACCTACCAAAAGAATTGGTCACTCAAACCATGACTGTTTGTGGGACACTGCTGTGCGCAATTGGCTGCCACATTTTGCCCACAAAATACACGATCAATCCACTTTCAAATATATTCTGTGAAGCACTTTGAGATGACTCAACGACGTTATAAGCCGCTATATCAAATGTAAAGATTATTATTCTATTATAAAATACACAATTGCAACACTTTACAGTACAGTGCATTTTGTGAAATGGTTTAAGAATGTCCTACGGATGTGAAAGGCGGTATATCAAATGTAAGAGTGATTATTATTTATTGCCCATCCCTGTTTGCCCTGACAAGGTGACAGTGGGGAGGGGGTTGTGGTGGGGGAGAGGGTCTTCTCTTTAATCCCCTTATGGCAAAGGTGGTTCTGCGACACTGGCATAGAGAGTTCCAGGATTATCACTCTGCGACAATTAATGTCCAGTCAGGATTGTGAGTGATGTGAGGGTGATGGTTCCGTGAATAAGATGGCATCTTGTTCTTCTGGATAGTGAAGGTTGCAGGGCTGTGAGGTGCTGTGGAAGTCTGGAATAGAGAAGAGAGGGAGGGGGTGTGTTTGTTGACCAGGACACTGGGAGAAATTCCCTTCTCTTTTCATATAATCCCATAGGATCTTTAACGTTCACCTGAACAGGCACCCGGGACTTCAGTTTAATGTCTGATCTGAAAGATGCCACTTCCGACAATGCACCTCTTCCCCCACCTTCTCTGGCACTGTAATCGAATGTCCGTTTGGACTATGTGATTTCAAGTCCCGATGTGGGGCTTGAACCCACATCGGGAGGTGATGTTCCCATGAATTATGCTCTTCTGGATGGTAGAGGTTGCAGGCCTGTGAGGTGCTGTGGACGCCTGGTTGCCAAGCTGCTGCAGTACATCATTAAATGGTACGGCTCCTGCGGACAGTACCTTGGTGAGGGAAGGAGTGGGTGTTGGCCCGAGTGTCTGGTTGATGATGAAGCGAGCTGATTTTTCTGGCTATTTCTGTTAGTTCCTTGCATATATGGAACCTTTTGGGAAGTTAAGTGGAGTCTTCTTGGAGTTGAATAGGCTCCAAGTTGATGATGGAATGTCATTATGTCAACCCTCCTTGTTTGGTCTCGGCTCTGCAGTCGAGTTCCTGAGCCAGGTAGGTCTGCAGTATTCCAGGACGCTGCTAATGCAGCACAGGCCAGCCTGGCTCACCGGCAGGACTTGGAAGGGCAGACCAGTCACTGGGGGCAGGGAATCTTCCTGTTCAGCTCCTGTTAACCCTGCAAGCCAAGGGCCTAATGGGTAAGGTGGTCTTAGCTGGACAAGGCAACTGGGAGCTTGTCTCAATGGCAAGCTATGCAGTTTTAGCTGGTTAAACTCTAGCTGTTACCTTGACGGACACTGCGGTCCCCAAGTCTTGGCTCTCACCAAAATGTGCTTAAGACTGTCTGGAATAGGGTGAGCAGCGTGCATTGCTCACTTTATTCCAGATGGAGGGAAACGTCCGTTCGTTTTGGCCCAGCTGAGGTCATCTCCAATCAGCTGACTTGGCACAAATCTGGAACATCTTTGTGAGATCTCAACCCCTCTCCCCACTGTCCCCGAGTACAGAATGATCACGAGACAGTTTTGTGCAGCAATTTATGAACCTTCAGCTGAGTCCCTTCAGTACATTAAAAGACATGACCTTAAACTTGAGGAAGGTTGAGTCCTAACCTTAAGACTCTGTATAGGACAGGAAATCCCCCTCCTCCCTGTGTTATATTTACAAGATACAGAAAAGCCCCCTCGTAAAATATAGGCCGTGGAGGAAACCCAGGTCACGAGGACTAAACAACTTCTGCAATTCTGAGCAAATTCTGTGGGAGGTGTAAGCTTGTGCTTGACCGTCCCTATAGGCCATCTGCTTCTTAAAGGGAAGAAACAGACCATCTGCTTCTTAAGATTTTGCATTTGCTCGTTCTCCCCCCCCCCATCTTAAAGGGACTCACACTCCTTGATCCTTAAAGTGACTGCACTCCCCACCCTCGCTCCCTAAAGGGCTCCATGTGTATGTGCCCACCACTCCTTAAAAAGCACCACAAGGCTAATACTCGGGTGCATCTCCCAGCCTCTAAACCGTTAGTGTGTTCAGTAGATGGTAGGTTGAGAAAAAAGCTGCTCCAGAAGTTTTTTTTTTGGTCAGATGGGTGTTGGACATTTGCAGAAACCCATCACCATGTTTGAGTATCCAAACCCAACTGAGCTAAACCATATAGCTTGCCACTGAAAGCACTGTCTGGCGAGCTTCTCGCCTCTTCTCCAACCATCACTATCCTACCCAGTTAGGGCTTTAGCTTACATGGTTACCAGGAGCTGAGTGAGTAGGAACGATCCCTGCTCCCAGTGGCTGGTCTGTTCCCTCTAAATCCTGCCAGTGAGCCAGGCTGGCTAGTCTGTCCTGTCAGCCTGGCTAAGTTGGTAGCACACTGACCTTTGACTCAGAAGATTGTGGGTTCAATCCCCACGTTGAGACTTGGAACCTACATAGTCCTAAACTGACACTCCAATTCTGTGCTGGGGGAGCACTGCATTGTTAAAGGTGCCGTCATTCAGATGAAACGTTAAACCAATGCCCTGTCTGCCTGTTCAGATGGATGCGAAAGGTCTCCTGGTACCCTTTGAAAAGAGAATGGTGTTTCTTCCAGTGTCCTGGCCAACAATCCCCTAAATAAAATTGGTCACTCGTTGGGGCACTGCTGCACGTAAAATTGGTTGCTATGATTTGCCCGCATACAAAAACACACAATGGCTCCAGTTTACAATATATCCTGTGACGTGCTATGGGACGTCCTCCTGTTGTAAAAGGCACTATACCAAATGAAAGAATTTTTTATTTTATCAGTAGTGCCTGGTGCTGCCTGGCTCTGGACCCACCTGGACTACCGAGACCACTACAAAAAGTTTATTCTAGTCCGATAATCCATTGCTAAGCATTTTACCTTGGATTCAGCTCCACTCCCACCTCCTCTCTACCTCCCGCCTCCCTCCTGAAAGGGCTGTGACCAGTCAGTTAGTTGACATCAAACAAGTGCAGATTTGAACCCTCAATAAGTGAACGGCAGGTACCCGGAACACCCTGCAAGCTTCCTGGTGAGCAAACACAGCTCAGTATGAAATGTTGTCACTATCTTCCTGCCCACAGCTGGGACACACCTATTGAATGATGGTTCCACCAATCAGAAATACATAACTTGAGCAGCATCTGCCTTACCTCTTTGCAAACCAATTAAAGTGGACCGCAGCCCTCCCAAGCCCTGCAGACATGAATGTGTTCCTCGTGAATGTAGACTTCCAGCAGCTGTTGCCTCGAGCCTTGGAGTTTCCTCATCAGCTGTTTGACAGCTTTTAGGGTAATGGACTGTAGCGGCTGCGACGTTCCAGACACGTTGATGTTTTTCAAACCAAGTCTAAGCCTTTACAAATCGTTGGTTAGGTCTCAGCTGGAGCATTGTGTCCCAATTCTGAGCGCCGCACTTTACGAAGGATGTCAGGGCTTTGGAGAGGGTTGCAGAGGAGATTTACCAGAATGGTACCAGGGTGAGGGACTTTAATTATGTAGGGAGACTAGAGAAGCTGGGATTGTTCTCATCGGAGTAGAGAAGGTTAAGGGGAGATTTAATAGAGGTGTTCAGAATTATGAGGGGTTTTGGTAGAGTAAACTCTGGCGGGTGGGTTGGTAATCAGAGGACACAGATTTAAGATCATTGGCAAAATAACCAGAGGGGAGAATAGGAAAATCTATTTTTACCCAGAGAATTGTTATAATCTGGAAAGCACTGCCTGAAAGGGTGGCGCAAGCAGATTCGATAGTAGCTTTCAAAAGGGAATTGGATAGGTAACTTGAAAAGGAAATATTTTCGGGGCTATGGGGAAAGAATGGGGGGAGTAGGACAAGTTGGTAGCTTTCAAAGAGCTGGCACAGGCACGATCGGCCAAATGGCCTCCTTCTGTGCTGCCGGATTCTATGATTCTAAGTCCAATGTCGCATATCGAGGCTTAATGACAAACCAGTTCATCGTGTGAATAGGGCCTTTGGCAAACAGACTTGTTTTTTATTGCTGTGAAGCAGCCTCTGGCTCCAGGGTGCTCAATGACAGGAGTATAGGCTGGAGCCCTCCCTCCCTGCATCCACTTCTCCTGTTTTACCACAAACCCACTTTCTATTCCCCATCCTCGTATCTGCGCTCTCTATTCTCCCTTTGCCCGCCCTGATATCCGCGCTCTATCCCCCCACACAGGGAGAATACCTGCTCCCTCCTCCCATTTCCCCCATACTCGTTCCTCTCCCTTCCCTGCCCCCTCAGCATCAGCAGTTCAGCCCCTCACACCACCCCAACTTCGTGGAGTCCTGTAGCTCTGCGGTTAGAGCACTCGCTTTGCAAGCGAGAGACCTGGGTTCGATTCCCGGCAGGTCAGGGCGAAACCTTGGGCAAGTTTCCTTACTCCACACAGAGCCAAATAATAATCCCTCCCAAACCCAAAACAATAATAAATCGGTCATTTCAATCCAGGACTGTTTGTGGGGACACCTCTGTGTGCAGTTGACTGCCGCGTTTCACCCACAAATATACAGTCAATTAATTTTACAGCATATTCTGTGAAGCCCTTTTGAGACGTCGAGAAGAGGTGAAGAGCGCTATGTCAGATGCAAGGATTATTATTATTATTATTATTATCCACTCGCCCACCCTCCTGCTGTGTGTGTGTGTGTGTCACCTTCCTTCCTATCCTTGAAGGGTGGTGGAGTGGGAGGGGAGCGAGAGAGGTGAGGGGGGTCTTCTCTGGGCTGAACTGGCGCTGAGGCGACACGTTTGGCTCAGTGGCAGCACTCTCGCATTCCGAGTCGGAGGGTTGTGGGTTCGGGTCCCCTCCCCAAGCGCTCTTGAGACGCCGTCTGGCGTGGAGGGCGCCGTATGCATCCAAGTTGTCGTTGTTTTGCCACGAACCCCACCTCATCCTTTGGTCCTGGACTGGGGGGGCAGTTTGCAATAGCAACACTGGCCTCGGGGTGGCGCTGTGTGTGTGTGTGTGTGTGTGTGGAGGCTGCAGTGCCGAGGTCCCGCCTCGGGGTGGCGCTGTGTGTGTGTGTGTGTGTGTGTGTGTGTCGAGGCTGCAGTGCCGGGGTCCCGCCTCCGGGTGGCGCTGTGCGCGCGCATGTGGAGGTTGCATTACCGGCGGCGGCGCGGCGCGGCGCTGTCGGTGGAGGGCGGGGGCCGGAAGCGGCCCGCGGGGGCGGCGCTGGTTTGCGGAGTCGGGTCTGGACGCAGCAGCTCGAGCGGAGGCCGCGGCCCGGATCCCTGAAGCTGCAACAGGAGCCATGCGCCGCCCGAGCAGGTAACCCGCACCGTCCCCGCTCCGAGCCCCAGCGGAGAGGACACCGCATCCCGTATCTCCCCCATATCTGCACTCTCTATACCCCCCATATCGGCACTCTCTATAACCCCCCATATCTGCACTCTCTATATACCCCCCATATCTGCACTCTCTATACCCCCCATATCTGCACTCTCTATACCCCCCATATCTGTACTCTCTATACTTCCCCATATCTGCACTCTCTATACCCCCCATATCGGCACTCTCTATACCCCCCATATCTGCACTCTCTATACCCCCCATATCTGCACTCTCTATACCCCCCATATCTGCACTCTCTATACTCCCCCATATCTGCACTCTCTATACTCCCCCATATCTGCACTCTCTATACTCCCCCATATCTGCACTCTCTATACCCCCCATATCTGCACTCTCTATACTCCCCCATATCTGCACTCTCTATACCCCCCATATCTGCACTCTCTATACTCCCCCCATATCTGCACTCTCTATACCCCCCATATCTGCACTCTCTATACCCCCCATATCTGCACTCTCTATACTCCCCCATATCTGCACTCTCTATACCCCCCATATCTGCACTCTCTATACTCCCCCATATCTGCACTCTCTATACTCCCCCATATCTGCACTCTCTATACTCCCCCATATCTGCACTCTCTATACCCCTCATATCTGCACTCTCTATACCCCCCATATCTGCACTCTCTATACCCCCCATATCTGCACTCTCTATACTCCCCCATATCTGCATTCTGTACCACCCCATATCTGCACTCTCTACTCCCCCCATATCTGCACTCTCTATACTCCCCCACATCTGCACTCTCTATACCCCCCCCATATCTGCGCTCTCTATACTCCCCCCATATCTGCACTCTATACCCCCATATCTGCACTCTCTATACTCCCCATATCTGCACTCTCTATACCCCCCATATCTGCACTCTCTATACCCCCCATATCTGCACTCTCTATACCCCCCATATCTGCACTCTCTATACCCCCCATATCTGCACTCTCTATACCCCATATCTGCACCTCCTCCCATATCTGCACTCTCTATACCCCCCATATCTGCACTCTCTATACCCCCCATATCTGCACTCTCAATACTCCCCATATCTGCACTCTCTATACCCCCCATATCTGCACTCTCTATACCCCCCATATCTGCACTCTCTATACTCCCCCATATCTGCACTCTCTATACCCCCCATATCTGCACTCTCTATACTCCCCCATATCTGCACTCGCTATACCCCCCATATCTGCACTCTCTATACCCCCCATATCTGCACTCTCTATACCCCCCATATCTGCACTCTCTATACTCCCCCATATCTGCACTCTATACCACCCATATCTGCACTCTCTACTCCCCCATATCTGCACTCTCTATACCCCCCATATCTGCACTCTCTATACTCCCCCATATCTGCACTCTCTATACCCCCATATCTGCACTCTATACTCTCCCATATCTGCACTCTCTATACTTCCCCATATCTGCACTCTCTATGCCCCCCATATCTGCACTCTCTATACCCCCCATATCTGCACTCTCTATACTCCCCCATATCTGCATTCTGTACCACCCATATCTGCACTCTCTACTCCCCCATATCTGCACTCTCTATACTCCCCCACATCTGCACTCTCTATACCCCCCCCATATCTGCGCTCTCTATACTCCCCCCCCCCCCCATATCTGCACTCTCTATACTCCCCCCCCCCCCATATCTGCACTCTCTATAGCCCCCCGTATCTGCACTCTCTATACTCCCCCCCCCCCCCATATCTGCGCTCTCTATACTCCCCCCCCCCTCCCCATATCTGCACTCTCTATACTCCCCCCCCCCCATATCTGCACTCTCTATACTCCCCCCCCCCATATCTGCGCTCTCTATACGCCCCCCCCCCCATATCTGCACTCTCTATACTCCCCCCCCCCCCCCCATATCTGCGCTCTCTATACTCCCATATCTGCGCTCTCTATACTTCCCCCCCCCCCCCCATATCCGCGCTCTCTATAGCCCCCCATATCTGCGCACTCTCCTCCCTTTATTGAAGGGTATGGGGAAGAGAGGTCAACGGGAAAAACTGACTCCAAGGTGCTCATCAATAAGAACAGGGAGTTTCTCCCAGTGGCCTGGACAACCATCCCCCAAATATGAGTAATTTGCTTCATGGCTGTTCATCACTTGCACTCCATTTCACAGTAATTTCACAGCGACATGATAAGGTGCTACACCAAGTGCAAGGACTCTTGTTACGTTTGGCAACAGAGTTATGTTGGCACGAGCCGAAGAGATTCCACACACTACGCCCTCTTAATAACAACTTATGTAGTTTTCAGCTGGTTAGACTCCAGCAGTACCCCGACTTGGTGTGGTGTGCGGGGGTGGAACCTCTTTGGCTCTCGCCAACCTGTTCCTAATACTCTCTGGAATTAGGTAAGCAGGGCATGTCCTTCCAGAGAGCGCATATTCCATTCCAAGCGCAGGAGTTTGCGCGAGTGGGGAGCACACGCAGAGCTGTTTGGTTTGGACACTCTGATTCAGAACTCCACCCATATCCTCACCTGCTCCATACCTCCATCACCTCAGTCCCCGCCAGGCCCCACTGGCTCACTATTGCACAACTGATCAATTTCAAAATTCTCACACTTGCGTACAAATCAATATCTGTCCAACCAGCTTGTACCCCACTCTACCACACCATCCTTCGCTCAACTGACTCCAGCCTGAAGGGCTCTCTGCAAGTTGTTAAGCTTGATGATGAGTTTCCGCATCTATCAGATGCCCCAAAAATCCCTCTGTCATGTCTGTCTCTGTCCTTTTCCCCCATCCCTCAATGCATATTGATCTCCTTCGTTGCCTGTTGCCCCCCCCCCCAGCCCCTACCTTGGCCATCCGTTTCCCTTCCCCCTCCACCCCTTCTGCCAGCCATCCTCTTTCTCTCTCTCTCTCCCTCCCTCCCGCGAGGCTATTCTTTCCCTCCCTCCATCCGCACTCAAGACCCAGGGAGAAACTCCAATAATGATGCAATATGTTTATCGCTCATCTTGAATATGACAATGAGTCCGTGGGACATGCTCCTGACGTGAAAGACGCTATACAAACGTAATTTTGTAATGCATTGTATAAGGCGTCTATACAACAGCAACAGCTTGCACTTATATAGCACCCTCCACGCAGGATAGCGTCTCAGAGCACTTAACAGTGGCAGAGCCTGACTCTGAGCCAGGTGGGAAGGTGACCGTAAGCATGATCGTAAAGGAAGGTTTTCAGGCGGGGCTTGAAAGAGGGGAGAGAGGGGACCAAGCTGGAGGGATTAATGGAGAGCGTTCCAGAGTTTCAGTGTATAGTGGCTGAATGCGTGACCTCCAATGGTGGTGCGGAGGGTGCGAGGGACAGGCAGCAGGCCACTGCCAGTCGACCAGAGGCACCGGGTAGTGGATTGGGGAATGAGGAGGTCGTAGAGGTAGGGAGGTGCCATGAAGTGAATGGATGTGAACACGAGAGTGAGGATCTTGAAGTCGATCCGTTCGGTGATGGAGTGCCAGTGGAGCCTGGCCAGAGCTGATGAGAAGTGGGTACAGAGTTTGGTCCGGGTAAGTATGTGGGCAGCAGAGCTCTGAATGAGTTTTGAATAGTGGAGCTGGGGAGACCGGCGAGGAATACGTTTGAGTAATCCAAGTGGGAGATCGTAAACGCATGCTCCGGCTGCATTTGGGGGTGAGGTATGGTTGGAGGTGGAGGAAGGTATCCTGGTCAGGGACTGGATTTGGAGGAGGAAGGACAGCTTCCAAGTGTAAGGACTATTATTATTATTAATCCATCTCTAACTGAACCAGTTCCTTTGTATCCACCTGAGAGCCTAATTGCTGGAAGGGTTAACTAAACTGCCGTGAGGTGTAATGCTTGTAGGCTTTGCCAGAATCCTGTTCGTGTCCAACCCAATGTCCTGGGTTTGCTCCTACCTGGCTGCCCCACCCCAAGTTGTTGCGTGTGTCCTTGTTTGCTCAGTGGAACATAGGTACAAAATCTCATCAGAGTTTGCTTATGTACACAGGATAGGGCTGCGAGAAGCCATCTGCAAACATTTTTTTTTTTGGCGAGTGGTTTGGGGTTAGTTGGAGCATTGGGAGCAGCGTTAGCGGGAGGCTGATTCTTTTTCATACCCTCTTGTGCGCATGCGCACGCACTCGCAAACACCACACACACACGCTCACACAGGTCTCGATTGCCTGCACTCCTCTGAGCATAAAGTTGTGGGCTTAACCCCCACCCCCTCCTGCAGAAACTGGCTGCATGTGCGTGTCCATTCATAGATGCATTTCTTGCCTACAAATACAGAGTTACTAGACTTGACTGTAAACCATAATAATAATAGTAATCCTTTCGTTTGATATGGCGTCTTATCATGTCTTAAGTGTTTCAAGACTTTTGATGTGAAAAATGCTGTCAGATGTATTGATTGTTCTTGCACACAAGCAAAAATAAAAGCACATCCTCCCCCACCACAAACCGAGGAATGGTTGTAGTGAGTTTTTGGGGTGTAGTGGCTGAAAGCGCGACCTCCGATGGTGGGGTGGAGAAAGCGAGAGACGAGCAGGAGGCCGGTGCCAGTCGAGCGGAGGCGCCGGGCCGTGGATTGGGGAGTGAGGAGGTCGGAGAGGTAAGCGCTCCCGGTAACGCTACCTGCGCTCTCTCTCACTCCCGGGACATGACTATGCTCGCGCTCTCTCTTTTGCTCCCAGTAACGCTGAACTCTTTTTCAGGCTTGTGCTGCTGGGGTCAGTGCTGATGACACCGATCACCGCTTCCGAGCCGGGGCTGGTGCCTGAGCACCAGGACATCTGGGCCGACTTCTGGCTGATTCGCTTCCTCGTGAACCTTTCCGGTTACGCAACTATCATCCTTCCTGGCTACCTGCTCCTGCAATACTTCCGGAGGAAAAACTACCTGGAAACGGGTGAGTGTCTGTGCGGGAGAATCTGAGATTGGTTGAGAATTGATACAGACTCTGCCCTGAGTTACTGATCTCAGGCTGCGTCACAGTCGGAGTTCTCGCCAGCCTGAGTCGCCCCCCACTGGAGCGGGGAGTGGAGGGGAAGCGAAATCAGCTGGACTTGTTGGTCCATGTTGCTGTCCAGAGACCCTTTGCTTCATTTTTAGGTGAGGACAGGATTGATGCTATGATGCCCCAATGGTCAACACACCCTGTCAACACCCACCAACTGGACCTACATGATAATAATAATAGTAATCTTGGCATTTGCTGTAGCCCCTTATCACGCCGTTGAGATGTCTCAAAGTGCTTCACAGTATATCCACTACCGTTTGTGGGACACTGCTGTGCGCAATTTGCTGCCGCGTTTTGCCCACAAAATATACCGTCATTCCACTTTACAGTATATTCTGTGAAGCGCTTTGAGACGTCTCAATGATGTGATAAGGCGCTATATCAAATGCAAGGATTATTATATTATTATACACGAGTTGCAGACAGGTTTGCTGATGTGTGCTGATGTATTTTGCCTTACCTTCCCTTTCCCCTCCATGGTGTGTGATTCCAGGTCACGGCCCCTGCTTCCCCATCATTAAAGCCTGTGTGTTTGGGAACGACCCGAAGCCCGGCTTCCAGGAAGATGTGTCTGTGGTGTCCCGAATCGAGGAGACACCATCTTCCTCCACTAAACAAGCCTTGAAGTTGCTGGCGTGTGTGGTGGGGCTGCAGGTAGCGTATGGCCTTTCAGACATTTTCCTGTACATTACGCTTTATGCAGAGATTTCCAAAGAATGTCCCTCATGGAAACAGGCCCCTCAGTCCAACCAGCCTGTGCCGGTGTTTATATTCCACATGAGTTTTCACTGATTCCTTACTCCCTCCCACCCCCTTCTAGTCTCCTCTTCCTCATGTGAGGGTCCAGCTTCCTCTTGAACGCATCTACTCTAACGATTTGAGGTGGCGAGTTTCACAATCTCACTACCCTCTGTGTGAAGTAGTTCCTCCTAAATTCTCTTTTAGATCACTCCTAGTTACTATCTCTTACAAGTGTCCTCTGGTTACAGACTTTCCACTCCAGATGGTGATGGAATCACAGAATGTTAACACACAGAAATGAGTCTTTCGGCCCAGAGTATTCCCATCAACTCTTGTGTAAAGACTTTTTTCTAATTATCCCTTTTGTTCCTATTGTCTTCAGGGAAAGAGCAGAGAGAATGGGGTTGGAGTTGGTGGCTCCACTGAGCGAGTTGGCACGAGCAGGGGAATGAGGAACTAGCACCAGGACATGATGGGGAGGATGATGAACTGTGTTGTGATTTTTTCATGCTTCTATGAAAGCTGACACTAGATTCTTTTGAGCCATGGAGCAGCCCAGATTCCACTGATGTGTACGATAGGTGGTAGGGATCAGGGGGGAGAGAGAACGTAAGAATCTCAGGACAAGTACGCAGAGTCGTTCTCACACTTATCCCTTCCCACAGATGTCCTACCTGACGTGGGGGGTCCTGCAGGAGCGAGTCATGACCAGAAGCTACGGCAAGACGGAGACCGAGCCGGGAGAGAAGTTCCACGACTCTCAGTTCCTGGTCTTCATGAACCGAATCCTAGCCTTCACGGTGGCGGGGGTTTACTGCGCGCTGACCAAACAGCCGCGGCACGGTGCCCCCATGTACAAGTACTCATTTGCTTCGCTCTCCAATGTGATGAGCAGCTGGTGTCAGTACGAGGCCCTGAAGTACATCAGCTTCCCTACCCAGGTGCTGGCCAAGGCCTCCAAGGTCATCCCCGTCATGCTGATGGGCAAGGTGGTGTCACGCAAGAGCTATGAGTATTGGGAATACCTGACGGCCATGCTGATCTCCTTGGGCGTCAGCATGTTCCTCCTCGCCCGCGGAGAAAGCAAGAACTCCTCCACCGTCACCACCTTCTCTGGGGTGGTCATCCTGACCGGCTACATCCTCTTCGACAGCTTCACCTCCAACTGGCAGGATGCCCTCTTCAAGCACAAGATGTCCTCGGTGCAGATGATGTTCGGGGTGAACCTCTTTTCCTGTCTCCTGACGCTGGGTTCACTGCTGGAACAGGGAGCACTGCTGGAGTCTGTGAGCTTCATGGCCCGGCACTCGGAGTTCGCCTGCCACGCGGCCCTGCTCTCGGTCTGCTCTGCCTTCGGCCAGCTTTTCATCTTCTACACCATCGGCCAGTTCGGTGCGGCCGTCTTCACCATCATCATGACCCTGCGCCAGGCGCTGGCCATCCTGCTCTCCTGCCTCATCTACGGCCACTCCATCACCAAAGTGGGGGTTCTGGGCGTTACCATCGTCTTCGTGGCGCTCTTTCTGCGCGTCTACGCCCGGAGCCGAGTGAAGAAGCGGCCAGGAGGCGCAATGCAGAATCCTGTGCAGAAAGTGTGATCGATCGGTCTTTTGGATCCTCCGAATCTCGCTGCACAGTTTTTTTTATATATAACTCATTTAGCCTCTTGACTGTTTTTTTACACCCACGTACATACGCCCACACACGTGTAAATATATATAATGTACATTATGAAAGGGAGTTTGCAGCTTGGGAGAGCAGTTGGATTAACAGAGGGAATGGGCGATGCAGGGAATCATTCTGCATGGCCTTTGACAACCCTCTCCCCCCCAAACAGCACCCCCCCCCACACTCAGCAACAACAACTTGCATTTTTAAAGCATTATAAAGCGCCCTTCACACAGGGCAGCATCTTGGAGTGTTTAACATTGGCCAGTTCCACTCCACATTGGGTTGAGCTAATTGCATTCAAAGTTGCAATTGCACTTTATATAGCGAAATCTCGCGTAGGTGGGAGAACGCACTGATACAATAGGTCCAATGGCCTCCCAATGTGTCACGTTTCTATCGTCCTAGATCTCCCTGGTTGAGGAGGAGGAATAGGAGGGAAGGAGAGGAGAGAATCAGCTATATTTTTCTCTGGCTCAAACACTACTGTTCTTATGGAGGCGCTGGGTGATGCAGTGGGTCAGCCTTTGCTCTTTATTGTGATAAAGTGGTAAATACCCTCCTCTTTGACTGCACCTTTGATGCACCCAACTGCACCCAACCCCCAGCTCGGGTTCAAATCCCTGACTGTCCAGTGCCTTGGGACGTCCTCCCGATGTGAAAGGCGCTATTTAAATGTAATTTGTTTTTGATGGTCCAGCGCAGGTAGAGGAAGTAAAAATCTCTCTTTCTCTGTCTATGTCTCTCTGTTTCTGTCTGATGTGGCACCATGAAGGTGGGGGTCAGAGGCTGGCTTTTCACCTCTGGAACCTAGGTACAAACCAGACCCCACATAGGAGAAGGTTAAGGTCTCTCTCCCTGTAGGGGAAACTGGATATGAGTGTGTCTCTTGGCCACTTGGTCCAGAACTAACATTTAGCCTGGGCTCTACTGTTTTTGACTGCTAATTGGAATTGGGGGAATAATAAGGATATGCAGGTCTACCTGCTTTTAAATCACTAACTTAGTTCTGGTCTAGAGAGGGGGTAATGCGGCTGTAGGGGGATACTGTTCTGTCTTCAGTCCAGAATGACTTCCAATAAACTATTTAAAAACACAAGCACTTTTATAATGAGGTTTTTGCTTTTTTTGTCGACTCCACTGTGATTTGAATCACAGCACAGAAACAGACTATTCAGCCCATCGAGTCTGCTCTTCACATGAGACAGGTGTGCTGTCTGATCCCAGTCGTCAACAGAGGACAGCCTGTCTCGCCTCTTGAGACAGAAAGTTGTGGGTTCAAACCATTCCCATTAAGGTCCTGTCTGTTTATCCAGATGGATGTTAAGATTTCATGGCACTACTCGAACAGAGGAAGCAAGAAGTTTCTCCTAGTGTCCTGGACAACAATCTTTCAAATAAAAATTGGTCATTCACTTCATTGGCTGTTTGTAGGATATTGCTGTGTGCAAAGTGGCTGCTGCATTCCCTACAAAATATATAGTCAGATCATACTGCAGTCACAGTAATTCCTGTGAAACAGACATCCCCATGACACAATAAGGTGCTATATCCCTTGCAAGAATTATTATACTTGTGAAAACTCTTAATTCAGTCTCAATCCAGACGACTATCAAAAGAATCTGAAAGATTAGTCAATCGGAGGAACAAATTTAAGTTCATCAGAAGTAATTGCAAACAGGAACGCTTTCTGGTGATAATCCTTCAAAAAATTTGGTCACTCAATCCACGGCTGTTTGTGGGACACCACCCTGCGCAATTGGCTTCCGTGTTTCACCCACAAAATATCCAGTCAATTCATTTTACAGTGGGAGCATGTGGGAGTTCATGGAGAGCAGCCTGAGCCCGGGCAGCTACATCTGCAGCAAGTGTCTGCAACTAAGGAAACTTCAGCTCAGAGTTGCTGAGCTGAAATCTGAAGGTGCAGACATTGCGCAGCATTAGGGAAGAGAAGAGCTACCTGGATATTTTGATCCAGGAAACTCACTCCCCTGAGGCTTAGTAGGTGTACAGATCTTGTCAGTGGTCAGGGACAGGATGGCGTGACTGACAGTCAGGCAGGTAAGGGGACCCCAGAGGGAGGGGTGGAGGAGCCTCTGGCTTTAACCTTGTCCAACAGGTATGAGGTACTTGCAACTTGTGTGGGTAAAGAAGCCTGTAGGGAGGATGGGCAAACTGACCACAGCACCTCTGTACAGGAGGCCACACAAGTGGGGGGGAGCAAAAAGGAATGTGGTTGTGATAGGAGATGATACAGTCAGGAGGACAGATACTGTTCTCTGCAGCCGCAACCAGGAGTCACGAAGGCTGTAGTGCCTTCTTGGTGCCAAGGTTGGAGAAGAACTTGGAGCAGGAGGGGGAGGATCCAATTGTGATCCACGTAGGAACCAACAACATAGATAGTAGTAGTAATGATGATCTGGTGAGGGAGTTTAAAGAGCTAGGGATGAAATTAAAAAGCAGAACCTCTAAGGTAATAATCTCAGGATTACTACCTGAGCCATGCACAAATTGATATAGGGACCAGCAAGCAGATTAAAGGAATTAAACGTGTGGCTGAAGGAATAATGCGGGAGGCCACTGGGACCAGAGTTAGGGAAAGAGGGAGCTCTTTGATCGGGATGGGCTCCACTTAAATTGGGCTGGGACCAGTGTCCTGGCAAAATGAATAACTAGGGAGGTAGATAGAGCTTTAAACTAATAAGAGGGGGAGGGAGGGTTACAGTTAAATGTAAACTCACAAAATATATAAGAAAAGTCAAGGCTGTAGAGCAGAGTAGTGACTTGGGAGATGAAGAACAGAGTGTGTCAAGTAGGGACAAAGAGTTTAACAAAGAAAAAAGGACACTAATGATAGGTGAAATAGTAAAAAGTTAAAATTAAAGGCGCTATATCTGAATGCGCAAAGCATTCGTAACAAGATAAATGAATTAATGGCACAAATAGAGATAAACGGGTACGATTTAGTAGCCATTACTGAGACACAGTTACAGGGAGGCCATGGTTGGGAGCTAAACATTCCAGGGTACCTGACTATAGGAAAGATAGGCAATATGGAAAACGGGGTGGGGGGTGGGGGGATAGCCCTGTTAATAAAGGATGAGATAAAACCAGTGGAGAGGAAGGATCTTAAGTCAGAAGATCAGGATTTAGGGTCAGTATAGCGAGAGTTAAGAAACAACAAGGGGCAGAAGTCACAAGTTGGAGTAGTTTATAGATCCCCGGAACAGTAGTTACAGTATTGAGCAGAATATTAATCAGGAAATTAGAGGAGAATGTAACAATGGTAGGACAATAATAATGGGTGATTTTAATTTTCTTATAAACTGGGAAAAACAAATTGGCAAAAGTAAATTAGAGGATGAGTTTATGGAATGCATTAGAGATAGTTTTCTAGAACAGTATGTTAAGGAACCAACCAGAAAATAGGCTGTCCTAGATCTTGCGTTATGTAACAAAGTAGGGCTGATCAGTAATCTTGAAGTTATGGCTCCTCTAGGGCAGGATGACCATAATATGATGAAATTTAATATTAAGTTTGAGAGTGATGTAGTTAAGTCCAAAACAAGGGTCTTAAACTTAAATAAAGCCAACTTTGCAGGTATGAGGGACGATTTGTCTAAAATAGACTGGGAAAGTAGATTAAAAGATATGACGGTAGACAAGCAATGGCAAACGTTCAAAGATATATTAGATAATTCTATTTAAGAAGGGTGGGAGAAGAAAAATGGGGAACAATAGATCAATTAGCCTGACATTGGTGGTAGGGAAAACTCTAGAGTCTATAATTAGGGACGTCGTCATGGGGCACTTAGAAAGTCATAATATCATTAGGCAGAGTCAACACGGTTTTATGAAAGGGAAATCGTGTTTAACAAATCTTTTAAAGTTTTTTGACGATGTAACTAACAGGTTAGATGGGAGGGAACCAGTGGATATAGTGTATTTGGATTTTCAGAAGGCATTCGACAAGGTGCCACATAAGAGGTTGTTACATCAGATTAGGGCTCATGGAATTAAGGGTAATATATTAGCACGGATTGAAGAGTGGTTAAACAGGCAGAAAACAGAGAGTAGGAATAAATGGGTCCTTCTCAGATTGGCAGGTTGTGACGAGTGGAGTACCACAAGAATCAGTGCTTGGACCTCAACTGTTTACAGTCTACATCAATGACTTAGATGAGGAAATAGAGATTAATGTATCTAAATTTGCGTACGATACAAAGCTCGGTGGGAAAGTAAGCTGTGAGAAGGACAAAAGGAGGATGCAAAGGGATATAGGACAGGTTAAGTGAGTGGGTAAGAAGGTGGCAGATAGAGTATAATGTGGGGAAGTGTGAAGTTATTCACATAGGTAGAAAAAATAGAAAAGCAAATTCTTTTCTAGAGGGGGAGAGACTTGATAGTGTTAGTATTCAGAGGGATTTAGGTGTCCTTGTACACCAATCACAGAAAGTTAGTATACAGGTACAGCAAGCAATTAGAAAGGCTAATAGCATGTTAACGTTTATTGCAAAGGGGTTAGAGTACAAGAGTAGGGAGTAGGGGGTGCAATATAGGTTCACTAGATTGGTTCCTGGGATGAGGGGGTTGACCTACGAGGAGAGGTTGAGTGGACTAGGCCTATATTCTCTAGAATATAGAAGAATTAGAGATGATCTTATAGAAACCTATAAGATGCTTAAGCGTCTTGACAGGATAGATAGTGTGAGAGTGTTTCCCCTGGTTGGAGAATCAAAAACTCGGGGTCATAGTCTCAGGATTGAAGGTCAGCCTTTTTGAACTGAGTTGAGAAAACATTTCTTCACTCAGAGGGTAGTGAATTTATGGAATTCTCTACCCCAGAAGGCCGTGGATGCTCAGTCGTTGAACATATTCAAGACTGAGATCGATAGATTTTTAAAACCTAAAGGGATTAAGGGATATGGGGATAGGGCAGGTAAATCGATTTAGGTTAGAAGATCAACCATGATCTGTGAAGCCTTTAGCTCAGTGGGTGGAGTCCTGTAGCTCAGCGGTTAGATTACTCGCCTTGCAAGCGAGACACCTGGGTTCAATTCCAGGCAGGGCAAAAGTTTCCTTACTCCACACGCCTCATAATAATCCCTCCAAAACCAAACAATAATAAATGGGTCATTTTCAATCCTCGACTGTTTGTGGGACACCGTGGGACACATCAAATGTAATTGCCTGCCATGTTTTGCCCACAAATATACAGTCAATTCACTTTATAGCATATTCTGTGAAGCGCTTTGAGACGTCTAGAAGACGTGAAAAACGCTATATCAAATGCAAGGATTATTATAATAATATAATATATAATAATTATTATATAATTATCTACCCAAACTGGTGTGGACAAATGCAGATGGGAGCTAGCTTTAATGTCTCACCCAAAATGTTGTGTACTCCCTCCCCGCACCGGGGTGTTAGCCTTGGTTAGAAGTTTAAATAAATTGAATTTTAAATTAGAAAATGAAATTGCAATGCACAGTTTCAAAGCAGCTACATTTAGCACAGAGCAGAACAGGAAAAACAGTGAATTCTCTACCAGGAGCACGTGGAGCAGATAATTGCCTCCACCACCACCCCCTCAAAAAAACCTTTGAGACTGGTGTGAGCTCAGGCACTGCCTCCCATCCTCCTATATTTGTTACACAAGGAACGCTTTTCATTGTAGCAGAAGTCTGGGAAAAGTTCCCAGCCTCAAGGACATGGTCTCAGTCAGGATCCTGGACTGTGAGACTCTGTACCATTCTCAAAGGCGCTTTGTCCTCACTTGCTGCTGTGTGCTGGCAGTATTCAAGCATTCCTACCACCTCCTTCCCCTGACTCTCCAGCCCCAACCTCTTGCACTGACTCACTGCCACGTGGTTTGTGGTTGCCAAACATTGAAACATATATTTTATTAAATATATTTGTAAAAATATTAACAGTCTCAATCCACGACTGTTGGTGAGACACTGCTGTGTCAATTGCTGCCGCATTTTGGCCACAAAATATGCTTTACAGTACATTCTTCGAGACGTAATAAGGCGTTATATCAAATGCAAGGATCATTATTATTAAGGTCCTTGGCTACTTGTGCCAGGTTTAAATCTTTGCTCTGATGAGTTACAGATATCTCAGCCGGAACAGCAGTTTGGGTTTTGATGATCGTAATGCAGAACCTTCTGGAGGGTTGGGTGTGTGTGTGTGTGTGTGTGTTCATCAAATGATTGGATTGAAGCTGCAAAGCCCCTGTGGCTGAATACTCTGCAGACACTTGCTGTTTGTGCTCACACACAAAGGAAAGGCTTGGGGCGAGGCGAGGCACCAAAAGGTGTATCGAGGACCGATTCCCCAAGGCGAGCTTGAAATGAAAACAGTGTGCAGTGAGTGGAGCGGGCAGGGTGGGGAAAGAGAATAAGATTGCCTTGTTTTGTAACCATGACAATCTCAGCCGTGTATGTATCAGGCTTTGTGTACATGCTCCCGAGTTCCTGGATCAAGTTTCAGCCTCACCTCTGTCAGCAGACTCCTGACTCCAGCACTGCACACAGCTGGCACGTCCTCAATGTAAGCAGTGTATCTGCGCAAACTCTGTGTACCCCCCCAACCCGCAGCACAACCCCAGACCCACAGTCTATCTCTCTAACCTCAGGACAAGTGACAGAAAGACCGGATTATATATAGCACATACAACTTGGATGCCTTTGAAAACAAGTAAAAGTTAAGCAGTGTGGGGTAAAAATTGGAAAATCATATCAGTAAAACAGTAATACGACAATAATAATCCTTACATTTGATGGTAAGGCTAATGAGTGCTGATGATCAGTGCCGTATCGAGTGTCCAAATTTTTTTTAAGGGATTATTACCCCCGGAAAGCGATCTGCCAATTGACTAACTTACTGCTAGGTTCTTTACTTACTGCTTGGTAAACAACAAGGTGCAATTATGCAGCGCCCTGTATTTTGTGGGCGAAGTGAAGGCAGGAGTATGAGGCTATTTACATGAAGGTAGGGAAAGAGACTGCAGGGGATTACAAAGGGGTTGATGTAGCTGTTGCTGTTAATTTGCTGTTTAGCATACATAGTGTAATTGTCGTAAGCCGCGTGGCAACCATTTTAAGTGCAGCAAGGTCCCAAACAGTTAAATAATAATAATAATCCTTGCATTTGATATAGCGCTTTTCACGTCGGGAGGACATCCCAAAGCGCTTCACAGAATATACTGTAAAGTGAATTGACTGTATATTTGTGGGCGAACGCGGCAGCCAATTGCGCACAGCAATGTCCCACAAACAGTCGTAGATTGAAAATGACCAATTTAATTACTGGTTTTGTTTTTTGTAGGGATTATTATTAGGCTCTGTGTGGAGTAAGGAAACTTGCCCAAGGTTTCGCCCTCTGCCTGGAATTGAACTCAGGTCTCTCACTTGCAAAGCGAGTGCTCTAACCACTGAGCTACAGGACTCCACAAATGATTATACAATGATTGATCAATTTAACTGACCAGAGCACTGGGAGACTTTCTTCTTTTCACGTAGTGTCACGGGACCTTTTAACGTGTACAGCACACAACAGATAAAAGGGAACTCAAGTAGAGAATCCCAAGCTGCATGTCGTTTGTGTTAAATTTGTTCAGACTGTATCTAGTGTTTGAAGATCCCTTAGTTTTGCCCACCCCTTTGTGATCGCCTCCAGTTTCTTTCTCTAGCTTCAGGTACACAGCCCCATTCTCTTGCCTTCACTTCGCCATAAAATACACAGTCAATCTACTTTCCAATATGTTCTGTGAAGCGCTTTGAGACTTCTCAATAACATAAGGCATTAAATCAAATGCAAAGATAATAATAATAATAATAATCCTTGCATTTGATATAGCGTTTTTCACATCGGGAGGACGTCCCAAAGCGCTTTACGGAACACACTGTAAAGTGAATTGACTGTATACTTGTGGGCGAACGCGGCAGCCAATTGCGCACAGCAATGTCCCACAAACAGTCGTAGATTGAAAATGATTGTTGTTTTTGGTTTTGGAGGGATTATTGTTAGGTATGTGGAGTAAGGAAACTTGCCCAAGGTTTCGCCCTGCGTGGAATTGAACTCAGGTCTCTCGCTTGCAAAGCGAGTGCTCTAACCTCTGAGCTACAGGACTCCACATTATTATTATAACATTATTATTATTACATAGTCTCATTCTCCTGTCTATTCCCTGCATTCTTCCATCTCTGGTCTACCGATTATTCCCTAGTCCCTCCTATTAATTAGTTCATCCCTCACTTGAAACACTTGCCCCAAATTCCTTCTCTTTATTCTTTCGGATACATCTTCAAATTGCCGCCCACTCAGTGATTCCCTGCTGTGTACTGTACATCAAAGACATTTATCTGACATGAAAGGTGCCATCAAAGTAGACACGAATCTGGTATTTGATGTAGCATCCTATCGCCATCCTGTGGGACGAGTGGGTAGTCCAGCATGTCCGTTCTCAATTTCAGGCTGCATCTTGAACGTCTCTTCCAGTGCACAGCACCCTGGAAATCCAGAATTTAATTCTGTGCGAAAAGAACTGACAAGTACTGGTTGTTTCCACGGTTTTGCGTCCCAATCACACTCTTGTGTCTTTGATAAGGGGAGAGAGACATGGACTGTCCTTGGGAAAGAACCCAATCTTGAAACCGGTTCAGACTGGGCATCGAACAAAGAAAGCAATTGCGAGTTGGGAGCTTTGTGGATCAAAATGGAAGCTGACAATAAGTTTGAGCTGTGGCTGCGAGATAAACAGAAAGTGTCTGTTTAAATGCCATCTGAAAGGAACTGCTGAACTCCCCCAAAGAAAAGGTCAATACTTGATTTATCTGACGTGGTCACTGCTTTCCCTAATAAATATTAATAATCCTTGCATTTGATATAGCGCTTTTCATGTCTTCTCGACGTTTCAAAGCGCTTTACAGAATAGACTGTAAAGTGAATTGACCGTATATTTGTGGGCGAAACGCAGCAGCCAATTGTGCGCAGGCAGTATCCCACAAGCAGTCATGGATTGAAAATGACCAATTTATTATTGTTTTTTGTTTTGGAGGGATTATTATTAGGCGTGTGGAGTAAGGAAACTTGCCCAAGGTTTCGCCCTGTCTGGAATTGAACCCAGGTGTCTCGCTTGCCAGGCAAGTGCTCTAACCACTGAGCTACAGGACTCCACAAATAATTACATGACAATCTGATTAATAAATTGTAATTGATTATAACCCTTTTGTGCTAACACTGAGGAGTCCTGTAGCATACTGGCACTCGTATCGCAAGCGAGGACCCCAATTCATTTCCTGGTCAGAGCAAAACCTTTAGGCAAGGTTCCTTGGAACCTGGTTGTTAAGTCAATTGGCAGATCATTTTCCAGGGGCAACTATCCCTCAACAAAATCTGATGATTCAATCCATAACTGCTGTGCACAATTGGCTGCTGCATTTAATCCACAAAATATAGTCAATTCTCTTCAGTATATTCTGTGATGCATTTTGAGACATCTCAACAATGTGATAGGGCACAACATGAAATGCAAGGATTATTTATTGGTGTCCCTGGTATAAATCCCTAAACAGAGCAAAACTCACTCTGCAGGGTCCCATCCAGTACAGGGTATGGAGGTGTCCATACAGGGGAACCCAGTTATAACTTCTGGTGTCACACAGCCTTGTTATAGCATTGGTATCTCTATGGATGGACCCACATTAGCCAGAAGCCATGCACCCGGGTTTTGGTGCAACCAACAGAAGGCAACTCCTGCATGTTGTTTGTGCCATTGCCATCACTTTGCAAAGAATGTCAATATTTTCCATTAGCACCAACCAGACAACCCAGAAATGAACCACCCATACTTCACTTATTTATTAAACAGCTTCTGAGACATTGTATTGCAACAGGTTTGCAGCCTATCAGGGCCTTAAAAAATATTATTTTCATTTCTTTCCACCCTGATGTGGGAGCTGGGCAAATTACCTATAAGACACTGGACAGAGACTCACTTCAGCAGGAGTCTAGGCTGTTAATGTCCTGGGCTCAATGCAAGATCCCAGACTTGCATTCATTATGTGAGTATGGATGCAAGACTGGAGTAATAGATTGAATCAGCAGTAAAGAGGCAACCAGAATACCCATCAGAAAAATATCCACAGCTCCAAGACCATCTCTAGCGCTCTTGCGTCTGGTAACGCGCGAGTTATAAGGAAACTGTCCCACTCCGATGGTGTCAGTTCCCAGTTCCTTTCCAGCAAATAGAAACTGCGGTTCTGTAACATAGTGGTTAGAGCACTCGCCTCATAAGCGGGAGACCTGGGTTCGATTCCCAGCAGTGCGAAACCTTGGGCAAGTTTGCTTGCTCCACATGTCTGATAATAATCCCTCAAGATAAAAAAAACAGTAATAAATTGGTCACTGTTTGTGGGACACTGCTGTGCAATTGGCTGCCGTGTTTTGCCCACAAATAGTCAATTCACTTTACAATATATTCTGTGAAGTGCTTTCAGATGTGAAAAGCGCTATATCAAATGCAAGGATTATTAGTATTTATTTTCATGAAGTTCATTCACCCAAATCACCTACAACGTTGGGACAAGAGCAGATGCTTCGGGAGCCTTGCGTGTCTGACAGCTGAACCCACGATGGAAATAGTGAATTGATGCAAGCCAGAGTTTCTTTCATGTTTTTATTTCACAGCACTGGCTGCAGAACAGAAATAGCATGCTTTACAAAAACAAAAGGACCGAACATCTGATAGACAAAGGAAGCGACTCCCCTAAAGGAAGCACTTCCGATGTAAGCTGGCCAGACCGGCCAGACCCTTACTTTACACAGCACAAAACTCTTCCTTTTGAAAGTCCAAATTAAATTACATTAGTCCAAGGCTGGATGAAGAGGACGGCTGGCGAAGGAGAGGCTTCAATCCACTTCCTCCATGCGGGAAGCATCTTCATCTCCCTCGAGGGGAGGGATATCATCGGCAGCTTGTGGCACAGGCTCGTCTGTCATCACCTCATCATCATCAATGCCTGGAACAAGGATTACCCCACATGAACACTTGGGAACAACAACTTATGTAGAGAAATCATATTAGCACTCAAAGCACTTACTTAAACTAAGTAACATTAGCTGTCCACCGATCCCCTCAAGCAACCACTCTTCACTCCTTAACCCAGAGTGACAATTCAGTCTCAGCAAGCTATCTGTTTTCAGTGAATTAGCAAGCACAGCTGCCATTTCCCTTCTCTGGGATGCAGCAAGTGGTGTTGCACTGAAGGTGATTGGCCATGATTTAGCACAGGAGCTGGCCATTTGCTCGCATTTGCAATTAATGCAGAAGTACTGACTGGCTATTGTAGCCCCATTATAAAGTGGACTTCAATTATCCTCATATCCACTGGATCTATCCTACCACTTTTGGAGATAGCTCAAAATCTGTTGAGGAAATGCACCCGTTGCTCCAGCTCTAACCCATTTAACGCAATGTTTTAAGGTTATAAGTAACTCATTGGCCACTGGGGGAAAAAGTATCTCATCACAACCACTTACCGAGCCCCAGCTTGATCATTCTGTAGATGCGGTTGGAGTGGGTCTGAGGATCATCCAGTGAAAACCCTGAGGACAGCAGAGCGGTCTCAAACAGCAGGATCACCAGATCCTTGACAGCCTTGTCGTTCTTGTCAGCTTCAGCCTTCTGCCTCAGTGTCTCCACAATTGGGTGGTCAGGGTTGATCTCCAGGTGTTTTTTGGCCATCATGTAGCCCATAGTGGAGTTGTCACGCAGGGCTTGGGCTTTCATGATGCGTTCCATGTTGGCAGTCCAACCATAGGTGCTGGTCACGATGCAGCATGGGGAGGAGACCAGGCGGTTCGAAACTGTAACCTAAAGACAGGAGAGAAGCAGTTGTTATAGTACCTTTAATGTGCTTCAAATCACATCACAGGGAACTTACAAAAATTGAAAGGGAGGTTAGAAAACATTTCATGGAATGTGATGGAAATGTAGAATGTGCTGCCACAAACTGTTGGCTTATTGGCAAGCACACTACTTGGCTTGTGTAGAAAAAAAAACAGCACCAATTTCTATACCATGCCATTATGAGATTCCACGATTTTGTGCGGGCCTCAGTCCTTCCTATTGTGCAGTGGGCAACTGTTCTGCTGCCACCAAGCATTCAGCTACTTAAACTGGCAGCTGTAGAAAACAATGTGGTGGGAAGAACTGTAGGTTAAAAGCATACAGCTTCATTGCAGTCTACCCGTTGTGGAAGGATAAAGCTAACCTCATGGCCTAACGTGAAGAGGTTATTAGTCACAGCCCTGCTCAGAACCAGATTATTATTATCTTGTTTCACCCACAAAACAAGTCAATTCACTTTACAGTGTATTCTGTGAAGCGCTTTAAGACATCTAATACGCTGTATCAAATGTAAGAATTATTATCCCACCTTCTCCACTTTCTTATCCAGCATCTCCTTCATGAGCTTGCACAGGTTCTCATACTTGGCTCGGTCATCCTCTCGCTTCTTCTTCTCGTCCTCATCCTCCGGCAGCTCCAGGCCCTCTTTGGTGACAGACACTAGTTGCTTGCCATCAAATTCCTTCAGCTGCTGCACACAGTACTCATCGATGGGCTCAGTCATGTAGACCACCTCAAAGCCACGCTTCCTCACACGCTCCACAAAGGCAGAATTAGCTACCTGATCTTTGCTTTCACCTGAAAAGAAGCAAATAGCAAATTTGTTCAGTGCTTCCTTCTTCAATTAAAGTGCTCGCTCTTACTATTTACATTGCACCTTTAGCATCAGGATGTCTCTAACAAGTGCTCGACAATACTGAATGGGCATCCAAGCTCAGGGTAGCAGCAGAGGGGATTGAGGAGAAGAAATATGACTTGAGAATACAAAGATTTGTGTGCTAGCTTGGTTCAGTGATAGCACTCTCGCTTCTGAGTCAGAAGGTTGTAGGTTCAAGCCCCACATCGGTAATCACAATCCTGATGTGGGGGATGCTCCAATGCAGCACCAGGGTTGTGTTGCATTTCGGATATACCGTATTTTGGATGAAACGTTAACCCAGGGTCCCACCTACACATTGAGGTGGACGCTAAAGATCCCATGGCGCTATTCGAAAAGAGATGGGAGTACCTCCCGGTATCCTAACCAAAAAAAAAACCCACAAATAAAAGTAGACACTCACTCGTGGTTGTTCGTGGGACATGGCTGCACACAAAATGCCTGCCGAATTCACTCACAAAATACAATTAATCCAGTTTAGAGTATATCCTAGGACGCGCTTTGAGATGCCGACATAACATGCGTTAGATATCAAACGCAAGTATTATTTATTACAGAATAAACTGAAATCTGTCACCTCCCCCCCCACCACAAAAATAGCAAAGCACGAACTGGAACTGACCAGTGATGTAGTAGATGCATTTCTGATTTTCTTTCATGCGAGAAATGTAGTCGGACAGGGGTGTGAGCTCATCTCCTGACTGTGAGGTGTGGTAACGCAGCAGCTCTGACAGCTTCTTGCGGTTCTGGGAATCCTCGTGGATGCCGAGCTGTAAAAGTTCAGATTTTATAAACACCATTGCAGAAACAGCAAGAGCCCTGAGGACAAACTGCAAATTGCTCTTACAACTCATGCACACAGTCCAGATTGCTTCAGAAGTCAGTGGCCTAGTGGAGGAAAGAAGGTGCCTCAAAATTATGGCTCTTACACTTTGTTATCAAGTGGCTAATCATTGAGGGATGCAATAATCTATGGGTAATAGATGCTGTGCCACAAGTAGTACAAAAATCTGTGCCAATCCTTTTACCAGTTTTATTCTTGAACTCTTATCTTTACTTGTTACATGTTACAAGCAGAACACATTACCAGTTTACTCAGGGACAATAAGTGTGTCGCAGGCACACGAGGGCTACCATTCTATCCTCTCTCCTTATCCCCCACCAAACACTACCTTGAGGTTCTTTGAGAATTGTTCGTAGAATTTCTTGTAGTTGTCCTTGTCCTCTGCCAACTCCCCAAACAACTCTAGACATTTCTTGACAATATTCTTCCGGATGACCTTTAGAATCTTGCTCTGCTGCAGCATCTCTCGAGAGATATTCAGGGGCAGATCCTCAGAGTCTACGACACCACGGACAAAGTCTGAAACAAACATTTGTTGTATAAGATAGCGATTGGGGGAAATCTAAAAGAATCTGGGAGGCACTACTCAATACATAGAACAATTAGATTGTGGCATTCAATGCCTGAAATAGTAGCTGCATCAGATCTTATAGATGCATTTAAGAGGAAGCTAAACTTTCACACAAGGGAGAAGGGAATAGATGGGTACGGGAGGCAGGTATAAGGCATGGGCAGGTGGAGACTCATGGGAGTATAAACACCGGCAGACACTGGTTGGGCTGAAGGCCTATTCACATGCTGTGCATTCTTTGTAAATCTGTGTAAACTTCACCCACACTAGAAAATGCCTATGGGGAAGTCTGAATCCAATAAACTTCACTATTCTAATCCTGTGAGGGGTGAGTATGTATATAATTAAATCACAAGAGCCCACTGTTCATGGACAAGTTAAAAGGTGTCTACACAGATAGCTACAGATCATTGAGCAAATAGTGCCAGTACCACTTACTGTGAGAGCAGCCATGCACATGTCAACCATAAAACACTGGGTTACTGGTTTAAGAAGAGAATGAAGAAGTTTCAAGATTTAACCAAAAGCTAGGCTTTGGGTTTCAGTTCATATAGGTATCAAACAATTCACAACACACCAAAAAAAGAGGTAAAGAAGTCTCTTAAGTAAACCTGATTCCATCATTCCCAAATTCATTCCCTAACACACTGCCATTTTAGCATTGAATAGTTTCTAAAGAATCCAGCAGCGTGGGTCCCAACCATCTTACCTGGTTACCTGTTCCAAATCTGAAAGTATTGTTCTGCATTTACTTTCTCAGTATCTCATATTCCTCTGTAAAATCCCTCGGAGATGGATCCCATTTTATTGAATTGCCCCCCACAGCTCAAACCCCTAACACAAAAAATCATACCCAATTCCTCTGCATTGCCAAAGATTTGTTTGCTTTGAAGCGATTTAGGATACTATAGGCAAGAAAGCAATAATTTTGAATTTAAGACTATAATGGCATTGGGAATATCTTGGCATTTTCCCCATTGCCTCAAAAGAATTCAACAGGACACCTCCTTTGCTAGAAGGCCTTGTGACACAACTATTGTATCGGACTTTTAAGCGTGGTTTGAAAGCAGAAGACGGATATGATGGCAGGTAGGTGGGGAAGAAGAAAGCATGGTTACATTAGACAACTGCTCCCTCTCAAATACCATAGCAGTAAACAACCTCAGAGCAATTTACCAGGTCGAGATACCAGGCACTTCAGTGTAACTGACCAGGTCACAGGGTTGCAGTCATCTCTTTGTTGCATGAATATACAGTAAATAACTGTTCTACATTAAATCAGAGAGTTCTTGGTCATTCTTAGCACAGTCAGCCCCCTCCCACAAAAGGACAGGTAGATTAAACTAATTCACTATAGTGCTAAGCCTCTGTAACCTGAAACCCTCCGAGACTGGGAACTATATACACAGACAGTGGACGTGCCACATTCCAAGGGACCTGCTGCACATTTACAATGTTATTGTGGATCCCAGCATCCACTGTTTCAGGTTATTCTAACCACTTACTGAGGTACTCGGGTATCAGCTCCTCACAGCTGTCCATGATGAAGACCCTGCGGACGTACAACTTGATGTTATTCTTTTTCTTCTTGTTCTCAAAGAGATCAAAGGGTGCGCGGCGTGGGATGAAGAGCAGGGCACGGAACTCCAGCTGACCCTCCACAGAGAAGTGCTGAAAGAAAAAACACAAGTTACCCGTTAGTCAAAGATAGAACACAGGGTAATTTTGTTCGTAAATGACAGCTAAAGTATTGCAAAAAACAGCCATTTAATACAGTGAGTTTCCAACTGCCATGGAAGTTCTGGCATTGATTGATGCAATCTATACAGGAACTGTGTTTAATTTGCACCATAATGGAGTAACATTTCCATATGTTTAGTAGCGTTTTTCATTATTTCCTCCTCACTGCTTCTCTGAAGCTAAGGGTGGGACATCTCAACCAAAATCGAAGTGGGAATGTTTTGTGCAGAAATGATCCATTCCTCAACGCTGGCATCATTTCATACATAAGCAACCTTTAAAACTTAGCCTGGAAAGTTCAGGTAATATCATCCAAGTGACCCTCTCCCTGCATTTCCTTCATCTCACCTTCACAGCAAGGTGATCCTCCCAGTCATTGGTCAGGCTCTTGTAGAATTCGCCATACTCCTCCTGGGTGATGTCGTCAGGATTGCGGGTCCAGATGGGCTTGGTTTTATTCAGTTCCTCCTGGTCAATGTACTTCTCCTTGATCTTCTTTTTCTTCTTCTTGTCTTTCTTTTCACCATCTTCTTCTTCATCAGACCCTACGTCCTCGATCTTGGGCTTCTCTCCTTCCTCCTTGGCTGCCTCATCTTCCTTCTCAGGCTTCTCCTCAGTCTCTGCTTCATCATCACTGATCTCCTTATCTCGTTCTTTCTCAACCTAAAGAGAACAAACCGTGTCAGCAACAACAACAACAAGATTCCATTTATAAAGCGCCTTTCACGTCAGGAGGACGTCCCAAGGCGCTGCACAGTTGGGTCATGACCCGAGCAGGGGGGAAATGGTCAGGGTGAGGGGAGGGAAGGGAGGGAGCAAGGAGGGGGGAAATGGTCAGGGTGAGGGGAGGGAAGGGAGGGAGCGAGGAGGGGGAAGAGAGTCGAGAGGGGAGCTGAAGGCTCGGTCAAAGAGAAAGGTTTTGAGACCGGCCTTGAAGGAGGAAAGGGAGGAGGCGGCGAAGGCACTGGGGGATGGAGTTCCAGAGCCTGGGGCTGAGAGGCTGAAGGCCCGACCACCGATGGTAGGGCGGTTGGGGCGGGGGACGTGGAGCAGACCGGAGCCAGAGGAACGGAGGGTACGGGCAGGTAGGTAGGGGGATAGTAGGTTGGAGAGGTAGGAGGGAGCAAGGCCGTGAATGGCCTTGTAGGTGAGGATCTTGAAATCAATCCTCTGGGGGATGGGGAGCCAGTGGAGGCGAGCGAGGGTGGGAGTGATGTGGTCGCGGGTCTGGTGCGGGACAGTACACGAGCTGCAGAGTTCTGAATGACCTGCAGCTTGTGGAGGGAGGTGGCGGGAAGGCCGGCGAGAAGACTCGAAGCAAGTTTTCCCCATTTCACTCCTCCCATACTATCTCTGTCCAGATACTAAATGCTTCATATTTAATGTACACCATGGCTTCATAAAATCTTGTACTTTTAAAAAAACAAAATATAAACCTTAAACAAGGTCTCCCAACTGAACTCCTTAAAGGATATTGAATTTCATGTATGTTCAAATGCAAAATTAAAAGAAGTTAAAGCAGTAACCATCTTACAACTACTGTAGTATGTCACATGGTCCGCTCCTCATCTTAGATTTAAACAACAAGGCTGACGTAAGTGAGATTAGAGTCTAAGCACATCTAATTTTTAAAGGATGAGGCAAATATAAGGAATCTGAGACACGCGTGCTCTGCAGGAGCTTTAACTTCCCAAATGTGGACCTGGCAAAAGGGATTTGAATCCCTCCATGTAAAATAAAACAAATAAGACAAATAGAAGCTGACAAGTATACCAGCTGCTACTACTTTATTCCTCTACTTGCAAGGGCAATAGAACAGTCCACGCAGATATGGCATGTCATAAGAAATTGGAATTTGTTTTGCTATTTATGGAATATTTTCCCCATATTTTTGGATACTGCAAACCTTGTAGGACAAAGAAAATACTTTGGCAGCCAACAGCATTGCAGTTGAGCAGCCACAGTGGTACAGTGGATAGACCTACAGGGTCACCACACAGTCCTGCTCCTCTCATGTTTTTCCCCACAGAGCACTGACCAACAACTGAAACATGTGGAAGAATAATAATGCATTTCAAGTACTTCATTGTATTCAGTACAAGTGTTTAACAGTATTTAGACCCAAGGATCGGTGCGAGTGCCAACACATCACGTCGCCATGTTCGGTGCAACATCTTCTGTAACATGGATGGAGTAATGAGGTGAAGTATATGTCTGACAGCTTGTTTCAGCTGCTCCATAGACTTGTATCGCTGTTTTGTAATAGAATGTAAGAGAACTTTGTGGACACCCTGTACAGGTAAAGAAGCCAGGAGCTTGCTTGTTCAAATCTCAGTCCATGCTGAATTTGCTGGGCTGCTAGGGAGGCTAAATCGGCCCTTGCCTTCTCCAGATTAAAAAGGTTTAAATCAGCTGAGTTTCTTGCTTCTAGTGCTTCTTCAGCACCCTCTATTTGTCGTGTGCATGCATAGGAGCTCGTTGAGGATAAGTAGGGTCAACTGTGATGTCCTCGGTAGTCAAATGGTCTGCCAGCAAACCGCCTAGGCTCACAAACAAACACTGATGACTTGGACATGGTATTGGGAGGAGGGGGCAACTAGTCCATGATGAAGACCCCACGAAACCTTACGAGGAGACTAATGAGCCAAAGAAAAAAATAACCTGAAAATAACTTTTAAAATTGCATTACTTACAAAGAGTGTGATGGGATAGCCAATGAACTGAGAGTGTTTCTTGACCACTTCTTTGATCCTCTTTTCCTCCAGATACTCAGACTGATCCTCCTTCAGGTGTAGTATAATCTTTGTACCTCTGCCGATTGATAAGCCTGGGCAACCTGAGCCATCAGAATCACCCTTGCCTTCAAAAAGAAAAAAAAGTAACAAGATTAGAACTGTATAGAATTTATTCACTCAAATACCTCACTAATCTAATCCCACAAAAGCATCATTAGTCTAAGTATGTGTAAGATGCACTGCTTTATCAGTAGGGAGACAAACCTGAAAGTAGCTATCTACGTATTTAGAGCAGCCCAGCACATCCATGGTCACAGGTAGTTCAGCACGTGTGAAGAATGTAAGTGATCCTTTTCAAACAGCCCAGAGAAGAAGGCAGCAAGACTTAACTGGGCAATGGAGCATTTTATCTATTAAATACAGAGGGACCCCACTATACCATCACATATAATGCTGATATTCTGATCTGGTACTTTCCAGTTGCCACAAAAATAGCACCAGCACCATTCAACACTCACAGGAATAATCTTTGCATTTGATAAAGCATTCTAATGCCTACAAATGTAATCTTGTTGTTGTAAACAACTCAACAGGAAATTACAGTCCAGTGCTGTGCAGGTAAATTTGGCGGTTTTCCCTTTTCATATGAAGTGTAGAATCATACAGAAAAGAAGGTGTCAGTTCAACTCGGCGAGCCTGTGCTCTGAGAAAGCTAACTATTGAGCACAATCACCTGCTTTTCCAACCCCTCACACCTTAAGGAGTTATCTTTTACAATTATCTTTCTAAGTTTCTATAAGCCATTATAGATTCCAATTTAACCAACATTTTTGATATTCTAATAACCTTGTGTAAAGAGTTTATCTTATACCACTGTTTGGGTAATGATTACACATTTACTTGATTCAACAGGATCGGTGTCAAATAGTCACTACAGCGGTTTTACAGTAAACCCTGAAGACATTGAAACATTCTGACATGAAAGGCACTACATCAAATGGAAGGATTATTTACTAACCAATGAACAGAGGACCGGGTGCAGCAGACAGGCTAGTAAATTAACCAGTGAAGTTACTTGAGGGGAAAGAATAAGCTTGTGAAATCAGCCATGTGAATAGTGCATTTAATGAATTAACCCCCCCCACCAACCAAAGGATCTGGTGGAATCAACGGTTTTATCCCTCTAAATCCACAATCCAATTAAAAAGAAGGCTAATCATGTGAGTAAGTGCTTAGTCAAGTCAAAAAAGCAGCCCAAATCAACATTTGTCACGTGTCACAAAACCAACAAAAGCCCGAACAGACCACAGCAAGGCATTAAAGTCCACCCAGGACTCCAGCAGCAACAGCAAAGCTCGATTCTCACAATGAGCTGCATGGACTACGAGATCAAATCACCCCAGATTGAGGAATCCGATTATGCAGAGTTTCAGCCACTTGAGCTTCGCTCCCGGGAACATACAGGAAGACGTCGGTCCAACAGCATCAGCATGTGTGCATTATCCAGGGTTCCTGAGAACTTCAGCTTCCAAGAGCTCAAGGTTTGTTATGCTTATTGATGTACACTTGTTATAGCCACAGTGCCTTGTCCAGTAAAGAACAACTAGATACGCACACTAGTTATGCTACTGGTTATTTATTCTAGCTGACACCAATGCAGTAAAAGAAAGCCACTTCTTCGCTCTGTGCAGCTTTTCAGGGAGCAGCTGACCTGTATGAGTTTTGCTAAGCTACTCATCAAAGTAATCTCCCAATATGAATATGGGAGATGGGAGAAATGTCTTGAGCTCTGAGAAGGCAGGTTCCTCCCAATCCCACACAATGCAACTGAAAACAGGGATTAACCGAGCTTGTGACAAACTTGCCAAGTGCCCAGCCTGTCCACTGGGACATTTGTTCTGCACCATTTTATTGCTTATGCTGAATTTTGACTCATCTTAACCTTATTCTATGCTGGACAAGCCACAAAGACAAATTTGTGTCTCTTTGGGAGACTCCAACATTAGGGTTTCTTTATAAGATTTCTCCTTTATGGCATTACTACCAGGTTTCAAATTATGCCAATAACAAAAAGTTGTTTTAAAGATGCAAACTGGTTCAGTTGTAAACTCACATATTCTTTTTCCAATCCCTCCTTTTAGGGCACAAGTAGCCTCCCTGGGACTGCCCAATCCAGTCCAGTTTTCAGAGGGTCAAGCTGGAAGAGAAGCAGCTCCCGCAACAGTTCAAGCACATCAACCATCCAGTCACTCATCCAAGGCAGCCTCCAGTTTCAGAGCATCGCTGGCACCGCAGGTGACTACATGCTATCAGACTCGACTGAGAGTCTCCAAAACAAGAGCTTGGACGAGTGTTTCAACAAGAGTTTGATGGAACCAAAACTGACGAGACCCAGTACAACAGGCAAAGCCGAGAGGCCAGACTGAGAGACTGATGGCAAACAATCTTACTATCACAACAGCTTCCGGCACTCCAGCTGTTTGGCAACCTGAACGTGGAAGTGACAGACATGGAGCAATCCTGCAACGGAGTGCTGCCACCCAGTAACTGTAAGTGCAACAGTAAGGACACCTCCCACAGTGTCCTCAATTTCTGCAAAGGGACTACCTGAGCACGTTCACGCTGGGCTTCCACACACCCTTGACCATGTTCAAGAAATAGTGCGAACTACAAAGTAACTCAATACTGGAGAAACTGGTTGATAAATGTGGTGATTTGTTAGTAAATTATTTAATGATATCTTCCACTATTGTCAAACGTTTATAATTTTTTAAAAAAGAAACACTTCCACTGTTGAGCTGGTAATAAATACATAGCTTTCTACTCATTATGACTCTTCACATCCCCTTTACCAGTGGTCAACGTGAACAGTCACATTGATTTTGCAGATTATAATCTTGCCCCCTCTTCCTGCCCTCTCACAGCAAACCGCACACGGTGAGGCAAATTAATCTGCAGTAAGGCTATGATATTAACCTCACTTGCCCCGATTTTATTTGTAGACCTGTAAATACACTAAACTCCTGGATAACCAGGGAGAGATCAGATCCGGCCAACTAAACGCTAATCTTTAAAATAAACAAACAAATACAAAACAAAAAACATTAGTTTTGTACTCACAACTGATACGTTGCAGTTACATTGATGCTCATAGCTAAACCGGTATCAAGCTATGGGCATCACATAGTCTGATGGGAGTTTGAAAACATGGGGTGGAATCTTATTAGTTGAATCACAGAATTTTTTTCCAGGCCGGGCCTGGTTAATTCCTCAAACATGTAGCCAGGATTTACTGTACTGATATGACGTTCTATAGCCTTATGTCCAACTAGTCAGGGGGAAGTCTGACAGCTGGCTAATTCTAAGTAGCTCAGTGCCACTTAACAGAAGTGGTACTGAGAAATGTTAATATATTCTGGCTTGCAGGTACACAGCTATCAGCTGTATTCTGTTACGTACATAATATGTATACACAACTAAGATTAAAACCTTGAGGGGTGGCAGGGCGGGAACCAGAGACTTGTACCCCAATTTCCCAACCACCTTCTGAGTGAATGGAGAAAGAAAAGCCTTGGCTCAGCAGAGTATACATTTCCGATCTTTAGCCATGTCAGTTGTGGTTACTTTCATGTAATAATACATGGCATCCACATGACACTGAGCAACGGAGATCCCTCAAAAACCACGCACTATTGTTTTATTAAAATAAACATATCTTTAAAAGGATACTAAAAAAGTATGTTATGTCCATCTTTATCATAGAAGATTTATTGCAGGCCAAAACACTCCTTTAAAAGTGTCCCATCTATTAATAGATGATCCTATTTCAAGATTCTGCACATGTGGAATAGTTAAGACTTAATTTAAGCCAATTTGGGAGGCAACAAAATAGTCACTACACTTTCAATAATGCTGCAAAGCTCTTTGAGATATTGATAATTTTATAAGGCACTATATCATGATTATAATTTATCTTGAGATTCAAGAATTATCTTCAGGTGAAAACTCAGATTAGCCTGGAAAGTAATAGTAACATCCACCAGAACCATCCTATCCCCAATGCTATAAGAAACACTCTACCATCCTAGAGAATTGATGCCATCCTAGGGACTACTCAGAATGTGTTTTTCAACCCCCCCCACCCACCAGGCTGTTGCATTATATACTCACCAGTGTAGGTTTTGACAGTGAAGGAACCTCCGGCTGAAGACTCCCATGCATACTCCTCGTCATCATTGTGCTTGGTCAGGACAGTAACCTTCTCAGCAACCAGATAAGCAGAGTAGAAACCAACACCAAACTGACCAATCATGGAAATGTCTGCACCAGCCTGCAAAGCTTCCATGAAGGCCTTGGTGCCAGACTTGGCGATGGTGCCCAGATTATTGATCAGATCGGCCTTGGTCATCCCAATGCCAGTGTCGATGATGGTCAAGGTACGCTCTTTCAGGTTGGGGATGATCTCAATCTTTAGGTCCTTACCACTCTCCATCTTTGATGGGTCAGTCAGACTCTCATATCTGATCTTATCCAGGGCCTAGAGGTTTTAAACAAAAAACATTTCAACTATTCAAGCATAGATGTGACAGAAACCAAACATTGTAAAGCAATCTGAAACAATCCTCACAACATGGAATGTCCTGCAATAAAAAAAATTGGATAAACACTTCCTCCCTGGAAACCTATGAGACGCCACCCTGTGTGGAGGGTGCTATGTAATTGCAAGTTGTTGTTATTGTAGTCAATCCACGTACAAGTATGGTGTTTGCCAAATAGAAAATGATCTTACTGCCATCACAACAACAACAACAAGATTCCATTTATAAAGCGCCTTTCACGTCAGGAGGACGTAATCACACCCATTAGTCAATATCTTAACATAAACTAACAAATACACGAGGAACTTCTAGGGTGTTGGAATGGAAACACGATGAAATCTGGTGATATTACAATTAGTATGTCTCTGCACATTAGCATGGTAACAACCACCACTCTTCCCACCCTCGCTGCTATTTCCAACTATTCCTGCCAGAGCCTCTATACTATCTATCCCTCCACGCGCTGCTACATTTTATATTTGCTTGAAGGTTGCCTCTCTGAAGGAACCTTTAGTTGAACAATACATTCGCTTTGTAGTAATCTGGTTAGATACAGCCTGAATCCCAAATTATGCAAAACCTCCCATTATATTCTTCCACACCTACTGTTGGCCTTATCTCAAACACGATTGTACTTGGTTTATCTCACAGGACATAATGCAAATCATTGGTACCAGTCAAAATATTAAATTGTGCGTATTCACAATTCTAATTCAGTTCCAAGTTATTTAAACATACAAAGCTTTCCATCTAAAAACATCATTTAAGTTGAGATCTATTGATAAGAATTGGTAAAAAGTTTCCAGCTTCAAATCATTTGTCTTGAGTGAATTAGGCAAACGGTAGCAGTCCATTACTATTGCTAGACAAATTTTATTATGTAGACATTTGATTTATAAAGTGTGATAAGACACTCACATCAGAGGCATTGGAGATGAGTTCTCGCAAAAAGATCTCTTTGTTGGAATAGAATGTGTTGATGATCAAGGACATAAGCTGAGCAATCTCAGCCTGGAAGGCAAAAGTCTCCACATCCTCCTCCGCAGTGCGAACGTCTTCAGGCATCTAGAAGATAAAAATCCTTCATCAGTACTGTACCACATAAATAGGGCTTCCGATTTTCTGTTTTAATTGATAAAAAGCAATAAACCAAATACAAAAAATATAAATGGTTAACTGGGCAAGCATTACTCTCGCTTTCCGCCCATCCCTCTCCATATTGCATGTGCAGGCGCATCTGAATCTTGTCATTACAATTAAGTGAAATGAAAACTTAAAACCCCCAAATTGCTTTAAAAAAAGTAAAGTGAAAATTTTAAACTCCCCAAAAAACAGAAGTCCTACACATAATCCATTCAACCTTCCTTCTTTCCAACAAATAGAGCCACTGTGCAGCAGGTTATAAGATCTCCCCCATACAAAACAATAAGCCCACTCAAAAGTAACCCAACTGCACATTGCAAAAGGTAACCGACCCGTTGATGTTTACATGATTATTAGAACAAAATTATATAGCACCTTTCACTTCGGAAGGACATCCCAAGGCATTGGACAGTTAAGGGTTTGCATTGAGCTAGCGGTTGTAATCAAGAGAAATGGAGGGTGGCCAAAAGCAGTCAAATTGGAAATTTTTGAAGCAGAGGTATTCCAAGATGGAGTATCAGAGGGTGGGGGTAGAAAATTTTAAGGCCCGACTGCCACGGTGGAGCAGTGAGGGTTGATGACATGAAGAAGGCCAGTGCAGAGTGGAGGGAGTGGAAAATTGCTCTGGTGTTACCAGGTCTCAAAGGTAGGGAGGATCAAGAGCGTGGGGGCTTTAAAACTGAGGAGGATTTTAAGCTATCATCTGAGGGATGTGGCGGGCAGGGTGGTAATAATAATCCTTACACTTGATATAGTGTCTTTTCAAGATTTGAGATGTCTCAAAGCACTTTCACAGAATATACTGTAAAGTGAGTTGAGTGTATATTTTGTGGGCGAAATCCAGCAACCAATTGCGCACAGCAGCATCCCACAAACAGTCGTGGATTGAAGTGACCAATTTTTTAAAAGAAGAAATTTACCTCCAGAAAAATGATCCGCCAATCGACTAACAACTGGGTTCCCACTTGCCGCTAAGTAAACAGGTGTGTGGAGTAAGGAAACTTGCCCAACATTTCTCCCCGCCAGGAATTGAAACCAGGTCTCTCAATTGCGAGGCAAGTGCTCTATCGGATGGGGGTGATCAGTTCACAGAGCTTGGTATGGGAGACGACATAAGCTCCAGAGTTCTGAATAATCTGCAGCTTGTGGAGGGAATAGTTGGGAAGTCTGGTGAGCAGGAAGTTTGTGTAGTTGAGCCTGGATGCGATGACTGAGGGTCTCGGTGCCCTGAGGGGATAGGCAGTGGCGGGCAACATTGGGAATACAGAACGAACGTGTGGTTTTAAGGCTAGTTGATACCACCAGAAGAATTATGGCCCACTAGACAAATAGGGATTTTAGCCATGGTTCAGACAAAAATTGAGCCATTTTCTGCCTCCTCCCAAAAAAGGTTTCCCACACACAACTTACTTCTGCTTAGCAGACTAGATATTGGGACCATTAATCACTGACTTGAGAACTAAGACTTTCAAATAATGATCAACAATTACCCGTCAATAACTCACGAGATAGATGGCTGCCACATAACTACATATCTGCAAAACTTGAAAATGCAGCTGCAGTATTATCTTGACACCATGACTGCTGAATCAACAACCAGTTTCATGATCAGCATGAAATGCTGTACGCATACATCCCAGCGTTCGTTCGCTTACAATTAAGTAGGATGCATTATAATCCTTGCATTTGATATAGCGCTTTTCACGTCTTCTTGACGTCTCAAAGCGCTTCACAGAAGACTGTAAAGTGAATTGACAATATATTTGTGGACAAGTTCTTCACATTATAAACGAATCACTGGCATGCACTGGTTACCAAGTGATAGATCACAACAGAAATGACTTAAGGCTATTTTAAGAATCGTTCAAAAGGATAAGCATCTGCGCTGCAATAGCACATGATTTGAAAGTGGAATTAATCTAAAAAAAAGCAGTGAGACAAACAATATCCAAAATAGCTCCCTTCCTTGCAGAAAATTTCCATTTCTATCTTCAACATGTAATATCTATAGGGAAGGACATCAGCAAATCAATAAAAGTATCATATAACCTCACCAGGAGAGCTAATAGAGATTACATAACAGATACTTGAATATCAAGAATATAAAATGTCTTAGCGATAGAAAAGTTGACTTTCATTGTGCTGTTCTCAATGACAAGCTTCAATCTGCCGCAATTTATCAATGAAATGTGCAAACTCATGCTCACTGGAAGTGACATCACAGGGTTTTCCTGTTTCCTTTAAGATGGCTCTGACCATGTGCTGGTCCCATGTGGTTTTTCATTGCATTACCAGCAATAATTCAGAACAGAAACCTATTTACTCTACAGAACAATGCAGTAATTTTATACATAGGACACGCCGAATAGCTAATCCAGCACTACAATGCCTTTGATTACCTCCTTTCCTTCCACTTGATCAGTTTTATACACAGCAATGATGAAATGGCTGGTGCTGTCTCACCTTGTGAATTGGACTGCATTTATTTGTCCTCCGAGCTGGCTCCAAAACTCCCATTCAGTTTTTAAGTGATTTACATTATTGAAGTGCATTTCCTTATTTATATTTGGTTGTATTTTATTCAGTCTGCTATCCTGAGGTGGCACCCCTCAATATTTAGCTGAAAACAATGTACATTTTATACTTCTATATATCTGCCCTCACTATGTTCCATATGAATCAAAGTTTCTTGAGCCAATAATTTCCCATTGTTATTTGCTCTTCTGCAGCTGCCACTCCTAACATATTTTGATGAAAACTTGTAAAGTCATAGACCGAATGTTTGATTGTTAGCTGACCTTATCAGGAGCAGCAGCTGAAACATTACAATTATCCCCAGTGTCCACCCCCCAGCCATAGTTTAGCACCTTCAGAAGGATAAGTGAATTTTAATCATATCTACTGCCCATACACTGATATTATATTCTCAGATTATCTTTCACAAATCTTGCTAAGTTGCCATTTAAATGGTGTTTAAAACCCATTCTGCTGGCTTCCAGCACCTTTCTTTTCATGGTTTCAGAACACGCCTAAATTGTAATTAGCTGGTGGCTATATTTATTTTATAATGTATCCAGTCAGCAGCTCTCAGCCTTGTATTCCAAAACAGAATATAAATGTGATAATAACTACCTACATTTAATGAATATTTCCTATACTGCATTGCAAGTTTCCAATTCACTCTTGTAGATACAGAGGAATATGCAATTATAAATACTGTATACATACCTCACTGCAATCAATGGCTGAATGTAACAGAAATGATACATTTCAGATTACATTTTGATAAGATCTATAGACATTTAAGCCTATAGATAGCATTATATATCCTCTCAGCAATACACTCAGCAACAATAAAAAAAAACCTTGCGGTCGCAACACCTTGTTGCGAAGAAAGTAAGAACAGAAAACATACTGTAAAACGGTATAATTTGAGAGATGCATTTGATACTGCACCAGGAATTATTGAGCAGTGCAGCAGTTGCTGTATTTTAAAGGCAAACACATTGCCATCTACTTTGCGCACAAGGTGCCAAAACCGGGCGGCCAAGGAGATGAATGACCGAACTGATCTCGATGCGACAGATCCATAACATTACATACATAAATAATTAACGGTGTATAAGAGAGAGCCGGTCTGCCTCTCGCACAGCAGTGAGCAGCGAGGCACTGCGTCTCTGGTGCGCGGGATGGATGTGTGGGGGGGGGGGGGGGGGGGGAAAGGAGGAAGGAAGGAAGGAAAGGCAAGAGGGTGGCCGGCCTGTGGCAGTTGGGAGAGGAGTCGATACAAGACACTGAGGATGTGTTTGGCATTTGAGGATAGTTAGGAAGAAGCTTTGGAGCCGTTCTCGCACATTCTGGGCCGATACGAAACCAAACTACATATACATTTTTTTTAAGATAACACAGTGAGAGACAAACCCCCCCCCCCACACACACCCTCTCTCCCCGTGGCGAATGCGATGCGAAAAGCATTTTTATAGCCCCATCGCAACTGGGCTGTAAATTGAATTTTGTTTCAGTTTAAAGGGAGCGTTTTTTTTTTGAAAAAAAAACCCCACGAAACGACGCTTCTCGCTCGCGCTCACACGCGCGCGCGAAGGCCGACACTAACAGCGATTCGGTCACGAAGGGACGGGGCAAAAATGCTGCAAAATTACCTTGGCTCTGTTGGGGAGTCTCTACCGTGAACCGAGGTAGTGTTTTTTCGCGGTATCTGTACCGTGTCCGCGGGTATATTCGGTGTTGTCTCTGGGAAGCTGCGAGCCGCGCTGCTACCGCCGTCGCCTCCGCCGCCGAAAGGCCGTGCGTCGCTCGTACTGGCACTATCTGCCCTGCCTCACTACCCCGACCACCGCCTGTATCCCTGCGCGCATGCAACGGCGGAGGGGCGGGAATTGCGACCTCCCCTCCCTTTCACCGATGCCCAAACCCCGGCTGGACCGTTCCTCTCCGTCTATTGCGACGTCCCAACCGCCGCTGCACCTCCGCAGTTGGTCGCGGCGAGCGGAATCCGAAAGGGCAGGCGGGGCACTCTTTGACAGCGCGAGGAGGAAGACCGGTGCGAGGGCGGCGCGCTGCGGTTTGTTCCAGCACTTTCCAGGCGCAGTGACGTCAGCCGTCGCTCAAGCGCCGGGAGGGGGCGGGGCGCGGCCCCCGGTTGCCATGGCAGCGCACTCCCAGACTCGGGCCGGGCCCTCGGCTCCCCAGCCTCGCGGCTCGCTTCAGTTTTCAGCAAAATAACGGTCAAACTCGCCTAACTCTGATCTGTACAAATCGTATGATCGCCTAAGTCGTTGCATCTGCCCAGGGTCCTGTCAGGAGGCTTCATGTTCTGTGCCAGTTTGACGCAACTCACACTTTGCCTAAGTCATGAAACGTGTGCACCCCACCCCCCCCCCCACCCTCCAACTGATACGACTTGCACGAGGTTTACAGTAGTAATAATAATAATAATAATGATGATGATGATAGTGTGTCACACAAGGACACTCTGGAGTTCAAGTATCCCCAACAGAACTGTGCGGGTTCTCCATCCCGGAGTCCCTCCGACTCGCTTCCCTCGATCCCTCCCTCACCTTGTTCCACGTCCCGCCTTGAGACCGTCCCTTCATTCCCACTTTGCCTGCCTTTTCTCCGCATTATTTCAAATGGTTCCTTTTTAGGATAGCCAGACAAATCCCTTCGAGCCCTGGCACCTCCCTTCCTTTCCAACTTGCTTTCTCCCCACACCACTGCCCGCTGCTTCTGCTCGGCTGGCTCTGCCCTCCTACTCGTTCCTCGACCCTCCGCTCCACTATGTCCGAAGCTTTGGAACTCTCTCCCTTAATCTCTTTGCCTTGCCCCCTCCTTCCCCTGTTTTAGATCACCACTAATAATCTTCCTCTTCGAACCGTGCTTACGGTCACCTCCTCCCGACTGGGTGTCCGGCTCTGCCTCAGGCTCTGCTTCATGGCTGCACTTTACACCTCACGGGACCAACATGGAACCTCAGCGTCCTGTTCGACCCTCAACTGTCCTTCGTCCCCCACAATCATGCTTTGAGACGTCTCACCGACGTAATAAGGATAATTATTTTTTATTATTATTAATGGCCCGCTCTGCCTTTCTCCACCTCCGCAACATTACCCAAGACTGTCTCTCACCGCACGCCGCTGAGACCCTTATCCACACGTTCATCACATCCAGGCTCGAGTATGCAAACTATGCTTGTCGGCCGCCCCAACTCTTCCCTCCACAGCCTGCAGATCATCCAGAACTGTGCAGCCCGTGTCCTCTCTCGCACCAGGCTCCACGACCTTATCACCCCATCCTCGCCCGGTTCCACTGGTTCTCCATTACTCAGAGGATACAGTTCACGATTCTGGTCCTCACCTTCAAGGCCTCCATGGCCTTGCTCCTCCCTACTTCTGTGACTTCCTAACCCCCTACCAACCTATCCGCTACCTCCATTCTGTGGTTCCGGCCTGCTTCACGTCCCCTGCCATGCCCACCTCACCATTGGTGGGCGGCCCTTCAGGCTTTCTGCCCCCACCCTCTGGAACTCCATCCCACAATCCCACCACCTTAGCCCCCCACTTGCCTCCTTCAAGACCCATCTCAAGACCCTCCTCTTCGACCATGCCTTCGGTCATCCTCCTACCCCTACCCCCACCACCCCCCCACCCCACCCTCCACTCCTGATCCTAACCACTAGCTTGGATGCGGATCCCTGACTGTCCAGCACCTTTGGACGTCTTCCTGACGTGACAGGGGCTATAGAAATGTAATTTGTTGTTGTTAAGCACTTTGAGATTGAGTTAAGCGCTGCCCCGGGTGAAGGGCACTATATAAAATGCAAGTTGTTGTGGTTGTATTATTGATCACGCATTGACTACTGTTCCCAACCAGCCATTTCACATCTTAACAATCCTCTGTGCAGAGAAGAGCCAAGGTGACAGCCCTGGGTCCGTTGGTAGCACTCTTGCCTCTGAGACACAAAGGTTATGGGTTCAAGCTCCCTGTCAGGACTTTGAATTCATATTTCTAGGCTGATACTTCAGTGCAGAACTAGGTGAGCATTGCATTGTTGAAGATGCCGTCCTTTGGATAAGATGTTAAACTAAGGTCCTGTCTGCCTGTTCAAGTGGATATTAAAAATCCCATGATACTACTTGAAAAGAGAAGGGAGTTTCTCCCATTGTTCTGGCTAATAATCCCCCAAATAAAATTGGTTATTTGTTTCATGACTGTTTGTAGGACATTGCTGCGTGCAAACTGTCTGTCCCATTTGTCTACAAAGTACACAATCACTACACTTTACAGTAAATATTGTGAAACGTTTTGAGATGTTCTCCTGATGTGAAAAATGCTATATTAAAAGTAAATATTATTACTACACCGTGTAATGAGTTTCAATCACTACCTCCAACCCACCACAGGAATCACTTTCTTTCACTTCAGCCACTTTTCCCAGTAACATTCCTCCTTCACCACCTTTGCTGCTGAAACTTTCATCCACGCTTTGTCACCTCTGGAATAAATCTTGCCAATTCTCCCCTCATTGGCATTCCCTGGCCCCTCTTAAACCTTACTTGGACCAGAGCCTGTCCATCACAAAGCCCCACCCTCCCACTCTCATCAAGAGTTAATTCAAAGGCTGTTTGGTGAAGAATTCCATCAAGGGGTATGACAGATAGAGAAAGCATCAGATTATTTTCCTCTTGGGCTGGCCAGATGCAGGCAATGTGTTTTCTCACTGCTGTACGTTCCTATTTTCCTGCATCTCTGCCTCACAATGCTGATAGTCACTGCAGAGTGAGTTGAAGCTCCAAATATCATTTTTACAGTGTCTTATGTTAAAACATTTCAAAAACCTTCACAACATCAAGCCTATTGACTTTTTGCAGGCAAATGGGGAAGCTATTTGTGCACAGGAAAAACCCAAGCTATTATAGTGGTGGATCTATACACCCCTCACATGACCCCAAAGGCGTTTTAATTGCATCCCACTGCTCTCTCCTCATCGTGGTGTCCTATAGCGTACTGGTTAGAGCACATGGACATGGGTTCAATTACCAGGCAGGGCTAAACGTTAGGCAAGTTATACAATAATAATCCTTGCATTTGATACAGTGCTTTTTCACGTCTTCTCGACATCTCAAAGCGCTTCACAGAATATGCTGTAAAGTGAATTGACCGTACATTTGTGAGCGAAACACAGCAGCCAATTGCGCACAGGCAGTATCCCACAAACAGTCATGGATTGAAAATGACCAATTTATTATTGTTTTGTTTTTTGGAGGGATCATTATTAGGCGTGTGGAGTAAGTAAACTTGCCCAAGGTTTTGCCCTGCCTGGAATTGAACCCAGGTGTCTCGCTTGCAAAGCGAGTGCTCTAAACACTGAGCTACAGGACTTACTCTGCACGCCTGTTTACCTAACAGTAACTAGGGACTCGGTTGTTAGTCGATTGGCAGATCACTTTTCCGGAGGTAATAATCTCTTTTAAAAAGAAATTTGGTCATTCAATCCACGCCTGTTTGTGGGTCACTGCTGTGCGCAATTGGCTGCTGCGTTTTGCCCAAAGTCAATTCACTTGACAGTATATTTTATGAACGCTTTGAGACATCTCAAAGAAGTGATAACAGATGCAAGGATTATTATTACTTATTATTATCACATCTGTGCTGTAATTGCTCCCCAACTGGAGCTCTTTCCTCTAAATGCAAGGATTATAATTGTTATAATTCCCATTCTCCTGCTCTTTCCCCAACGTGTCTTTGCTGGTGCTTACTCCCTCACTGGAGTTCTCTTCTTTAGCCCCATTAGAGATTAGGAGGTGGTGGCTTCAAACCTTACGTCAGGACCTTGAACTCACACAATCTATCTTGACACTGCAATGCAGTGCTGGGGAAAACTGCTGAATTGGCAGAGATATCATCCCTCAGATGATATACTAAACCGGAACAGGCAGATATTAAAGATTCCATGCCACTATCTGAAGAGCGATGGGAGTTTCTCTTGATATCGTGGCTAAAATCAATCGACAAAAATTAGTCATTCACTTCATGGCAGTATGCCTGCAACATTTGCCTATGAAGTACAAATTCACTGCACTTTACAGTAAAGCCTGTGAAGTATTTTGAGACATCCTCCCAACTGGATCAAGTGCAAGGATTATTACTGATCAGAAACATTTATGATTTTGAAAGCTTGTCCCAAGGTGATCAGGATGAGGATCTCAAATTTGATCCATGGTGGGGGGAGGAGCCTGGAAGCTAGCAGAGCTCGGAGAGGATGAGAGGGGTAATATATATGTGGAGCTTGGTGCAGAAGAGGACATGATCTACAGAACCTTGGGTGAGGACAGATCTAGGGAGCAGCATTGCTGTCCACTGTTATAATAATCTTTGAATTTGATATAATGCCTTATCACGTCTCAAAGCGCTTCACGGAATACACTGGAATGTTTATATGTTGTGGGCGAAACGAAGCAGCCAATTGCGCACAGCAGTGCCCCAAATAGTGGATTGAGGGACCAAATTATTATTATCACTTAAAAGGATTATTGCCCCCAGAAAGTGATACGCCAATCGGCTAACAACTGCGTTCTTACATACTGCAAGATAAACAGAGGCGTGTGGAGTAAAGAAACTTACCTAAGGTTTCGCCCTGCCTGGGACTCGAACCCGAGGCCTCTCGCTTGGAAGGTGAGTGCTCTAGCCACTACAGGATTCCACACTGTTACCTTGGGTGGTGGGGGGGAGGGATGCTGCCCAGTGGCCCCTGTTGTGGCAATTGTAGCGGAGCCCAAACTGGAATGAGTGTAGTGTAGGAAATAAATGAGGCCAGATTCGTAAGAACAGTGTATTGTAGCTCAAACCACAAGTCTGAAAATTCATATCTCCATCCCTCAACAACTGCTGCCTTATGATGTATACATATATACAGGTCTATCTGTAATCTGGTTCTGTGCAAAAATTACAACACACACATCATTCCTCTCTCATTCAATCACTCAACAATGATTAGGTGGTTGCGGGCTGCAGCTCAACTGGAGTTCTGGATTGGATTTGCTTTTTGGAGGTGTGGTGCCAGACCAGGGGGCTGTATTTTAGGCAGTGCAACCTGGTAGGAATCCCAAACTGGAACTGGGGAGGCCTTATTCTCTGTGTGTTTTTTTTAATGAGCGAGGTTAGGCCTACCCCATTAACTGTAATTAGACCAAATACGTTCTACTAGGGAATGAGGGTTGTCTCCACAGACAAGCTCCAATCCTCCTGAACTCTTTTAGGCCGCAAATTGTCAAAGGAAAATGCGAACCTAATACCTGACTTGGCCTTAGCCTAGTGCCCAAGTGCTCAAGTGAGCTCTGTATTCAACAACGAGAACAAAATTACATTTGTAAAGCGCCTTTCATGTCGGGAGGACATCCCAAGGTGCTGAACAGTCAAGGATCAGGACCTGAGCGTGGGGGGGTCAGGGTTGGGATGAGGGAGGGCAGTGAAGTAGGAGGGCGGATGAAGGCACCGTCGAAAAGGAGGGTTTTGAATTGTGCCTTGAAGGAGGCAAGGGAGGGAGCGAGGCGAAGGGATTGTGGGATTGAGTTCCAAACAGTGAGGGCAGAGAGACTGAAGGTACGGCCGCCAATGGTAGGGCAGGTTGGGCGGGAGACATGGAGCAGACCGGACTGGCCTGCTGAACGGAGGGAGCGGACAGGTTGAGAAGAGGTTGGCAGGTTAGAGAGGTAGAGGAGGGCAAAGCCATGAAGTGCCTTGAAAATGAGGATGAGGATTTTGAACTCTATCCTCTGAGGGATGGGGAGCCAGAGGAGCCTGGCGAGGGTGGCGCTGATTGGGTCACGGAGCTTGGTGCGGGAGAGGGCATGATTCACTACATGTATCTCTTTGTGAGGGCAGATCAAACTCCTCAGATCGGAAGTACAGCAATACCGATCCCAAGCAACAGAGGGTCGAAAGCGTGGCTGTTGCCAGGAGCTCGATCCTTCCCCAAATCTTCTCATTTATGGGTGAGCTTCGGTCATGGTAACCAACACAAGCAAATCTCAACAGAACTTCTCTGGCAGGTGCTAGCTCAAGGAGTAACTTATAAGAACAGATATACACTTGTTCTTAGCTAAGAGGCCTTACTGTCTGTATGGCTGACACACATTGCTCTCACACACACACACACACACACACACAAGAGCTGTAAAGTCTTGTGAATTAATAATACAAAGGATGGATGTGGCACGCACTGTCTGGCGGTAGGTGGCGATACCACACTGTGTGAAAGCCTGGTTCTGTGTATAAAAGCACATAAGCCTATAATGCCACTTACGGGCGGAGGTCGGACATGGCAGCCATGAGCGTATACTTTGCTCCATTTAATACATTCATTCTTAAAAGGATCTGTTGTTTAAAAAAAACGTTAATACAAAAGGATGGTGAGGAAAATAGTAAATAATGCCAGATAACGTGGGCTATATTGCTTAAATCTGAGGAGGTTAAGGGATCACTTGAACGAGATGTTTAAAATAATAAGGGGAGCTGACTAGTCAGGTAGTTGATTCTTCCCTTTGGTAGATGGGTCTAATACACAGGGAGTGTCATCTTAAAATCAAAGCAAATTTAAAAGCGAGATTAGGAGACATTTTTTATCCAGAGTTTTTATGATTTTAAATGCATGGTGGAAGCAGGTTCAATAGTCGGTTTCAAAAGGGAATTGGATAAGTATTTGAAAAGGAAAAATTTGCAGGGCTCTGGGATAAGAGAGGGGGAGTGGGACTAGTTCATAGCTCTTTCAAAGAGCCAGCACAGGCACGATGGGCCGAATGGCCTCCTTTTGTGCTGTAAGATTTTATGTTCCTGTGGATTGGAAAACATTTCTTCACACAGAGGGTTGCGAGAGTACAGAACACACTGCCCCCCCCACTCCCCCAAGATCAAGAAAGGTCAAATAATCAATTAGGATGGTTAAAAAGCAATTGCTTGATCTATACTTTGGGAAGGAAGCAGGTATTAGCGGGGTACAGGAAAAGCTGGGGAGGTGGAATTAAAAGAATTGCCTTGACCTCGTAAACTAGTGGACCAGGCTCAATGGGCTAAACAGTCTGCTCCTGTATGCCAATACTCAAAGCAAACATTTATAAAAGGTGATATTTCTGAAAGTAAAACGTCAAAAAAATCTAAGTTCAAAAAAACATTTGTGCCAACGTTTGACAAACTGCAGAAAGGCGGGTGTTGGAGAAGCCTTTGATGTAGGCCTGATGTTGCAGTTCTGCCTGTTGGTTGGTGCCAGGGTAAATTCAGGGGCAGAGGCATACTTCTCCCCGGGGAGAGGAGGTCCTGTTCGCAGGTCCACAAGTTGTAACACTGTTCGTCTTCCACGTGACGAAATATCAAATATATGTGAAAAAAAAGACCAATACTGGTTGCAGAATTTTGGTGCCAGCCATCCATTTAGTTGGAAGGACCCGCTCCAGAATACCATCCGTGGATCTGGCCAGTCTGACGCTTTTCCACCGGCATCTCCCATCAGATCATTGCTCGGAAGAGGAAGGACAACACTGCTCCGAGCGCCAGCCCCAGCGATAGGAAGAAGGACATGATGGTGCCTGCAGTTTCCGCTTCCTTCGGAGACACTTTTCTGCAGGGGAGGAAACAAATAATAATACTAATCTGTGCATTTGATATAGTGCCTTATCACGTTGTTGAGATATCTCAAAGCGCTTCACAAAATATAATGTAAAGTGAATTGACTATATTTGTGGGTGAAATGCGGCAGCCAATTGCGTACAGCAGTGTCCCACAAACATTTATGGATTCAATGACAAATTTTTTTTTTGAGGGATTATTAACCCCAGAAAGCGATCTGCCAATCGACTCACAACTGGGTTCCTACTTACTGTTACGTAAATAAAGGTGTATGGAGTAAGGAAACCTGCCCAAGGTTTCATCCCGCCTGGGAATCGAACCCGGGTCCTCTCGCTTGGGAGGTTGAGTGCCCTAACCACTACAATACAGGACTCCATAGCATAATGGTTAGCGCTCTCCTTAAAATCAAGGCTTATGTTCCTGACAAAAAAAAGAACATGCGCTTTCACATCGAGTTGCCATGTCGCATAAAGGGTTTCACGGGTCATTGCTGTCTGTTTTTGAAGGGTCCCACAATCAGCTCTGAGATGAATGTCAAATTCATGTGGAGGATTGTTGACCAGGACACTGGGAGAAACTCCTTTCTCTTTTCTTTTTTTAGTCAGCCAGGGTTAAAACCCATCACTGAGATTAAGAGTATCCAAACCAGAGAGCGTACATATGGACGTGAACAGGCAGACGATACCTTGGTTTATGTAAGATAGCGCTTCGGACATTGCAATGCTTCGAAAATGCAACAATCATCCCCTGGATGCTCAGACTGTAAGTTCAAACCTGACGTGGAGACAGTGAAGTATAGAGGGAGGGAGGGAATGAGGGAGGGACGGAAAGAAGGAGGAATGAAGATAGTTTTTGAGAGAAGGAGATATAGAGGGAGAATGGTGTAGAGGCAGGTGTAGAGGGAGGGGGTTATATGGATATTATAGTGAGAGGGAAAGAGGAAAAGGGATATAGAGAGAGCTACAGAGGCAGGGGCACTCACGTGGGTCCGTAGCACATGCAGAGACTGGCCAGATAGCCATTGGAGAAGGAGAAGAAAATCATGAAGACAATGAACCAAGCGTCGTGGGCGAAGAAGACAGGGAGTCGTCGTGGCCACACGTTACACAGCATGAAGAGGGGCACGAAGAGCACACGGCACAGCACCAGCACCGGCAAAAGGCGGCTGTTATGTCCAGGCTGAGGAGAGAGAGAGAGAGAGGGAGGGGGGGGTTAAGACCCTGCATAACAACGCGTTTACACAGTCCTGTAGGGTAGTGGTTAGAGCGCTTGCCTTGCAAGAGAGAGGACCTGGGTTCAATTCCCAGGCAGGGCGAAACCTTAGGCAAGTTTCCTTACTCGTTTGTTAGTCAATTGGTGGATCGTGTTCTAGGTGTAATAAACCCTTAAGAAAAAAAATGTGGTCATTCAATCCACGACTGTTTGTGGGACACTGCTGTGAGCAATTGGCTGCTGTGTTTCATCCCCAAAATACAGTGAATTCACTTTACAGTATATTCTGTGAAGCGCTTTGAGACGTCTCAACAACGTGATAAGGCGCTATATCAAATGCGAAGGTTATTATTATTATTACCATTATTTCCAAACGTGTTTGAAACATTTTTTTAAAAAAAACTCATTTTTACTTTTTAACTGTTTGGTGTGACACGTGTATTACCAGTAGCCAAATGCAGATGAAATAGAGGAGAATAAAAGCGTTTTTCGTTTGGCTATTCTTGTACTGTGTAAACGCAACGTGACAAAAGCTGCCTTTACACAGCCTGGGTTAGACAGAGTAAACCTCCCTCTATACTGTCCGTCCAGCACTCCCAGGTCAGCTACAGCATGGGTTAGACACAGAGTAAAGCTTCAATTCTGACCCATGCAACACTCCCAGATCAGGTAGCCAGGACTCTGTGGTTTGCTTACCAGGAGAAGGGAAGACGGAAATTGAGACATGTCTTGTTTTTAACAGTAATGTATTTGGAGTCAGACAGCTGGAATCAATAAGAAGGGGCATGTGAGGCCCTGCGAGCCAGACAGCATAAGTCACATTGCAGCCCTGCCAACCCCAACATTAGGCACCTGGGAATGAGGGCAGTCACACAGAAACACTTAGTCACACTCACATACTGCTGACTCCTTCAATAGCCCGGCCTCAATAGGACAACTCTGTTCAGTGTGGAAATTTAGGATATTCCCTTACTGCTCAGCTCCTCACAGGACAGAGCGACACGGCTCAGCACTCCATGGCACAGGGCAGCTCATCATTATTGCACAACGTAGTAAAGCATAGCTCAGCTTATCTCTGGCCAGGACACAATATTGTCCGATTTACATTTACACAATAACTTTCACATTAATAATAATAATCCTTGCATTTGATATAGCGCTTTTCATGTCTTCTAGACGTCTCAAAGCGCTTCACAGAATATACTGTAAAGTGAATTGACTGTATACTTGTGGGTGAAACGCGGCAGCCAATTTCCCACAGCAGTGTCCCACATTGAAAATGACAAATTTATTATTGTTTTTTTTCGGAGGGATTATTATTAGGCGAGTGGAGTAAGGAAACTTGCCCTGTGAGCCTCCTCCTGCCCTTCCTCAACTTAGCCTTCAAGCATAACCTTCTATTCCTTTCTCCCTCATGTACCTATCCAGCTTCCCCTTAAATACATCTATGTTATTTGCCTCAACAACTCCTTATGTCCCACAGTCTCACTACCCTCTGTGTGAAGAAATTTCTTCTAACTTCCTTATTTGATCTATTTGTGACTATTTTATATTGATGGCCCCTGATTTTGGTCTTAATATAATACAGCTTCATAATGCTTTCATTTGATATAGGGCCTTATCATGTCGTTGTGATGTCTCAAAGCGCTTCACAGAATATAAGGTAAAGTGTATTGACTGTGGGGGAAACACAGAGCCAATTGCGCACAGCAGCATCCCACTCGTGGATTGAGTGGCCAATTTTGGGGGGTTTTGAAGGGATCATTACCCCCAGTTAGCAATCTGTCAATTGACTAATAACCAGGATCTTACTTACTGCTAGGTAAACAGAGGTGTGTGGAGTAACAAAACTTGCCTAAAGTTCCACCTTGGTTGGAAATCAAACCTGTGTCCTCTTGCTCGCGAGGCGAGTGCTCTAACCTCTATGGTACGAGACTCCACATTGGGAGGGTGTGTCAAAGCACTTTGCGTTGCTTGACGGGAACCCCGAGGGGAAAGGTGGTGGGGGGAAAATGATGAACAAAACCAGGGTCAAAGAGGTACGTTTTGAGCCGTGCCTTGAAGGAGGAGAGTACGGGAGCGGGCTAGCTGCGCGATTTGCATAGCATAATCCATAATGCATTACTGATCAGCACCCTCGCTTCTCTTCCTCCTTCCTGCCCCGCGTCCCCAGCAGCCCAAGCCAACAGCTCTCGATTCAATTGGTCTCTGGGTTATTTCGCATTCTGTCCTGTTATTTTGCGTTCTCTTGATTTTAATAATTTCCTTGTGTTTTGGAACATAACGTTCTCTTGACATTCCCACAAGGGCAGCGAGCCAGAAGATTTTGGCATCCAGCGTTCACTAGCTCTCCTCTTCCTTGTCTTCCTTTCCTAGGAGGACGGAGGGGTGGGTGGCGGGGGGGAGGCATAGTCATATTATTTTCGGCCCCATTCCCACGATGTGAGCCCAGACAGACAGACAAGCAGACCGAGAGACAGATAAACGTCGGGTGTAAGAAGAGACCTCAACCAATCTTATCGTCACACGATCTCCGCAAGAGCATTCCATTTTTTTAAGGGAGGAAAGGGTCAGCTGGGTGTCTGACATATGCAGAAATAACAACAACTACAAATTACAATTATATAACCCATCATCATGCTTAAGAGTATCCAAACCAAACTGAGAGTTCCATGCATCCCACCTACACCTGGAAATCCCAGAGATAGATTGTTGCACTCTCTTCTGGAGGGACGCATTCTGCTTACCTAATTCCAGGAAGTATTAGGTGCAGATTGGCAAGAGCCGAGGCTTACCATCCAGCGGGGAGTGGATAAACATCTGAAGCAGGAGAACCTTCACTGATTCTCCCATCCCCTCGCCCCACCCCCCTCCCCCATTCTGGGCCCTGTAGCCCTGATTGCGGCTGAGGTCAGTATAGGTCAGAATGCAGCGAAGGATAAAACCTGGGACCGGGCCATTCTGTGTGAGCCTTTGTGTTTCAAATGCTCCGGGACACTACCCCAGGTGAAGGGCGCTATATAAATTCAAACTGTTGTTGTTGTTGACTCACTGATATGCCAGACAGTCACCAATCAGCCAGGCTCCAAAGTATGACCATGGCAGAAGGACTGGAGGTCTCCACTCTCTAATAGTACTCTGGCTGGTGCAGTTATAACATATAATAATAATCCTTGCGCTTGATATAGCATCTTATCACATTGTACAGCTTCACAGAATATACTGTAAAAGACTGTATTTTGTGGGTGAAACGCAGCAGCCAATTGCGCACAGCAGTATCCCACAAACAGTTGTGCATTGAGCGACCAATTTTTTATTGAGGGATAATTACCACTAGAAAAGCGATCCGTCAATTAATTAACAACCGGGTTCCTACTTATTGCTAGGTAAACAGAGGCGTGTGGAGTAAGGAAACTTGCCAAAGGTTTTGCCCGGCCCGAGAATCGAACTCATGTCCTTTCGCTTGCGAGCCGAGTGCTCTAAGCACTAAGTTACAGGACTCCACCGGGAATTTAGATGGCTTCTCTACCCAGTTGGGAAGTGGCTTTGAGTTCAGTCCAAATCACCCATCTGTTTCAGACCAAAAGTAGGATGTGGACGGAATGAATTCGGATCCCGGAATTATTGTCAAATTTCAGAGAAGAACGCTTCTCTACCCAATTCCCACTTCCTTCCTCTGCCGCAGAGTCTAACGTTGGCAACTGCCAATATCTTTGCCTCTGGTGCTTGTTTACGTTCATACTTAAGCTATATTACCCTCCTCCACCCATAGGTAGGGGGTGAAAATATTGTTTGCATAGGAACAGGAGAAGACTATTTAGCCCTTTGAGGCTGTTCTGCCATTCTATTACATCATGACTGATCTGTACCTCAACTCCAATTACCAGACTATGCCTCATATCCCCTGATACACTTACCTAACAAAAATCTATTCACCTCAGCCTTGCAAATTTGAATGGATCCAGCATTCAGTTTGGGGGTGGGGGGGGGAAAGGGGGGGTCAAGCTATCCATCCACTTTAATACAGGTGCCACATCTATGCTAGTATCAAAGATGGCTATTTCCCCTTCCCCCTCCCCCTCCTCACTGCTCAGGTTCCGTTCCAGCTTTAATAAATGATAATAATCCCTGCAATTGATATAGCATCTTATCACATCATCGAGACGTGTCAAATGCTTGCCAGACTCCGCCACTCCCTCACCCCTCAAGCTGCCGAAAACCTTACCCACACATTCGTCACATCAAGGCTCGATTACAGAAACTCCCTCCTCATCGGCTTTCCCAATTCTTCCCTTCACAAGCTGCAGATCATCCAAAACGCTGCAGTTCGTGTACTCTCGAGCTTCGTGATTCCATCACTCCCATCCTCGCCCGACTCCACTGGCTCCCCATCCCCCAGAGGATCGGGTTCAAGATACTCGTCCTCAATTTCAAGGCTATCCATGGTCTTGCCCCCTCCTACCTCTCTGACCTGCTGACTCCCTACCAACCTGCCCCCTCCCTCCGTTCAGCGGGCTCCGGTCTGCTCCATGTCTCCCACCTGACCCACCCTACCATCGGTAGCCGGGCCTTCAGCCTCTCTGCCCCCACACTCTAAAACTCCATCCCCAAATCCCTTCGCCTCGCTTCCTTCCTTGCCTCCTTTAATGCTGGTCTTAAGACCCTTCTCTTCGATCGTGCCTTTGGTCGCCCTCCCACCTCTCTGCCTTCCCTCACCCCTACAACACCCCTCCCCCATGCTCAGGCCCTGACACCTGACTGTTCAGCGCTTTGAGACGTCCTCCCGACATGAAAGGCACTCTATAAATGTAATTTTGTTATTGTTGTTGACAGAATATACTGTAAATTTGTGGACAAAACGTGTTAGCCAGTTTCCCACATCAGTATCCCACAAACAGTTATGCATTAAGTGAACAATTTTTTCTGAGGGATTATTACCATCAGAAAGCGATCCGCCATTTGACCAA